GTGGCATGCAACGTACTGTGTTGCTGAAATAAGGATGAAATAATGAAGCGCTACCATTACGGTTAATGCAAGAACAGTCTCAGAGTCCAACATCGCAAAAGGAGGAAGGGGGAAGCATCCTGATCTGAAGATGGGACAATGGTAAAAAATGTAAACCGCTTCAATCTGTAGGACAGTTGTATGCATTTTTGATAGCTCCAGGTTTAAATACGAGTTTAGATCCACTCCGAAAAACACTCCTGGTTCTCTGGACCTGAATACGAGATGATTCTGCCACCTCCAGTATGCATGCCTTCATTCTGCTTACTTTCGAAATGCGACCTCATGGGTCCCACACAGATTCCTGAGATATTCTATATTCCTCATGTTCTACTTTGCCGGATCCTTGAATCCCAATTTGAATACTAAAGCGGTGGGGTAAAGGCAGCTGATCAAAGAACCTGATGGTGAACCTCCTCCTTACAGGGAACGGCAGTGTACTTTGCTACGGCTCCCTAGTTTAAGTGACTTCTATATAAAAAGAGATGTTGAATGTCAGTGCTTAAGTACGAACCCCCTTTTGGAAGCAAGTATGTGGTATGCGCTGACTAACACAGACACCTTGTTGTATATTTCGGAATAACAGCATGCAGAATATTAGGCCTTTGCTTCTGGTTTTTAGGGTAATAATAATTTGTATTTCGAACAAACTGGTATTAACAACAAATGCATGCCATTATTACAGGCACGATGAGTTATCTCATAAATTAAAATTGTGAAGTATCATAAATCAATACCTATTCAAAAGTTTAAACTGTTCGATTATTGTACAAGCAACCGGGACATGTTCTTATAAATGTTAAATTGTAAATCATTCACTAAGATCACGATCAAGGCTGAGTGCCAACCCTAATTTCGTTCCGTTCCTTGTTGATAGTTATGGTCAGCCAGTGAACAGCATATATTTGGGTAAGTGATATACCCCCACGAGACTTAAAAACTATTTCAGGAAGAGGAGAACGTCCTGCGAGACTGCAAAATGGTGCATCTTGACAGGAAGCTGAGATATGTAGATCCTTTGGACCTAAAGCTTTTCCTATGATATCTTCAGATTCTCTACAAATAAAGGCTGTCACGTCCTCACTAACCCTACACATCTTCACTACTCGTTAGGGCTAACGCAACAATATTTCCTGACTAAAATTTAACCTTTTGGTGGAAGGACGCTAGTTTTTACGAATCTCCATATCGTTGCATTGTATATAAAACGCCTAAAGTTCTATCCTATAAAATTATTATTGCTTGGAACAAATTGATTATCATTATTGCATACCATGTCAATAAGTTTCATTCGCATTAAAGTTATTACTTGTTAGCTACTTCTGCGCTCCTCTTACGGTTTTCCCCTGTCTTCTACCTTTTCCTTTCACAGCTTTCCCTGAATTACGATGCTGAGGCAGCAATGTTATATCCTACATTTTTACCATGAACTACACTTCCCCATTATTCAGTAAGTAGTCTGTACACTTCATAAAGGATCGAGTGACCTTCACCATGGGTTCCCTTCGTCAGCTGGAAACTGGATGAGAATTACCTCCAACATAATATACTTACCAGTGACTATGTATCTGCCTAACCAGATCCAGGACCGCAGTTTCTAATGCGTGTATTAATTCTCTCAAGCTAGTGACGAAAGTACACCTGCCGACATTATATCTCTTCTTCGTGCTAGTCAGTTCATGCTGCTATTTACGTGTTATAATTAATCTCTACAAACCTAGCGTAATCACTGACAAATAATCATCATTCTTATGGGTGTTAATTTGGCACAACCTATGAATTGGTGATCTGTACGTTGGTGTGACAGTTTTATCAAATCTTTATCTGCGCTTGTTTCTGTTTAATTTTTGACTATTCAGACCACTGGGAAATTATTTTTCAATATACTTTTAGTATGATTTCGTGTCAAAATTGCAGTGATCTAGCATGTGCGTAACTGAGCATATCTAGCTTATTTTCACGAATTTTATCACACCAATAACGTATTTCACACCTCAAGACGAGTGTAGGCCATGATAAATGAATTTAAATACATGCTGAAATCGTCATCTGCATTTCTTTTGCTATGAAGAGTTCCGTCACCGATAATACTAATAATAAAAGTAAGAATATCAATTACAGTAATAATAATGATAAATAAGTTTATTGGGATCGAAATTAAGTCTGGTGCAGCCTGTCCCCAACTAATCACTGAGCGTGTTATTTTGGGTTACACTGAACGACCTGAAGTAGAATGTTCAAATACATATAAAGGATTCTGTTGCTAATGCAGTACTGAACTGTGGGAATAGTATTCAGATGTGAGCGCCCACCAAGAAATACAGTGATTCTCACTGTGAGAATATTACTGTGTAAAGTGTTGTCATACCTAGATGGTCTGACTACTTCTAAATAAGGAGACGCTGTAGTAAATTTGATACATCCAGGACATGCTTAACCATATTAGTTGGAAAGTGCTTTTAACTACCGGAGGGAAGGCGAGTTCCACATTTCCCAAATTAGACACTATGATGGACAGAAGGGGGTCAAAACGCTCTAAGGTCGGCCTACCGAAAGCCAACCATAATGAAGCAGTATTAGAAGTTCAACAGCTGCTTACCTGCAATTGGAAGTAAAAAACTATCCAGTCCTGTGAAGTGAGAAAACAGGAGTACACTGGACCAATAAGTTGACTCTAGAAGATCTGCATTTCGTAGATGATTTGTGTTCAATTCCTCACAAGCTTTAAGATCTACAAGCGGGAACCAACAAACTTGCAGAAGAAGCAGGCAACAAAGATAAGAGTTCAAGTGAACACAGAGAAGAAGGAGTTGATGAAGGTAAACGACCAACAGCGAAAACAACAACCAGTGGTGATCATAATCAACAGGAGAGATTTGAAAGAGACCACTTACGTCATATATCTGTGAAGCACCATTTCTGCTACAGGCAGGTGGCATGGATGAAAACCAGAATCATGGAGGCATGACAGATCTTCATCACCTTGATATCAGTTTGGAAAAATTCTGTACTCAGTACAAACGACAAAATTCAGGCTTTCAACGCAATCGTAAGGTCAGTCAGTTCTTCCATATGGTTTATGCACTTGGAGTACGCGTTCCGGAAAGCAACTGTAACAGGCCACTGCGGACGTTTATCACCATCTGTCCTTGTTGGACCAATCCTGAAGATCAGATAGCCAACCGGAAAGGATTAACTGCGAGTAACTTTGGGAACAAATCAACAGGTGAGAATCTATTGTTCAACAAATACGGCGAAGAAAATGGAGGCGTGTTGGACAGACTCTGAGAAGGCCATCTATTGACCATCCCCTGAGTGAAACCACAATAGGAAAAGCCGGGTGGATCATCCGAGGGTGACATGAAGGAGACTATGTGAGGAGGCGATAGATTATGGGAAAACGTGGGCCCATCCAAAGAGGGCAACAGAAAAAAGAACTAAGTAGAGATGTGTTGCTTAAACCCTATATTCCACTCGAAACCCAAGGGAACATCGTTAACATCTAGTGAATAATACAATTCTTTATGCTCCAACATTTTGTAAACTTACTGTAAAATAAAAAAACTGCGAAGCCTCCATACAACTCTCCTAAATGATGCATATACCAGGCTCGTAGAATGAAATATGAAGAAGAAAATTTCTCCTTTTTGAATCACAGCGTCGTGGAAGAGAGTAATAATGAGTTTGGCTGGAGTTATCGAAAGTCGTTTATCCCAGTACATTAAATGCACTCCATATGCCTCTAACTAACACTTAGTATTCCCCTACCAAAATATGATTACACAACGCTTGGATGGCAGGCTATCGTATGTGTCCACTTCCACATGCATCTACTCTTTCACCTGATGCTGTGGAGATAATTATTTTCAATGCTGTAAGCAAGTTTACCAGAAACAAGTAGCTAAACACCACTCACTTCGGTTGGTGAAACGCTAGCACAGGATGAAAATGTCCTACATCTGTGGGCAGCGTGATTTAGGTTTTTGGCCCCATACGTTTTCCTCTTTAATTTTAGCAATAAGGCCAAATCCAGTCACCATGAAGTTTACATCTTCTCCAATTACGTATGGTCAAAGCTTTGGTTGTAATTGGGCGAAAACCTAAACTATGTATTCAAAAAAGTTTTCTACAACTCTTTTCTTTACCTTTGTCATAATAATGCCATTATATATAAGTTATTTTACCACTTGAATCCATTGGGTCTCACTTTAATCCTACAATAATGGCCTATTTTATTTCTGACTTTAATTGACTTCTACAATCGTTACTCATCCCTCGTTATGCTTTTCAAGAAGATGTCAGCCAGGCGTTTTGGGAGAAGTGAGAGAGATTGGAGAAGAAAAAAGTATCTCAGGAACGTGGTGATGATTTTATCATATACAGAATGGGGAAATTAACAGTTAATGTTTCCTTGTATTCACGAAAATCAACGAGGAGTGGACCTGCCCTTGGTGATGTTACAGACCCTGATGTTTTCCCAACACATGTTAATAATTAAGTTGTCCTATCTTTAATGATTAAATTTGAACTTTTGGATACCTCATATGGTGACGACCAAAGGCTGTCTCCAAAAAAGCCTGGAGATACTGGTAGAGTAATGCTGGTGGTAGTCGTTGAAGATTCACAAATGTAAAAGCGTCATTATGTACTTAGGTCGTCGCATTTCGAATGATTACCTCGTTAACTGGCATGACATCCCAGATGCTTGAATATAACGATTGAGGAGTAAATTTCAGTCATGAACTTAGGACTGCAGTTAAGTGTAATAAGGCAGTTGAACGAATGGGAGTAAAATACATCAACACTTATTTCTTTGTAAGCTTCCATTAATATATGTTTCAGATTTGTGATGTCTCATTCGACTTACTGGCATAATGAGCATGTGTCTCAAACATGAATAGGACATATATGTAGACCTGCTTTACTTATCGGTGAAGACTGAAAGTGAAACCGAGTGAACAATCGCGGTTGTTTCTAGTGGTGCGTTACAATTCACGTGTTTTTTTAACTTTCCGTCATTTGGAACTTTTTGAGGTTTAGACTTACTATTTGCAGTATTTACCTTTGAAATATTTTTTGTTAGGCAATAAAATATCCGACTGTCAGTACCTTTAGCACAGATAGAAACACGAAATAATAGGGCGCAAGCGCCATAGAATCACTGCAGTTGAGTGATTCTAATCTTATGAATGGCTCCAATCACTATATGAAAATTCCTTTTTCAACACATGCTTATGGCAGTTTCTATTTACTAGCTGGCATTATGTTTGGCTCAAATAGTCGAAGATGTAGCTACTATGAGTGAGACGACATTAACGCTAACGGAAATCTGTAACACTCAAGCATGCACGTATAATTACAGTCGTTTTTAAAGTACACTGTAGGCCATAAAATTATGATGTACTTAAACTTTGGTTGTATGTCTAGGGATCACTAGATGCATATATGCATAGTGACGCTATAGTGTCCGTTAGTCGACAGCCTAGGCCGAGGAATCAGCCACTTCAAACTAATAATTTAAAAGTAGTCATTACGTTAAGTAGCTTAAAGAATATTTGCGCACTAAATAGTTTTATGGTAAAGTTAAACTATAGGTTGCCAAGAGACCAACCACAAAAATGACGTTTATTTACAAGAAACTGCATGAAGACACACTAAACGGGGTATATTTCCTTGACATGACTTAAAAGTACGTCCCAGTTATAATGAAGTGTATCAGTTCTTAAGTTGGACCAGTTTCCGTAAATGTATTCACTGAACAGACTTTAGGTGAACTTTTTTTGTGACCCGTTTATCGCTCTTATCCTGTTTTACAATCTTCCCCAAAAGCCCTCAGTTGAATTACTATGGTTTCCAGTAAAGGGATCAACGACTGTTTACTAGGAAAATGTGGATAATAGAACAAGTTAAAATAATACCAACTCCAAACCTATCCCTAATCGTAACCCTAACCTTAACCTTAATCCTAACCCTAATTAAAACCCTTATCGTAACCACCAATGTAGTCACCAAACTAGGTAACTGGATGTTGTAGTACACTGTGGACTGATGGTTAAAGGCAGTCGGCAGGAAGCCCCAGCCTTAGGTTTCGTGTTCGTTGGCAAGGTATGTCTGCAACCTTAAAGGAACTGATATCCCCTCAGAGATCCGAATCCGTGTCACCTCATACTACAGTCAAAAGTGTTATCATTTAGCTATTTAGGCTCATAATTGACCTTCTGTAGGAACTCACCATCATCAAGGACCGGATACATGGTAATATGTACCCCCGAATGACCAATCGATCATGAACCAAAACAGCGTATAAGAATAGAACTTATGCACTGTGGTAGAGTATAATTCCACTGTGGATGAAATCGTTCAAACTCTAGGCTAAATAATTCATATGAAATGAAAAGGAAGCTAAATGACGTTCAATTAGAGAATAATGAAAAGATGGTTAGTTTTGGTATAACTAGTTTTTACACTAATATACCATCAATATGGCTCTAGAAGCAGTTACAAGAGAACTAACTGCTGATCCTGAACTTAACTTTTTGAAGCTACAATCTACCAAATATAGAACCGTTTGCTCTTCTGATGATTTCATTCATACCACTTACATTTATATGCAGTCAGCAATGAATCATATATCTATCTGTAAGGGGTAATTATACTATCTCGCTGCCCAAACCTTGATACATCGAGTAGGATATGAGGCCCTTAACTCCTTGGTTGAAACTCGAGAGTCTAATCCAATTAGATACAGCTCTACTTGGTCTTAATACCGGACAGGAATGGGTCTTGAGAGTGTGTGTCTTTCTCTTTTGAATGTAACTCTGTCTCCGATGAGTGATAATGTTCGCAGTACCCACTGTTTCGATCAATTAAGTCTTATCAATTAGTCAACTCAGTCACTGTTTTCCTAAGTAACTATTGTCATATTAATAGAAGGCAGTCGAATAGTTAATGTGGTTTATAAGTGGACAGTTGTGTGTTATATGATTGGTGGCCGTCGCAGGGAAGCCCTGTCTGATCTAAGTTTCACACATTTGATTGCAACGTGTATCTGAAATCTTGATGAAAATCATATCAGTTCTGAGATCCTAACCTGCATCGCCTAGTGCTACAGTTAGAGATGTTACTGCTGAGCTGTTCGAATTCTCGATTCATCTCCTGTAGAACTGTAATTGACACATTGATTGGTCACTAGAAAGTAACCAATGTTATCTATGTAGTCCTCAGTGTCGTTACAGACTGAGACCGATCACTCACTGCAATAACAAGCCACCTATCTCGGTGTCCTCTGTTGCGAAATTGACTGATAGAACTCAGTCTGTATCAATGCTGAGAACTAGATGCATGAGATTGGTTGTTCCGTAGTGATCCATCTATGTAAACAGTTGTTGTGTGGTTGAGTGAGTTTCAACATAGAATTTATCACAGAAGTGCAGCAATTCAAGTTGCTACACTTCATGTAGAACACAGGTAGACAAAAAGGAGAAAAAGTATCGAAAAGTACTATAATAAGCAGAAAGAATCGTTACATGAAAAAAGACATGACGGTTTAGTGCGTATGAGAGATGGCAGAGGGTGAATGGATCTGCTCTATTGATCTGAGTACCTCAACTAGGCTGTCTGCACCCGCCTACGTGGCTAGAAACAACTGTCATGGATTGGTGCCATGTTTTGATTTGACCACCAATCACTCTTTTCAAACTTAATCCTATATCAGCTAATATTGCTGGTCAAAGAAGGCGGTGGCTCAGCAAGTATGCCACATGTCTTAGCCATCTCAATCGATGTACTTTCAAAACCAGCTAACTCTCTTCGGTCATAGCTGTCTGCGTTCTATCTCCCGTGTGAAGTAGTATAATAGGGTGAGTAATATTAAGGTTAGGCATCGGTCAAGTGCTAGGTAAAGATGGGAAATCAATAGACGAGGCTGTGAAGTCACATCAATTGAGATGGTTAGGACATGTGTTACACATGCATGCCTAGCCATCGCCTTCCTCGACAATGGGCAATGTTAACTGACGTAGGATGGATCATTTTGGAAAAGAGCTAGCACATGGTTGTCAAACCAAAACATGACTGGCTTCATCAGTCAATGAAATCCACAACAGTTGGTATAAGCCATGTAGGAAGGCGTAGACTTCCTAGTTGGGATCCTCGGGACGGTAAAACTCAATGGATGCTGGAGACAATTGTTAATATGCCTCAAAGTCGTTCTCAATGACTGGTGCAGATGCATCCACTCCTTGTGATTTATAATATGCAATAAAACTATATTGTTCTTCCATATTACTATTCTTTTTGCCTCATATCTCTGTTTATTATCTCTGTTTTGAATCTCTTTTTACTCTCTTCTCTTGCTTTGTGTGCTACATAGAAGGAGTGTGGCAACTTAAACTGCTGCACATCAGTACTAAGTTCTATGTTGAAACCAGTCAAGCAGCTTCAAAACCTCGTGGATAGATTTTCTCTCCCCCTTATCTAACACTCAGTCGACACCTAATCTCAGTATTAATCACCCTATTATACCACCACGTAACACGGGAGATAGATCGCAGACACCTATGATCAAAGACAGCTATCTAACCTTCTTAAAAATAGGTGAGATGTTCAAAGGACTCTACTGCTTCACCCCACCCCCCAGTCACCCCATCTTTAAGCTAGGAGTCGGTGTATTGCAGTAGAGTCCTGTAGTATCATCTTACATCTGACAGAAGTGGATCGCATGCCCAGTGTTCGAATCTTCAGCTGGTGCGTAGAGTTGATGGTGGAGCTTTAGGGGTTCTTAACTCCCTGGTTACTGGTTCGAAAATCTATGCTACAGCCAAAAGTGTTTATTTTACTCTCAACTATCACCTTTATATATATATATTAACGTTTCCTTGTTATTAATCTATCTCTTTTACAGTCTCATCATGGATTCACAGACATCTAACTCAGACAATATTGAAGAATTATTAAAACAATCAAAGGATAACTTTAATGCATTCAAAAGTATTCGAGAAAGGCTTACAAAACCGACGGTTTCTGTAGAATACACAAATTTCGTACAAACACTAACTGAACACTTACACGAATTACCATTGAATTCTGTGAAAAAGTTATTATTCTCTAGTATTGATCCTGTTGACTGGATGATACTCAACAATCCAACTGTATCTGAGAATATGATCAATTTATATGTAATAAGTATTTCATATTTTCCAAATTTGACTTATGAAATATGCGAATATTGTATAAATCAAGTATTCTATTTCAAAGATTCTATTGAACAATTGGACACCATTAATCATTTAAACAATTTAAACAGTATCGCCATCGACTTTTTCACTGCATTATGTCAAAATATATCACATTCAACGCCTATTCTTGTTGATTTATTAATTAAACGATTTCCTAATTGGCGTAAACCGGTGAAAGAATTACTCTGGGCAACTTTTAGCATTTTATCACTACTGTCATGTCAAAAAGCTTCAAAACTATTAAGTAATACAGATAAGTGTAATGTACTATCAATGATTTTCACTGCTATCATTGAATTAGAATTGAATCCTGATGGTGTAACGCATGAAAATCTATTGCCATTATTTGATGAAACTACTCCAATCTATGCAATCTTACAAAAGTTTGATAAAACTGACCTTGAAGCGCATCTAAACAATCTGTTCAACATCATTCAAGGTTCAATAGTCGATGATAAGAATTGGTTAAAAATTGAACTACTCTCTTGGCTACTTATATCATATATCAGTAGTATATGTACAAAGGGGAATGACGATTCAACATCGTCATCATCATCATCAACACCACAGTTTGATTGGGATTTATTGTGTTCAATATTTCGACGAGCACGTGACCTGTTTTCAGAGTATATTCTTCCTGTAAATGTTCCACTTTTAGCCTATCCAATGGTATGCTTTTATATGTGTAGTCTACGTGGTGGTTTAGTGATTAGTTTTATTGATTTCTTGTGGAATACCATAAAAGATGAACATCGTGATCAAGGTAGTCGTTTAATGGCATTATCTTATCTTTGTTTCATTCTAGTGAATGGGAAATTTTGCTTTATTGATCTAGTAATTGAAATAATGCATAATATGACAACATGGTGTATTGATTATACGTATAGACATCGTCGACAGTTAACGGTCCATTCAACTGTTTTGCTATCAGAGAATAAACTCTACTATGCTGTCTGTGATGTATTAATCTATATATTTGTTCAATTGCACAGTGAATTATTACGTAAAGAACATTTCGAAAGTTGTAATCGTCTGCCAATGGCACAGATTAGTATATCACCATTTAAACCATTGTTGCATACACCTAGGAGATTACGTCAAACATTTTTTCAAATTATTTCTGTCTATCATATGAGTTGGTCTACAATTGGTTTAACCCAGTCAATCAATGCTGATGATGATGATGTATTGAAAGAGAATAATGCAGCATTATTAAATTGGATGACTGTGGACAGTATTCGTTCATTACTACCGAGTAATATATTACGCATGTTGAGTAGTAGGAATTGTTGTCCTCTGTCACTTTCATCAATTACCATTAATCGTTTATTTCGTGATATTCGATTGGGTGAACGTTTAATTAGTAATAACAGTAATAATGTACTACAACAAGGTGAAAGCAACTCGAATTGTGACGTTCAGGAGAAAGTATCACCGAAGTCACCGAGAAAAAGTAAACGTAAGGCGTCAAGTGTTGAAGATCTGGGAGTGGAGAGTACTACAAATGGTGGGTTGATTGCAAAACACTCAAAGATTGATGAAACTTCTACTTGAATAATTTGTTAAATACTTTCTAACATTATACCCTTTTGTATATATATATTTTAACATATTTAACACAGAGGGTTTTAGTTCATTCCGTTTTTCCTCTATACTTACTTGTACATATCAGGTGGGATATTTTTGAAAATAAATCAAAAATATAACATTTTAAGATTGATATCTGTTTTTTTCCTTAATTGGATCTCGTTGACTTAGAATATGCAGACGATATAGTCCTTCTAGGCGAGGACGCTGACAAAATGCAGAGTCTTCTGAACACCTTGAGCAACAATCTTCGTATGTTTGGCATGCGATTCGCCCCTGTAAAATGTAAGATGATGCTGCAGGATTGGACTACACCGACCCCTAGATTAGAAATAGGAAGTGAAGTGGTAGAGCACGTTGACCGCTTCACTTATTTGGGAAGTACCATCAGCCAGTGCCAACGGGTTGATCTCTGACGAAATCTCTGCACGAATACAGAGGGCTAGTTTCGCATATGCCAGTTTACGCCGTCTCTGGCGTAGACGTGATATCCGGCTATCGACCAAAGGGCGTGTGTACTGCTCAACAGTCCGCTCCGTCCTCCTTTATGGCTGTGAGACCTGGCCATTGAGAGCGGAAGACATGAAAAGATTAGCTGTCTTTGATCATAGGTGTCTGCGTTCTATCTCTCGCGTGAAGTGGTATAATAAGGTGAGCAATATTGAGGTTAGGCATCGTCGAGTGCTAGGTAAGGAGGGGAAATCAGTCGACGAGGCTGTGAAGCTACATCGACTGAGATGGTTAAGACATGTGTTACGTATGCCTAGTCATCGCCTTCCTCGACAATGGGCAATGTTAGCTGATATAGGGTCAGGCTGGAAAAGAGCTAGCGGCGGTCAAACGAAAACATGGCACCAGTCAATGAAATCTACAACAGTTAGTTTAAGCCACGTAGGAAGGTGTAGACTTCCCGGCTGGGGTCCTCGGGACGGTAAAAACCAATGGTTGGAAACAATTGGTGACATGGCTCAAAATCGTTCTCAGTGGCGCAGATGCATCCACTCCTTGTGACTTATGATTTCCAATTAAACTGTTTTGTTCTTCGTTATTACTATACCTTTGTCTCACACCTCTGTTTACTGTCTATATTATGCATTTCTCCTACTTTCTTCTCTTGCTTTGTGTGCTACATGGAGGGAGTGTGGCGACTTGAACTGCCGCACATATGTGCAAAGTTCTATGTCGAAAACAGCAGAAACAGGATTTAAAATTGTGGAATTATTAGTCATGATATTATAAGAAACACAAGAAGAGGAAACTCCATTATGAATGTTGTTGCACAGTAATATTTACTACTGATGACCACGTTTTGAGCACAAATTTATTGCTACTCATAATCTCTCATATCAAGGCACTACTCACACAACTCGCTTTCTTCATTTATATACATGAGTAAAAATTGTTGATTAGATATTTGAATAAAATCAATGATAAAGTACGTTCGGAAATAATAATAATATTAGTGTTATCAACAGAATACAATAAGATGTTTTTATAGTAAAATAAATAAATAACTTGTTAGAATGTTATAATGTGAACTGAAATACATTTTAACATTATTTATTATCCTCCTCTGATTTGACTGGTGGTAATAATATCTTCCATACGTATCTCTGGTATTTGCATTGAGTCATTTCTGTTGCATGTGTTGTGTTGGGTGTAGACTCAATGAACCAGGATTCAGTAATCAATCTGTCTCTCTCTCTCTCTCCACCTACCTATATTACTTTTTAGAATTTTGACAATCTCTCATTCGATTGTGTGGTTGTGTGTTAATGCATGCAGTGCAATTGCTGAGGTTTTTCTAAATTACTTATCTTCGCGGAGTCAATCATTCTAACCTTATAAATTCTTATTTTCTGACAATCTGACCACCCCGATCTACTAGTTTAACCTATGTAGTTGACTTAACTCACAGTCATTGCAAGGTATTTTGTAAATTATATTATTTTGTCTAATTGGGTCAAGCTACAGGGTGATTTAACCTACAGAGCTTGTCCTACTTGAGTGAGTTTGTAGGTTTAAATGCCACTCTAATTCCTGCTTTATTAAGAATCCTACGTAGGGTCTCGGATATTCCCTCGGTGTATGTTAAAACTACTGTAGATGCCTTATATTCTCTGTTATTTACGTTATCCTTATTAGTTTCACCATTATTTTCATGCTGCTTTTGACCTTTTCTGATCTTCCTAATGAATTTTATAGGATAGTTAGTTATTTGACACCAGCGCTTCTTCTATCTGTTTCATTTCATCATTTATATTTTTTTGATGTACTACTTAGTAGTGTTGTTGCTCGGTTTGTTAGACACTTAACTGATCCTGCCTTCACAGATAGATAACGGATGAGATGAATTAAAGTAAAAATAGCCAATATTAGAATGCTTTGGCTTTTTATAAACGCTAGTGTGCAGTTTACCTTCTTCTATTCATTTTATTTCACAATCTAACATCATGGCTAATTCTCTTTGTTCATTTTCTGATTCAAATGTGAATTTTATTCCCTTTACTAGTGAGTTTATATATGTGTGTGAAGAAGCTAGAGAGAGATATGTTCTGTGAAAGTGTCATCCACATATCTCACCATATCTTTGGAGTAGGATTAAATGTATGAAGAGCAATATTTTCCCAACTGTCCATGAAGATATCTGCTACGATAGGAATTGTCTCTCACGACATTATAAGAAACACAAGGAGAGGAAGGTCATCGAGGAATCATCTTTTTCAGATTATCGAATTTCTAAGGATTTTCGATTAGCCTCACTTGTCTACATTGTAATGAAGGGAATTAAAAGCTCTACCGGTAGGGAGAGTGGTGTACCCCGGAAGGTAACTCATTATTGTTGTTGTCGATGGATACTTGAATTCATGCAGGAAATCGGCAAACGTCATCTTGGTGAACTTTCAGCACTCTCTTTATTGACAACTCTCCTCTCGCATGTAACGACAATTCCATACTGTTACAGGTTTGATGACGAGTTTACATCATGCAGAGAAGCATTAAAAAACCCAGCTGGGAGTACTAGACAGCCAGCTGTCTCATCTTAGTTTGAAACTCTTCAGCAGTACGCACTCGCCACAGCTGCTGCTGGATTCAACATAGAACTTGGCACCGAAGTGCAGCAGTTCGAGTTGCCACATTCCAAATAGCACACAAAGGTAGACAGGAAAATGAGAGAAGAGAATCAATAGAGTTTTGACAAGTGTAAGAGTGAAACAGAATGAGTAGTGGTAGAAAGGAATATGAAGGTTAAAGAGACTGAATACATCTGCGCCATTGATAGCGATTTTGAGCCATGTCACCTATTGTCTCCAGCCATTGATTCTTAGAGTCCCGAGGGCTCCAACCCGGAAGTCTGCATCTCCCTACCTGACTCAGTTTAACTGTCAGGGATTTCATGGATTGATGCCAGGTTTTGTTTGGCCACCACTTACCCTTTCCCATCCTGCACCTATATCAGCTAGTAATGCCCGTCGGGGGAGGCGATGGTTAGGCATGCGCAGCACGTGGCCTAACCATCTCAATCTATGTAACTTCATAGCCTCTTCGAGTGATTTTCCCTCTTTACCCAACACTCTACGCCTAACGTCAACATTACTTACCTTATTATACCACCTAACGCGAGAAAGAGATCGTAAACATCTGTGGTCAAAAACAGACAATCTCTTCATGTCTTCCGCTCTCAATGGCCACGTCTCACCGCCATAGAGAAAGACGGAGCGAACTGCTGAGCAGTATACACGTCCCTTGGTTGACAGCCGGATGTCACGCCTACGCCAGAGACGGTGTAAGTTAGCGAAAGCAACCCGAGCTTTCTGGATCCGTGCTGTGATTTCGTCACCAATCAATCCGTTGGTGCTGATACAACTTCCCAAATAGGTGAAGTGGTCAACATGTTCTATCACTTCAATCCCTATCACTAAGCTAGGAGTTGACGTAGTCCAGTCCTGTAGCAGCATCTTACATTTCACAGGGGCGAATCGCATGCCAGGTAGAGGGTGCATAGATCATATCCACTCGCCACAGGGGGGGGGGGAGACTGAACCCAGGACCATTCAGTTACAGGGCGAGCTCGTAGACTATTTATTCTAACTTCTGCCATTTCGAGAAATGTGGCTCTCTAACTGATGTCAACTCTTGATCAATCCTGTAATAATAATAAGAATAAAATTCTACATAGATTAAGGAAATCTCAGTTCATTATGACAACAACATATTGGCATGTCGGTAGCAAAGCCAAAGTTGAACAGTGTTTGAAAAGTAGGTGCTGTCATATTTACTGGCGTAAGCGGAAGAAAGAAACAAAGCAGCACATAACGGAAAAAGAGAGAAAAGGAAAAGAAAGAAAGAAAATGTTGTACCTATAAATGATATGAGTTGGAAAGACGAGGTCCAGTTGTTCTACTGACTATTTAATGAATTATAGGTGTCACGCCTAATGCTTTCTTTATCGCACAGAACACGAGCTGAGTAGGGTATGGTTGAGTTTCTGTACTTGCTAGTGCGAGCATATAGTTTTCTATATAGGCTTCTGGTTTTACCTGATGAGATGCAAGGGGAGAGTTGTGAGTGAAGAGGGTGGTGTGAGTTAGATAAAATGGATTTAGCCCATTTTTCACATGAGTCCAAGTGCCTGTCAACCAGAATATTAACAAGCTGGTTAAGTGGCACGTTGCTTACCCTGCTGACAACCTTTAACATCCTGCGTAATAAGGTATAGTATTTCTTCAGTAGCCCGGGAAAAACTAAGGGGGAACAATAGAGAATAATAGGCAGAATGCGAGAGTTAACGAATTGTAGGAGTAAGGGTTTGGTTATACCAGAATGTCTTAACTTCTTGATGTAGAAGGTAAGACGGAATATTTTCTTAGAAATCGTCAAGATATGAGACGACCAGGAGAGATCAGCAGATAGAATGACGCCTAGGTATTTAATTTCCGACTTGGTTTCTATTTCAGTGCCATCTATGTTGCACACCTCGTGAGAGCTAACCAGTTTGTTTAGGTCGGATTTATGCCTAAAGGTGAAATTGACTGTTTGGCATTTGGAGGGGTTTAAGGTAAAACCGTAGCCAATATAATCCCTGCAAACCAACACTTGATACTTAATTTGATGCTCACTAGTAACTGACTGTATCACAGAAAGTTACCTGGAGTTCTAGCGAGAAGTTGTAACCAGCGGGGTGCATCAAGTCAGGTAAGATGACAGTTACTCGTATATGTTTTTATGACTTTAGACGTATTGATTATTTAAAGTGTTGGTTTCCGGACAACTCAAGGTGTCGAGTTTGATCCTCGGCGGAGAAGAGACCCAACAAGACGAAACAGTTGTCTGGTAGTTCACGGTTACCAATGATTGTAAAACTGAAGTTAATTCGTCATCAATCTTGTTCTAATATTCTTTGTTGTAATGTCGTATCTGTAGACGACAGCTTCATGGAGACGTCTTCAGTTTAGTCACACTAAGCGAATATCGTCATCATCATCATTCAACGAGCACAATTCGAAAAACAACAACAACAAAACTCCTTTATATTCATCCAAATGTGTCACAAGAGAATTTATTTTGACGATATACACAAATTCTATTCACATATATTATATTACAGAAAAATAATCTGTACAGTGTATGAGGGAATGGATACAACAGGGCGGGTTTAGGGGATAGTTAACTGTACACACACTGTCTGTGTTTTGGTTTTTCCTCAGCGTCCAAATGATGACTCCAATTCAAACCATTGTCGTAAGGCGTCAGCGAGTAAATTCGGTAAGCAGGCTAAATCACGTAGAACTAAGTAGTAGGGCAATGGGAAGACATCCATATACGGTTGTAATTTACCCGGACCACAGTATCGTCGAAGATCAAATATAGAATGCTAAAAAAAAAACAATACAAAAATTAAAGTTTGAAAAAATGCTTTAAAACACACGCATACTACTTACTAGTAGATAGATTTGTTTATGAGAAATTTTCAAGTGTTAGTTTGTAGGCGATTTTATTGACACCATTTAAGACGACAGGGTACTGAACAGATGTTTCATCCATCGAATCATCTATCAGGGGGTCGAACCTAGAGTGTTCGGGTTGCGGAGTAAGCCAATAGGATGGAATCTAAAATGGTCCATAAATTCTAACGTCTACCAAACTCGCGATACACAACATAACTACAGCAAAGTGTGAATGAATTCGCCGCCGAAAAAAAGAGATTCTTCGCGCTGAACTTTGTTCTTCTTATATTCATGTCTGGATGGCGGTGTTTTCCGTGAATTATTACTAACTGACAAATAACCTTACCTCTAATCTCTGTTATCAATCTATCCTATACATTGCACATATGATAAACACCCCATATACAGTAGCTCTGAAATGAAGTCACGAAAAGAGATCTCTTTCTTCTGCTGACTCACGTGTCCTTAATATTGTCCCCTGCAACGTCACATCCAGTAAGCATCCCATTAGTTATATTTATTCCTAACACATGTGTGTATAAATACGACTGACTAATACAGCTGTTAGAAAATGAAGTCGATGAACTGAGGTACACTTCTTCGCTGAATAGAAAAAAACCCGATTTCTTCGTATCAATGAATAAATGGGCAGAATTTGTTTGACTTGAATTTAAATCGCCAACTGACATCAGTTAGAAGAGAACCATGGGAAAGTCAGCTGGGAATACTGGACAGTTGATTCACGCTAGTTTGGTACTCTTTATCAGGGTTCGAACCCAAGATCTTCCGGTTTATAAGGCGAGCTCGTAGACCATTAAGCCAATGGAACCCGACTTAATGATCCATGAATTCCAACTTCTGACAGTTCGTTTTATATATATTTAGCGCAATCGCCAGTCAATGTCACGGGCGAGCTACTGTTCTCTTGCCTAACACTTAGTGGACTCCGCTAGTTACGACTTCTCACCAGAACTCCAGATTACTTCCTGTTTAGAGCCAGCCCCTAGTAAGCATCAGATTGGATGTCAGGTGTTGATTTGCAGGGATTTCACTGGCAACAGGATTGATTCCAAGCAAGAGGACAGTTATTCGCTAAATATATTTGTCTCGAATTGACAGAAGTCGGAAACCATGGTCCATTGGGTCAGGTCCCAGTAGTAACTGAATCGTCTACAAGCTCGTCTCGTAACAGGAAGGTCCTGGGTGTGCATTGCTGAAGAGTCCCAACCTAGGACGATGCAACTAGCTGTCCAGTACTCCCAGCTGGTTCTCTTTACTGTTGTCAGCTTGTAGGTAATCCTGGAATGAACAGATGTTTCGTCCGAGTACAACGCACCACCACCCATAGTGGTTCAAACGGATGACATCCAGATTACAAGGCAAGCCGTTGGGGGCCCATGAATTCTAACCCCTGCTAATTCGCGACATATAGCATGACCGCCAGTCAGTGTCATCGATTAGTATTCGTTCTGACATTTGGTGAACCCTACTAAACGGGAACTTACCTTTTTGCGTACATCATCCAGAATAAGACAGACAGGGAAAATATGCGAATCACGTGCCAATCGTACTGCAGCCTGTAAAGATTGACTTTGTGGATCTTCGGAGAAAACACCATCTGACAGAATTAATAACAGTTGACTAGGTATTGTACTCGAAGAGTTTGTATAGCCGATAGAATTCATAAGATGGATAGTACAATGAAGCAACTGAAATGATTAGAAACAAAAAATGGGAATTGGAATTACTGAAGTCGAGAACAAAGGCTTTCGTTCAGAACGTTAACAAGTGTTTAAGTTATGCTGTATCTCTTCACCTAAGCTGAAATTCCCCCTTTGAGGTAAATGATCTCCTCAGAGTAACCTGCTTTTGAAGATTATTATTATTTTCTAAATTTTATTCTTTTACGCTCCCAGTGGAACACATAGAGTTTCAAGCTAGAGCTTTGGAGTTTCGGTAGCAGTGGTGCTTTTTTTTTACGGCATGAGGTTGCTGGCCTCATGTCCCTCTTCCCAACCTTCCCTCTATACCAGTGTCATTACTGGCTTAGCGAGGTGTATCGGTCGGGAATCGAACCCCCAACCACATGCATGATTAGCGAGCATTCTAAAGTTGTGCCACTGACACACACGCTTTTGAAGATACATAAACTCAATTGGTTGATCCAATCTCACTGCGACTATAAAAGGCTCACATATAGGCTGGAATCACGAGAAATACCATTGGAATACCACAATAACTGTTAGGAGTTAAGTGTATTACGTAACAGTGTTACGCTTGCCCGGCTAACATCAATCTTAAACTGTAACCAAACGAGTTAGGATTTGAAGGAATTCAAGTAGCAATCAATAAATTTCCTGAAAAACTCGAAAATGATGACTGACAAATCTAGCCAATGTGGTTCAAAGTCGACTTCACAGAAACAGATACTTTCCAACACTATCACATGCAGTCCACTGTGTGGAGAAACAAGATGGGCATACGATAGACAGACAAAAAGACTCTAGAAGATCTGCATTATGCAGCTAATTATTTATGTTTCGGATCACACAAACTTAAAGATTTACAAGGAAAACCCGACAAGTTGACAGAAGAGACAGGGAAGACAGGAATTCACGTGAACATAGAGAAGACAGAGGTGATAAAGATATCTAGCCAACAACAACATGCACCTATCATTACCAATAAGAGAAATCTAAAGGATAGATGAAGATGTCAAAGCCAAGCTCGGGAATAACAGGTCTTCATTAGCCTGAAATCTGCTGCACTCTACGTTAAGGATGATTTTCGCCACTAATGTCAAGCCAGTCAGTGCTTCTATGTGGTTCACAGACCTGGTGCGTCAACGAAAGCGTTTTCAACAGGCTATTAAAGACTTTTATCAACATCTACCCTCTTCATTCGATTTAGAAAATCAAATCACAACAACAAGGAACTTTGGCAGATAGAGAACCAAGCAAGAATTTATTGCCTAACAAATATACAGAAAGATGGAGTGACCATACGCTGAGGACAACGTCAACTGGCATCACACACATATGAGGCTCTCGGGTGGAATCTGAATGAGAAGTGACGGATTGGATGTCCGAGGACGAGATGGATAGGAACATACGATTTAGGAAGTGAAAGCTTGCGAACATTCGTGGAACTGGCTGAAATTGACAGCCATGAACGGAGTGCAATCGAGATGTGACACTGAAGTCCTGTGTTCTCCTCAGAATGAATAATAATGATAGGTGTGAAAAAATATGGACGCGGGTACGAGTGAATCGAAGAAATCATTGGGGGGGGGGGGGGGGGAAATATTCAGCGAAAACAACTGACGACTTACCTGAACTAGTGATGTTTTCGGCTGTTCAAAAGTGAATTGACTTAACACACGAGGACCAACATCTGTTGCCCACGGATCCTTTGGATCGTGTAGAACACGTACTGATTCACCAAAACTAGTTTATTTCAATGTGTATATATCAAAAACATAGTAATTATTATAAAGCATATAGAAATTGTAATTGTAAGAAGAAATTCATTTGTATGGTAAATATAAAATGTGTAAACTAAGCACCGTGTTCAACACTGAGACTGGCATTTGTAGCTGTTGCACAGACACTAGGATACACGTCCAGCATGTTGAGCGCCACAGCCTTCCTCGGCAAGCAATATTAACTGATATAGAGTTAGGTTCCGTGAGAGTTTTAAGCGGTGGTCAAACTAAAAACACGGAATCTATCCATGAAGTATTTGACAGTTCGTGTGAACACATAGAAGGTGTAGATTGTCTGGTTCAAGTCTTTGGGATGTTGAGAATCAGTAATTGGAGGCTGTTGGTGATATGGTACAGATGAATTGACTTTTTATAGTCTCCTAAGATCTATTAAATCGTCATGCATTTCCAATCATTGTATGTCGTTTGAATGAATTCCTTTTTCTCTCTTTTCTCCACCTTTGTATGTTACGTGGGGTGTGTTGCACTGGCGATTTGAATTGTCGCACACATTTCTATGTTGAAATTCAGTTAGCCAGCCAGCCAGTCAGTCAGTTTAACAAAAAGAATGCAACACTCACAGTTGAATAAACTTAAAGCGCGAGATCTCGTCATGACATCTTAAAGAAACTCTCAAATATTGAAATTACACTTAACAACACAAGGGGCAATCAAGGTTGAAGACAGGTAAAAAAGAACTGTACGAGATTATATACTATTTATTGACTGATGAACTGAAAATCAGTGTCATAGTAGTGTGATTGAATTACGTGGCATACATGTGACAATCATTGGAGAATTAGTCAGTCTCTATTGCCAGCCAGCATACTTTGCGAAACCCGTGGAAGGTTGATTAGTCAGAAGAGCAGGAGGCGGGCGCTGTGTTATGTGACAGTCATAGGGTGCATTGGTTACCTGTTCGCCACCCTTTATCATTCTATTCTAAACACTATCACACACGTACTGATTCCTGATGTCAGGACTGCCTACCGCTTGGATAGTAGAATATCGGTATACGAACACTTTTTACCACTGTTCGAAACCAGTTTAGGTAAATCTGCCCCAATTTTGTAATCGACAACATTTTGAAGACATCTATGAAGGATGTATATAGGGTGATGGTGGCGGGGGTGTAGACCCCCTCGTTGTATGAGTGGGGGTGGCATCAGTTTTCAGGTTTCATAGCAATCTAAATCGTTTCATCTATATGAACAGGGAAATACTCTCCTCCTACTCCTAACTCTAATCCTAACCACAACCTTGATCTTAATACTAATCTTAACACTGACGTTGCTATCAACCTGTTGTCCAAACAGTACTCAATAATAAAACGAGATCAGGATGAACCTTGCGCCTCAGTTCGTGCACAGCGTTCAAGGTCATTAGTGGTCCGCATCCCGTGAGTGGCTGGCAAAACACATGCAGAATAGATTGTTATAAGTTATCGTGAGACTCAAACATCTGGGTTTAGTTTGGGAATGGGGGATGATACTGGTCAGCGTAAAACATACAATCTTATCACCACCATCATCATATGAAAAGAAAGAGATTTGTACATACCTACAAACTCCGATTCGACCAACTTCGAGAAGATTCAATGCTGTGACAACAGTTGTCAGGGATTCAAATGTCATCTACAAAAAAACAAACCAGAAGGAGATGCTTAAGGCTATTTTTTTGAAGACTAAGAATTCATAAATTATGAAAGAGCAAAATTTCTTTAATTTAGTACATAAAAATGAAAACATACAGAAATATCAAACATTGTGGGATTCAGTTGTGATTAGAATAAACATCTCATGGTAGATTCCAACGTGAACTGAAAAATGGAGAGCACGAAACGCCTGTTTCACCCCAGTTACTGACTCTTCAGCAGAGATGGAATCTTGAACCTCCAAGTTACGAGACAGCCCATGTTTACCGCACAGTTTGGCGGATTTTATGAGTCACAACGCATTAGAATTACAGGAAGTCGACTATTATTGTTATCCTCTTGAGTTCCGAGTGGCATATGAGGCTTCAACAGCAGATCTGCATTTCATTTCGATCTTTGCAGTCCTCTTCAGCTGGCTTCTCACGACTGCTATATAAGCTCTCATCCCCTCTACATTATTCTCGCACCTACCATCAGCTCGTCGTTTTCCATTCGAGCAATGGTTTGGTGTAGGATGCCACTCACTCAACGGTCTCCTCAACGTATGTCCACTAATCCATCTCCACTGACTTCGGCATAGATATATATTGAACGATAGACTCTTGATCGGTTTGTTGGCAGAGTTCCTTGTTCCTACTCACTTATGCTTTCTGGCTGGTCATCTGGCCTTCCCGCTGGCATCAAGTCTCTGAACCGTATAGAAGCACTGTCTGGTTTGACGTTAGTGTTAGAAATCTGAAATCTTATTCCTTATACTGTGAGTGCAGCCGATTTCCCAGCTGATTTCAGATTAATGAAGGTTTGGCTTTGTTTGACATCCTCATCTGTGCCAACTGCCTGCAGTTGAAAGCAGTGAACTCCAACAAATTTCCCCCGTTGATAGTCGATTAGTGTTTCTTGTTGCTGGTTAGCTAACTCAAGTCACTCATAACTGACATTTAAAACAAGCAACAAATGTGGTTAATAAAGCAGGATTTAATGATGGATTCATCAAATCCCGGTAGAACTCGTCAGCTGCTCAGTACTCTACATACACGGATATATATACTATTTGAATTACATTGGGAGATATAAGACTGATAAGCAAATAAACTACATTGAATTAGTCATGCAGAAAGACAGGTGAGAATGTTTTCCAGGTCATGTTCAAATAGATAAGGGGAGAGAGAGTATGAGAGATCAAAATTAAGATAAAATGCATTACGCTTCAATTACATCACTTAGATAAACAATTAGTCATTAGAGAATATAACAAGAATTGGAAACAGAGTAATATCAATAGTAATAGTTATAATAACAATAATAATAATAGTGTTGAAGTGAGTTAAGATAATCCTACTGATGAAATTTCCCCAGTGGATATATCTAATTATGTTCATAATTTATCTGATGTTTCCCTATCAAAAGAACAAGCAGAAATTCTGTCATTGGGATTCAACTTCTGTGTTACCATGAAAAAGATAAAGCAAATTGATATCGAATGCGAATTCGATATCTTTATCAACATGAAATAAAATCTCTGAAGGATATTTTATCTAAGAATGGATATCCTGAGAAGTTCATCAATAAATACTCTAAAGAAATTAGCCCCTGCAAAACAATTCAAACAGTTCCGAAGAAACCTGTCTATATCAGTTTGCCGTTCAAAGGAGATGATGTACAGGAAGTAGTCAAACGGAGACTCGACAAAGCCATCAAGAGAACTTATTATGCTGCAAAACTTTTTATCCTTAACACCACCAAGCCAGTGCTTCAACAATCTGGGAAAGACCATTCGCCAATCCTCGACACTTCAAACTGCGTATATCAATTTGAGTGTGTTTGTGGAAGCAAATACATAGGTCGTACAGAAAGGCGATTGTCTACTCGCATGATGGAGCATTTGCCAAAATGGTTGAAAACAGCTGAGTGCAAAGTGCCAAAATCCTCAATAACAAAGCATCTTGTGGATTACGGACATGATATCGACGCGGTCAAGTCATTCACTATTGTCAGCAGACAAAGAAACAAGAAGATGCTTGCAATTGCAGAGGCTTGTGCAATTCGAGTTTATAAACCAGGTCTCTGTGTACAAAAGGAGATGGTCGTGACTCTGAATCTACGATGGTAATACGTTTCACTTATTATTCTACCTCTTATTATTATTATTACTATCATTATTATTCTTGATTCATTTAAAACTATCCTTTATCAGTAGGATTATTTTAACTCACTTCAACACTATTATTATTATTATTATAACTATTACTATTGATATTACTCTGTTTGCAATTCTTGTTATATTCTCTAATGACTAATTGTTTATCTAAGTGATGTAATTGAAGCGTAATGCAATTTATCTTAATTTTGTCTCTCATACTCTCTCTCCCCTTATCTATTTGAACATGACCTGGAAAACATTCTCACCTGTCTTTCTGCATGACTAATTCAATGTAGTTTATTTGCTTATCAGTCTTATATCTCCCAATGTAATTCAAAAGGAATATATATCCGTGTATGTAGAGTACTGAGCAGCTGACGAGTTCTACCGGGATTTGATGAATCCATCATTAAATCCTGCTTTATTAACCACATTTGTTGCTTGTTTTAAATTTGTATCGGGAAATAAATGTTTTCAATTCTTGAAGAAGCATAATTAACTAGTGAAACAACCAAAAAACCCCATTTGATATCGATTTTATGGCAAGAAAATACAAACACACACACACACACACATACACTCACTTGTTTACAAAGATTCTCAGACATTGACGAAGAATCATCAACAGCTATCAGGATTCGGTATTCACGTTGACTCGGTTGAGAACGACGAAGCCAAATTTTATCTTTTCTAAACTGGCTAGCCAAATAAGGAATAATCTACAAAGGGAAACAGAGGATACAAAAAAAAGCCGACTGAGTGATAGGCATCATATAAGCGAGTTAATATATCACATAATAAGATGTCTAACTGTTTTGGAATATATTTATCTTCAGTAAAGTACAGTTGCAAGATTGACAGGGGCGTGTAATTGTAGTCATACTTGTAGAAGCATCATTCAAAGTAGTCGATAAATTTTGCATGATAATCAGAGAGATCTATGCCAACCCAAAGGGCATCAAAGGTTGGGGGTAATTGTGAAATACGACAGAATACACTCAGGAATGACGGAGATCGTCTACTAGTCAGTGATATGATGCCATCCCAGATACTCCTATATAGTTCACTGTTTTGTGAAGATAAGTTCAGAGGAGCTATAGAAGAGCAGGAAGAAGGCAAAACACACGTGGTAGTAAGTAGGTATTCTGACTTCTTCATCCTCTCCCCGACTCTTGAATTTCTAATCATACGTGGGATATGAGAATATATATTACTATTATCCTTATTCTCATGGGTTCCGAGTGAAATATAGGGCATCAACAGCACATTTACACTTTTTTCCTTTTCTCTGCTGTCTTCTTTAGTTGACACCAACGATTGCTCATATTCCTTCATCCTCCTCCTCCTCTCCACACGATCTCCTCCATGTCACCCTCGGACTCACGTCAAATTCGTCCGTTTCCCAGTTGGGAAACTGGTATGTCATTCAGCCGTCTCCTCAGTGTGTTTCCAATCCATGTACATTTTCTTCGAAATATTAGGTTCTTGGTTCTAATTCTTTCTGGCCATTTGATATTCAATATGAAGTGAAGGCAGCTGAGATCTGGCAGTGTATTATGTAATAATTCCAAGCTGTACCATGTCTGCATATTAAATAGAAGATGGTAAAACGAGATAGAACGTGGTAAACATTTTTATAGACCTAGTTTTATCAAATTAACTTAGACTTCAGACAAGATTAGTTTGTAAAAGAAAAGGCCGACATATCTTTCTGTGCCACACAAAAGTCCATAATGGTTAACTGACTGGTTTCAACGTAGAACTTTGCACACATGTGCAGCAGTTCAAGTCACCACACTCCCTCCTTGTAGCACACAAAGCAAGAGAAGAAAGTAGAAGAAATGCAAAATAGAGACAAAAAGAACAGTAATAACGAATAGTAATATCTCCACTGGGTTTCACCATTTCGAGGACCCCAACCAGGAAGCCAACACCCGCCTACGCGGCTGACTTAAACTAACTTTTATGGATTTCATTGACTGATGAAGCCAGTCATGTTTTGGTTTGACCATCACTAGCTAACTCTTTTCCAATCTGATTCACCCTATGTCAGCGGCTAACATTGCCCATTGTGGAGGAAGACGATGGTTAGACATGCGCAACGCAGAATGTCCTACCCATTTCAATCGATGTCACTTCACAACCTCGTCTATTGATTTCCCCTCCTTACCAACTAGCACTCGACCGATGCCTAACCTCAATATTGCTCACCCTACTATACCACCACTTAACATGGGAGATAGAACGCAGATGCCTATGATCAAAGACGGTTAGCTAGCTAGCCTTTTCGTATCTTCCACTTTCAATGGCCATGTCTCACTCACAGCCATAAAGGAGGACTGCTGAGCAGTACACACGCCCTTTGGTCGATAGCCAGATATCACGTCTATGATCAATATTTGTACAAGTATGATTCAGCATGAATGTGTAGGACGACCATGGCACCACACTAGAAACAGCATAAACTGGCATATGAGAAAGGAGCCTTGTGTATCCGTGCTGGGATTTCGTCAGCGATCAACTTCCCAAATAACAAGTGAAGTGGTCAACGCGCTCTACCACTTCACTCCCTATTTCTAAACTAGGAGTCAATGTAGTCCAGTCCTGTAGCATCATCTTACATTTGACAGCAGGAGCTGATCGCATGCCAAACATTCGAAGATTGCTGCTCCTCAAGGTGTTCAGAAGACTCTGTCGCGTTTTGTCAGCATCTTCACCTAGGAGGGGAGACCATATCATCCGCATATTCTAAGTCAACGAGATTATTCCCTGATGGTAACAAGTGAATCCCTGAGTCGCTGAAGTCATCAGTTAGGGTTAATTCCATTAGTACATCTGGTTAAACAGGACTTTCTACTTGAGAGAGGAAGTTGAAGTGTAAAATAGTCGTTTGAAGTGAAGCCCACTAGCTACATTAGTCATTGACTTCGATTATAAGTTGGAGTAGTAAAACATGCAGTTTAATAGAGAGAGAGAAAGAAAGAAAGAAGGTCATCAATAGTTCACTCTACGTCCTATTCCTTCGCATAGTTCACTCCAGATGCATATTGAATATTTATTTATCCTTATTATTTATGAGAAAACTGCTCAAATCATCGATTTTAAATAAACACAAACTAACCTTTCGCATATTAATACGTTTCCCAGTACGATAATCTCCCCGTAAACGTGATGCTTTAGTTGGTTCAAGTACCAAACGAAGTGCTTCACACAATTGACGTGATAAACCACTCGATCGTTGACAACAAGCTGCCCATTCTAAAGCACCTTCAAGTGATGTCTGCGCAAATCTATTGTCTAAAATTTGTAAATCTGTTGACATCTCAGCCAGAGAATTATCTAGTGTTGACGGCGGCAGTTGTACAGCTTCAATCTTGAAGTTATGAAGAAAGACAAAGAAAAAACAACAACAGAAAAATGAAGGGGTAAGAGGAGATTTACGCAATCAAAGGTAAGGATCTTTGAAAAAAATACACGGGGGTGAAGCTATATATTACCAAAATCCCTATATTTGTAATTTTTAGCATTCATTATTTTAGATTTTCTCGACATATTCTTCCTAGGGTGGTGGGGGTGACATACAGGCGAGGCAACTGTCTGAGAAGGAAATGTAAGTGCATAAACAGTTTCGTGAAGTCAGCTTTGAAAAACAGAACTGCAGAAAACATATTCTACCCCTCCCCCATTTAAAACAAATTGAAGATGTGACTAAACAACACTGCATTCGGATGGAAGTCTCTGTCTTTGTATATTTTATTCCTTTGTGTTCCGACGGAGGGGGAGGGGAAATAGGACTTCAAATTTAGGCTTTGAAGTTTCAGTGGCAGTAGTGTGGAGTTGCTACTAGCCTCACACCCAACCTTCCCTCTTTACCAGTCTTACTACTGGCTAAGAGAGGTTTAGGAGTGCATCGGGTGGGAATCGAACCCCGGACCAGGTGTGTGTGTGTGGTTAGAGAAGATTCCACTACTGAGCCATCGACATACAAAATGCTCATCCAAATGCTGGAACTTGTGGAAATGAAGCTGGAAAATTTAGATTTCAGTCTGGCACACAGTAGTTATTTCTGAAGACATTCTTCCTTGTTGACCACCTCAGTTATTTGTGGGGAAGTTGCATCAGCCAACGCCAACGGGTTGATCGCTGACAAAATCTCAGCACAGATACAGGAGGCTAGTTTCGCATATACCAGTTTACACCGTCTCTGGCGTAGGCGTGATATCTGGCTATCGACCAAAGGGCGTGTGTACTGCTCAGCAGTCCGCTCCATCCTTCTCTTTGGCTGTGAGTGAGACATGGCCATTGAAAGTGGAAGATACGAAAAGTCTAGCTAGCTAACCGTCTTTGATCATAGGTATCTGCGTTCTATCTCCCATGTTAAGTGGTATAGTAGGGTGAGCAATATTGAGGTTAGGCATCGGTCGAGTGCTAGTTGGTAAGGAGGGGAAATCAATAGACGAGGCTGTGAAGTGACATCGACTGAGATGGTTAGGACATTCTATGTTATGCATGCCTTGCCTTGGCCTTCGTCAACAACGGGCAATGTAGTCAAACCAAAACATGACTGGCTTCATCAGTCAATGAAATCCACAACAGCTAGCTTAAGCCAGTCAGCCATGTAGGCGGGTGTTGGCTTCCTGGTTGGGGTCCTCAGAATGGTAAAGCCCAATGGCGGCTGGAGACAATTGGTGATATGGCTGACTCAAAATCGTTCTCAATAATGACTGACACAGATGCATCCACTCCTTGTGACTTATAATTTCCAATGAAACTATTTTGTTCTTCGTTATTACTATTCATTTTGTCTCATATCTCTGTCTACTGTCTCTATTTTGCATTTCTTCTACTTTCTTCTCTTGCTTTGTGTGCTACAAGGAGGGAGTGTGGCGACTTGAACTGCTGCACATCGGTGCAAAGTTCTATGTTGAAAACAGAGAGAAGAGACATTCTTCTCATTCCCTAGCTAATACTATCGATCAGTCGACAGGCAAAACTTTGTTGCTTAACCTTAGTTTAGCGTTTGTATGAATTAACCAACAATTGGTGTCGACAACTTTGAGATTTATACTCAAGGCTTCCGAAAAATTGATGGTCGCCTAGGTCAACTGATGTGTAAATTTTGATCAGAGAGTTAAGTAGTTAAATAGTGTATATTCTCAACACTTCCACAATGTGAAAGAGCTTGACAGGGTTTATCCCTTAAGCATATAGTTTAATCACTTGCTCCCGGAACAGTGATAATTTTCTAAGCAACACCTCTGTTGGTAACTGTGATATAGGTAAGAAGCACTGTAGGTCAGAATAGATCACTGCTGAAACACAAACTCATAATTAACACTCTGGTTTTGTGTCGAAATTTGAAAAAGTCTCATGTAGGTGACATTTCTCTGCCTTAAGGCTAATTTATTCGTCTGCTACACAACCATAATTCATGGATGTCATAGTCTCAGGTGGTTAGACTGTTTCTGACAGCATAAAGTTTTCCCTATTTACATACTGCTCTCTCCCAAGTAACAGGTGCTACATAAACGTGCTGATCGAGTTTTCACTGGCTTGAACCAATATTTTTTCAGGTTCTACAACACCACGAACCCCATTTGGACAGTTGGTTAGATTAAAGGCACTCAATATCCTAGTGTAAGTCGTTTATGCTATGTTGAGGGTCTGTGGGTGAACTTGGACTGCTAGCGAACAGGAATGTAACATTAGAAAGGTGTTCCTACAGATCAAGACCAGCAAGCCAGTTATACTGTTTCTCTTCGCTATGAGAAAGAAAAGGATTCGAAAAGATCAACGCTGGGAATAGGACATCCTGACTTATTTTTCGGTGGTCTGTAGCTGCCGACACGTTTGCAATACTATAAAAAACACACAACTCCAAACAAGGCGTGTGTGTGACTGACCTCAGGCAATTGCGGTTACGCAACACATGCTACTAAGATTACAAAACACAGACAGAAAGTGGGCAGAAGCAACAGATATTATAAAAAGGAATTACTCACCCGTGTACAAATAACCGACTGTGGTGGTCTTTGAGCGCCTAAAGTTGGTACAAACTCTGCTGTTGGATCAGATTCAACCGCTTCATCACCGCCAGGATACTGTTTGCCTTTCACAAAAGGATTTAACTGTTGTGGTAGAATGTTTGTTTTAGCATCACTTGGCTGATGACGACGATGATGATTCAGAAAATGGCGTATATAAAATGGGGGAGAAAATAGGTAAATATGAGTTGAGAATCACAATTTCACATGATCAAATGTTAATATATTCAAAGAATTTCTTTCTTAAAAGCCACGTTTGTTGAAAACGCCTACTTAAACCGATTTATTGTTAAAAATATATGTAAGATAAACATTCTAAACTGATCATTAACTCAGTTCCAGAATGAAACTAACTTTATGAATCTGGAATTCAAAAGTGATTAGGCTTCAGATATGCTTAGTCAGTCAGGAAGATATTCCCTGTAGCTAATCTCCAGTTGATGCATTCACCAGCCGGAGGTCGTCTCCGTGTGCATCTATCAGTACACCTGTTCTTCTGGAGCAAGGTATATCGGTTTTAGCCAGAGAATGATTCTCTCCCGGATATGATTCCATATTCCGACATGGTTTTAAAAGTGGAGAAAGAAAGGCGATGAGAACTTTTACACCTGATCAACTTCTGTCACTCACCAACACTGACCATCACCTATCGAATTCACGCTGATTTGGTGCATTTCCTCCGTTCCATATGTCTAAAGACATCAGAGACCTTGGCTTGACCTCTGTATACACAAGAAGTATGTGTAGTCCTTAGTTTTACCTTGGCTGTTTTGTTTATTCAATTTTTGTACCTTCCCCTTAATACTACGATTGTTATTATTTTTGTGTTTTTTTTACTTTGAACAGTCTCCTGTTGTATTTCACTTGTCCCATTTATTATTCTAAATCAATTTTTTTGAAATGTTTAAATCTGTCTTGTCAAACTTCTCATCATCATGTTATGTAATGTGCTGTGGATACAAACTGATGAAGAGTCACGAACTAGGACGAAACAGCTGTCCAATAGTCTTGCATAGCTTTCAGTCATTCCCTAACTGATGTGAATTCTTTGAAAAAAACCTATAACCAATCAAACCGTTGCAAACCAACACTAATATATATATATATATTCAAACTCAAGCTAATGAACAGCAAATCCCAAAATTTCGAAATCCCTATTTGAAGAAAGAAAACTAGCAACATAGAATTAATTAAGAATCCCCGAATGTTATTTCCTGAACTGTTATTCAGTATCCACTTGCATATCCATGCAGTTTGTTATATGAGTCATCCCTCTACTGTGTGTGTGTGTGTGAGGGTTAGTGATATACTACCTAGCTGGCCTAAGCCTTTCGGTAGGTGTGTGGTGAGAGCTGGCTGCTAGCCAAAGTTGGTAGACAGTAATTGACGTCAATGTTTATGTCCCCAATATTGGTGGTGAGAAAATGAGAACAAAGCCTTTGTGTAAGCGGATACAGTTAGCATATAGATGATCTGACACAGCCACAAAGAGATGCAAGGTTAACTTTCTGTGAGAAACAACCAATCAAAAGACTGTATTTTCTACTAAAAATAATCTACAATAATGTACATGCAAATCTATAAATATGTGTGGATTTTCCTTGATAAACCATCTGTTGCCTGACCCTTGTCTTCTGTTGTTACAGGTGGAATGGAGTTCGAATCATCCATGACCCACTCCTCGATTAGAAGTCGATCGCCCAAATTGTTGAACCCTAGTTTCATTAGAAATCCTTGCAAAACAGACTGAATGAATCGATACAACAGCGACAACACTTGTCTTGAAGTCACAGTAAGTTGTAAAACTTCAAATCCCAGTCCAGTTAAGTAGCAATGCGGTAGGATAAAAATCCTAACAAAATAGAGGCCCAGTGAAACGTATTGTATATTATAGTCAACAGACAAACGAACAAATAAACAATATAAATATAGTAAACAAAAACAATCAGGAGACAATAATAAAACCCTTATAACAAATACCTCCAATTCTGATGTTGGCAGTCTTTCATTATCGGCATCCTTGTTATCGACATTATCATCCTTTTCTAGGCCAGTGTCATTATCGTCACACTGACTCATAGATTCATCGTCATCACCATTAGTCAATTGTTTCTCTGCCTGGTCTAAAGTCGCTGAATCACGAACACATGGAGCATTGGCATTATTGTTTGGATCCTCAGGGTTGGGCAGATGTTGAAACAACTGTGAATTCTTGTCATTTTCATTAGAGGATGAGTCCTGTTCACCGCTTTGTTGTTGTTGTTCTGAATCTACTTCTAAAGTTTCAACCTAAAAAAAGAAGAATATATATAAAAAAGTTTCAAGTTTTGGTTATAGTGGGAATTTGTGAATGAATGAATAAATGAATCACCAGGTGACTTTAGTTAGAAAGAGCCATTGAAAACTGCTAGGGATTAACTGGACAGTTTCAAACAGGGACAAAACAGTTGAATCCAGTACTCCACCCCTGGTTTCCTTCAATAGTTCTCTCAACTGATGTCCGTTAATGAACACTCTCGAAAGAATACATACGCCAATTATACAGAAAACAAACGCAACAAGTACAAGCTGTTAATTCACAAGAGAAACAATATAATATCACCGGATTCGGGTTTTATCTAAAGTCGTCTAAGAAATGAATTTAGACTTCCGGAGTGATTGGTGAATATTCTACCACTCAACGATCAATATAGAACCAGAGAGTACTGGAGAATTGTTTCGTCCTAGTTTGAGACTATTTGGTAATGTGCTTGTTGGCTGGCACTCACCAGTCACAGCAAGGCGGATCTACAATCTTAAAGAACTTATGTCCACCCTAAGATTTGAAACCGTAACACCCAGTGGTGCTACTACTTAGCATCCAATCAAAGTATCTATTACAGACCTACAGGAGGTCAATAGCTAGTCAAAATAGCTGAGTGGTTATGCCTTTGATTGCAGGCAGCACCGGGTTTGTATCTGAAAAGGGACATGAGTTACCCCCCGCCACCCGCACACTGAAGACGCGCCTTGCTGACGAGTGTCAGCTAACAAGCATGAAACACAGCTTTACAGCTTCCCGCTACTTGTCTCCAACCATCAAATAACAACGATTCACAGTGCGCTGTGATGGTGAGCCACCTTGGATGGTGGTACCCACATTACCAACTTGACTGATAGAATTCAGTCAGCACTGAACAACGGAACAGACGCATGACACTAGTTAATTACTACCTAGTGTATGATCATAGTACCTTTAGATTATGGCATGATCCCGCTGACCATTCAGCCACTGAGATAAGAAACATCTCAGAATATCAACAGGGGTGCACTTAAGACATGGCTTATTTAACAAACATAGACGTTGAACAAATCTTTCTACTCACCCCAGACAATAAAGACTTTTGTTTGTTAGCTAGACTTCGATTTTCTGATGTCGGCTTTGGACCAGAACGAGACTGACTTCTATTAACCTGATGTTGTTGTTGTCCAGTAAGTGGTTCTGTTCTTGACGTTTCCGATTGATCACCACCACGAGTAGATGGTGTATATTTTTCACCTGAAGCATCTCCTTGACTAGACTGATTACCATCAGTTAATTGTTGAGGTGGTATATCTGATGAATCCATATTTGAGCCATTCTTTTCATCATCATTCGTTTCCTTAATAAAACAGAACAAGAAAAGAAAGGGCGGGTTTAATCACTTCAGTGGGATGTAACCAATAAACTACAGTACGACAAGCAAAATTGATTTATTGCCAGTATCATGCTAAGTATTAGCAACAATGTCATGGCATATGCGTGTATGTGCAGTAACTTGTCTGAATTTTGGATTATCCAAAATACTTTCTTCCATCAAACATGTATCACTTGAAATTACTCCTTTAGTTTTGTTTGAATTAATCAAAAATGTCGCCAAATTGCATAATTTTTAACCGCGCACTTTTCAACCTATCCCCCTTTCCGTGTTCCGCCATAAATTCGATAGCAATGAAGCATATAAACATAAATCAAGTAACTGCCCGGAATTAATTTTGATTTTATTCGCATTATGAAATGCATCGAGCACAACATGTGAACTGCTCACTCAGGTTCCTAGCACTTCTGTACGAGGCAAACTGGCAGAACTGTTGTTCGATAAGGTTCTCGCTGAAAATAGTAATTTCAGACTTCAAGATAAACCAGAAGTACAGAAATAATTCAGTTTGGACTTTAGAAAAATGAGTGATTACTATTGAACCTTGAACAAGATTTGGCGGTTCACTCAAATGAAGGTCAACTAATCATACACATAAATATACAAGTACAAATAAAAACAGAACTTACAGTTTTGTCAACATCTTCAACGTTTTCATCATGTCCACCAAGAACCTAAAATATGATGAATTCAGAAAGGGAAATTTACAGTTTATCCTCTAAACAATATCAGCTGTACCGCACTAGTACAAAATAAGGATGAAAGTGTTCCACGATTTTATCAAAGGTTTAGGAACCCCATAGCTACACGCTAAAGTGACAGAATATCTTCAAAGCTGACAGATTTCTACCGTATGCATCCTGCTATTTAATAAACGGGCGTAATGACCTTGAACAACCAATCACATGAATCCGCAGTATATTGGAGGAAATATGGATGCTGTTCACGGATTACATAGCAGATTTCATTCAAATCTAGTATTTCAGGCTCATAGGTAGGGAGAAGACAGAAAGATGTGGAGCAGTAATGCATTTAAAGAGCTACACAACCTCTGTTGATGGGTTTATGCACAAATGCCCAAACTAACATAGCAGGAAATCTATACAAGAAGATACTTAATCTCTTTTTTAGATTCATAAATGCTATAGAACAGTGAATGGGTCACGTACAGAAATAGGTTTGGACTATCGCTGAAGACTCCACCAATAACGAATTAGGAGGTTTTCTTGGGACAGATATGAGAAAGTTAACCTGTATAACTACTTTTTTATAACACTAACTGTGATGTCTATAAAAGGGTTTTTAAATTACGCGCACATTTACTACAATGTGCTCATGTGACTGGTCGATCAAGGTCATTACGTCCGTTTACTTATATCTTTTGTTTGGATCATTAGAGATTTGAGATACATATTTAAAATATGTTACGTCGCAAATGATGAAGACACTGATTACTGTGTAGAGTCTGCACACATTTGGCTGTAAGCTTCACGATTTTGAAAATCAATAGTTGGAGACTGTCATCGCCACTAACTGACAAATCAGAGTAGAATTTTTCAATGTTAGTTTGTAGGGTTTTGATTGGTAGGATATGGTGGGAAGTTCAGTTTCATTTCCCGGTTAACGCATTCCCTAAACCTCACATGCCTTGTGGTGAGACTCTGTACAAGAGGGAGGGTTGAGCATGAGGCCGCCAGCGACTCCACCCCTTGAAAAATAACACCTTCACTACTGAAGCTTGAGGCTTCATGGTACCGCCTTCCGATCTTGACCACACCTCTCCAACACTGAGCAAATGTGAAAAATGACATCAATCTTGATGGATAGGTGGCTGATAAAATCTCGATTTGATTTTTTGAATCCTGTTGAAATACTCTACAAGATCCCTGATTAATAAATGGTCTGTCTACCTACATTTGAGCTGTGAAGGAGTGATTGTTCACTAACAATGTGTGTAAATTCTTCATCGAAATGTCTGAAAGTAGTAGTACTTTTTGAAACCATCTTTAATAACTTGAAGCAATTTGATGGATGGTGACCAGCAGTGGAATCAGTCCAGAATTCATCCGTACAACAAGCCAATATGTCAGTCAACAAAAGCCGAACATTTTGCTGCAATCAGTCAACGGGAAAATCAAAATTACTGAACTGACACTTGTTGCACGACAGGTGGTTCTTGGGTCTCAAGTGGTCTAGTGGATAACACTTTGGCGCGTTTGAAACGATGGGTACTGGGTAGAGGAGCCTCAATAGGAACACTATCACGCACTGGTGAGTGCAGGCACATCCGGTGGACGAAGTGCGCGTTGTCCTGGAGGATGCCGCCAGTAATGCTAGTCACCATCCACTGGATTTCTTCAATTTTAATCCTCAGACATAGTCACAGCCGCGCAAGAGGCTAATTTATCAACACAGACGCCGAGAATATTTCGGTCCAGTCAATCAGTTTCGCAAAAATCAAAATTGAATTAAGAATTAAATGCGTCATCTTAAGTAACATTTAAAAGAAAGCCAATATGAACTGCAGTACACACGTACGCGCACACATATGCACACACACACACAATGATGAACTTACATTCGACTGAGTATTCAAATCACCTGATCCACTTCCATGGTAGGGAAATACTTCTACTTTAGCTGGATCTTCAACACTAGGATATTCATCTGTATGATAAGAAATCAGAAAAAAAAGATCAATAATGAAGGGGAGAGTAAATTATGGAAGCGAATTACTCACTCTTGAATGCACAATAATGTCAACGATGTGTTAATTTACGAAGATTTCATTGATTGACTTAAACACTTGGCTTTTAGACAACATCCGACTGCTGGCTCGAATCTCGCTCTATCTATTTCAGCCTGATCAACTGAGTAAGTAAGAGTTACAATCTGTTCCGGATATTATTATCATTATGGTTCAGTTTTGAGTAGAACATAGGACTCCAGAGGCAGATCTCCATTGCACCCGGTCCTCTGGTATCCTCTTCACATCTGGATCCCCGACTGCCAACAAGTTTTATTTCTTTTTACTTTATCAACTCCATGTCACCCTGGGACGTCTAACCTGTCGCCTTCCATTCGTGTTCTACTCAACTCCCTGTTGTGTGATGTTACTTAAAGTCTCCTCTCAGCGTAGGTTCAACCTATCCATCGCCATTCCCTTCTGCAATAAGTTCTTGGTCGGTCCCCTGTCAGAGTTTCGTGTTAATTATCCTTTCAGACTGACCATCTGATCTTCAGTATCGAGAGAAGGGAGCAGGTGCTGATGAAAGTCTGTCGTCTGTTCCGGGTTAAACTGAATTCTAAATACCTAACGACTATTGAATAGAGGAGGACAGATAACCTGGATCGTTAGTGTTTCAGTCATACTCAGACATCCCTAGTTGATTTCAAATCGTGATGAGATCTATCCCATCTTTATGAAATGCAATATTTCGATTTGAGTTTTACTCACTTGTAAAAAAAGTAAGTCAACAATAATCGCATTGATATTATTAATGAACATAGCAAACAAATCGTTCATTGAATACTCCTTAGCCATATGGCTAGAGGTCTGGGTTCGATCTCCGCAGATGTATTCTTAAACTTCGGCCTAGTTTATTAGCCAACAGTAAGCTCCAGAGAAGTAATGTTGGACATGAACAACACTCCATTTGAAGACTTACGATCAACTCAGAAAGCACAAAAAGGTAATGAAGAAAAGGTGAAGAATCCCAGAAGGATACACCAGAGTATTATAACTGATTATTATATATATATATATATATCGAGAATAATATCTAATAATAATAATACTAACCAATATCCATCGTTTCACCTTCCTTATTATTCTGTTCCAAATCTTTTTCATCCAACGTGGATTGATTATTCTCATCCTCTGGGTGACCACAAGGTTCTGTAAGAGAAAAAAAAGAAAGAAATTGGGCGTATGAAAATAAAGCAGCAATTGTGACTATAAGTACCAAAACTAAGTTGACAACCCTAACTGGCCGACTGACTGACTGATTGAGTTTTAACATAGGACACAGCAGCACTTAAAGTTGCCACAATCCATATAGCACACAAAGATGGACAGAAGACAGAGAGTGACAGATTCAAAAGGCCTAACATTAAAACAGAAATGTAAGGTAGGGATTTGAAAGAGGTTACTTCATCCACTTATCTAGGGAGCATTGTCTCAACTACAGGAGGAACGGACGAGGATAACAAATCAAGAATCGGGAAGGCGAGAAACACATTCATCAACCTGAAACCAATCTGGAAATCTTTGTCACTCAGCATCAACAACAAAATGATTCGGATTTTCAATACAAACGTCAAGTAAGTTCTTCTATACGGATCAGAAACTTGGTGGGTCACAAAGAATATTTACAACAGCCTGTTGCAGATCTTTATCAACAACTTTCTTCGTTCTATACTGAAGATCAGGTGGCCGGAAAGAATCAAAAACAAGAAACTATGGGAACAAACAAAACAAGAACCAATCGCCAAACATATATGCAGGAAAAGTGGAGATGGATTGGACACTCGCTGAGGAGGCCGTTGGGTGACATCGCGCGTCAGGCCCTCGAGTGGAGCCCGAAAGGGAAGCGGCGAGCGGGACGTCCAAGGGTGACATGGAGGAGATCGTGTGAAGAGGAATTGAGACAGTATGGATTAAGACGGAGGCAGGTGAAAAGTGCAGCAGAAGACAGAAGCAAGTGGAGGCGTGCAATTGAAGCCCTATGTTCCACTAGGAACCCAAGGGAACAATAATAATAATGGTAGAAACAACCGTAGAATGGAAAAACATGACGGCTTAGGAGATACGGGAGAACACGAAGAGTGAATGCATCTGCGCCATCAATAAGAATGATTTCCCGTCATACCATCAATAGTTTCCAACCATTGGTTCTCAGAATCTTGGAGATTCCAATCAGGCAGTCTATACCTTCCTCCAGTCATGGACTGGATCCAGAAGGCTCGCTTGGCATACGCCGACTTACGCCATCTCTAGCTTAGTAGACGTGATATCCACCTATTGACCAAAAGAAGTGTGTACTGCTCAGCAGTCCGCTCCATCCTTCTTTATGGCTGTGAGTGAGATGTGGACAGTGAAAGTGGAAGTAATGAAAAAACTAGCTAGCTGTCCTGCATCATAGGTGTCTGCGCTCTATCTCTCGTGTTAAGTGGTGGCATAATAAGGTGAGCAATACTGAGATTAGGCATCGGTTGAGTGATAGTTGGTAAGAAGGGGGAATTAATGGACGAGGTAGTGAAGTTACATTGACTAAAATGGCTAAGACATGTGTTACGCATACATCCCTAACCTTCGCCTTCCTCGACGGGTAATGTTCGTTGACACAGGATGGATCAAGCTGGAAACAAACCAAAACATGACTGGCTTCATCAGTCAATGAAATCCACAACTGTTAGTTTACGCCACGTAGGAAGGTATAGACTTCCTGATTGGCTGGTTGGAGTCCTCGGGACGGTAAAAACCAATGGCTGGAGAAAATTGGTGATATGACTGGCTCAAAATCGTTCTCAATGGCTGGCGCAGATGCAGTGACCCTAACCCCCCGCCCAACTCTTTTTTTAGCTTAATCCTATGTCGACAAACATTGACCATCAAGGAAGGCGATGGCTAGGCAAGTGGAACACGAGTTCACAACTCAACCACTTAACACCATTTCAAAGTGTGTCACCATGAAATTTAGTCGGTGGGAACACAAGCCACTAATGATCATCCTGCACGAGATCAATCGGAAGGGTGAATAACTAAGTAGGAATGTCTCTGGAGTGACGGTGGCTTAAATTTCCGAGAGAATTGCTAACAAACACGAAACCAACTTCATTTCTTACAGAACCATCGTTAACTAAGGCGGCTAGGATGTGTGTTACACACATATACGAAATTACTATCGAACTGAACGCAAAAATTAGAATTAACCTGAAAACAATCTAAAGATGATCAGGTGGATCTGTGTCTCATTGATCTAAGCGCTTGACTTCCAACTACAGAGTTGCGGATTCCAACTGCGTTCCACCTAATGAAGTTTGAGTAACCAGGTAATATCAATAACCCTGACTTATTGATAACTTTGTGGATATGCAAGTGGTTGTAGACTAACATACCTGAAGGGTGATCACAAACAAGCGACTGGTACTAATTAACAAAATTCATACCAAGTAAACTTAAAATACAGTGGTTACATTCGGCGCGTATCAAGCTCACCCTTTCGCTGCCTATGGATATCATCGACATATACCTTCAAAAGGCTATATTCAGCCTGAAATGAAGAGTAACACAAAGTAAACGCGGTAAAATTGATATCAGCCATCGCGTGAAGACAAATCAATAATGACATTACAAGTTTATGCATACAATAACCATTAAATCATTGTTTTCGTGCAACGGCGATGGGTGTTCCCTACAAAAATGAAATCGCGAATGCGGACATCTGCGGCTACAACCAGACTGACGGACATTTAGTTGGTCTACCTAAGGGGGCTAGAATGCCCTGATTGCAAACCTCTGGTGTACACGGGCTCCAGAATCTGAACAGATCGAATGGTATATGAACCTGATTGGGATAGGACTTCAAGTCAAAGGCTCGAGTGAGTTCTGTATGTGTTTGTGTGACCTCTTAAGACAACCATACCTACTTTAATCTAGGCATCGGAACAGTATCCCAGCCATCGCATAAACTATGAGACAACAATTTGTGTGGCGCATCCTCTTGGTGCCCATAATGTACTAAATTTGTGTTTTAAAACAGCGAAATAAACAAAAATGAAACTTACCATCTCCTTCCTCGCCATCATCACCATCATCTTCTGCATCAATATCCATTTGATTGTCGAATAAATCACCTGGCAGATCTTCAACATCACGTCCAGGCGACTGATCAGCATTATCTGCAAACTCAGTGTCTTCTGGTAAACCTTGATCATTATTATCGTCGACATCATCATCGTTTGGTTTCTTTGGTGATGTAGGCTCAGATCCATCCTCCATACAGTCTTCATTTGCTACAGTAGTCCTCTTTCCTGATGCATTTTGAGGATGCTTCGGTTTTTTTTCTCCGCTTAGGTGAACTATCCGACTTATCAGTTTTATTATCAGAGGGTTCGGCGCCATCTTCTTCCTGTTCGTCTTGTTCATCAGATTTAGAATTCTGCTTATTTTGTTCTTGAACACCATCGGCATTTTTCTCACCTTCCTGTTTACTTTTCACTTTATCATCTTGAACCCCACTTGATGATTTATTGTCTTGTTCATTGTTGTCAGTACCATCGCCATCTTTCACTTCATTTTCATCCTTCTCCTCGTCATCAGATGCCCACATTTCATTGGCTAGATCATCACCTGGTCCATCTGTTTCACCCATTTTATCATCGAAATTCTCTTGATCTACTTGCTCGGAGGAGGTCTCATCGTCTGCGTTACAATTCTCCATGTCTGGATCGTCATATTGTCCTTGGAAGTCATCATCAGGCATTTCAATGCCATTAGTATCATCATCACCATCCCTATTCTTCTTGCCTTTAGAATCATTATTCTCCGATTGTTTATCATTCATCAAGCCTTCAATTTGTTCTTGACACTCTAATTCATTACTAACATCTTTTGCACCTGATGTATCACCAGTGTTCGATGTTAGACTTGTACCGCCTGATGAAGCACCTTCTGTATCCATCTGCCCACCATCCGAGGTGTTGCTTGTTGCACCATTACCATCTGCTGCCTGGCTATTTTGATCTCTAGGTAAATTAGCTGGACGACAAAAGCCTTCCGTGATTAAACGTCCAGTGATGCGCATAGCAAATTCGCCTAGTTTAAACCAGGCGTCCAGCAGACTCCAAAATTGTATACAACGTGTAGACAACGCTTTCGATAGACCATCCATTAACGGATATAAACAGTGAGTCAATACTAATCGGCTTGAATGCAAATTACTATCCGAAGACGTCGGTGTTTGTTGTTGCAGCATTGATCGCATTCTTGACAAATATTTCATAACCTGGGGCAGTACAGTAGTCATCAGTTCGGTAAGTACTTTAGAGAAATGCTGCATCAAGCCAATCTGATCCAATTCATTGGCAATTTGATCTGATTTATGAATAATTTCAACAGCCTTCAGTATAGAATGAATACAACGATTAACAAGTTGTTCAAATCTTTCATCTGGTTTTCTAACAAACTTTCCACTACTTATATCGCTGATTTCAGTAGTAGATGTATGAGCGACTAGCATGTCAATATCATAATAATCATCATTAGTCATCACTGGAGATAAAACTTGTAATTCACAATGAATTCTTTTCCATTCAACAGTGATTTGTTCTTGTAGACATTGGAATACTGGAGCAAACAACTGAGTACAATTCGCTTGCTTATATGACTTGACTAAATTAGTCAGAGTGCTTTGTAAATATTCCACGGAAAGGTATAATTCTTCACAGTACGCACGAATAACAGGATTCCATAAAAAGGAGGTGTTCAAGCTGAGTAGTTGTGTAGTGCACTTTAACACTTGATGCATAGCCAACTTTAAAGGCGTTAAATGAGATTCAGTCAGACTGGTCAGTTGGGCAGGATTTTCATGCGATAGAGATGCGAGCAAGTGACGATTTGCTGTTAACCAAGACCAAGCCTCAGAACCGAATAGACTAGACAGTTGGTTTAATTCAAATGGTTTATTCCCCGTTTGTTTTTGAAATGCTGTCCAAAATACACTCCATTGATAAATATGCTCTCTGATAATTTGATCCAAGTTGTGAGTTGATACCTATCAATGCATAAATATTAAGAACAATAATTATTATAAGAGATAGAAAATGTGCAGGTTGCAGTTCTCTTCTTAAGTGTACATGAAAGAGAAGTTGATCCCACATAGTCTGATTAAATGTCTTTCTGGAAAGAATTGCATCCTTACATAGAAAGTCTAACGCATATCACTAACAGCCGCTTTCTAACCTACTCCTCAACCATATGAGAATGCAAACCACTTAGAATTCTGGTAACCGCTGCAAAATAGATTATGATCAAGTCAGCAGAATAACTCCTCCGACGAAGTTGATCACGAAGTGACTTCCATCAAAGAACCATTGAAAAGCAGCAGGCACTATTGGACAGTTGTTTCGTGCTTGTTTGGGACTCTTCAGGAGCACACACACTTGTGACGCCACCAGGGATCGAATCCAATATCTTTAGGTTAGATAGGAGAGCTCGTTGACCGTTCAGCCAACGGCCTGCCGGTTCAACAAATCCCTTTAGTCCCAACGACATGGTAATTCTTCTTCACCAATTACACCCTGTCATCCATCCCCCCTCCCAAGTGACCAATGAATATGAGTAATGAACTCTTAGTGAGCACGATGAATACAAAGAACACAAGACATTACACGGAACTTACTTGAATCCGTTTTAGCCTCTCTGGATCGGATATATAACCGGTGAACAGATCAGCCTGTTTGTTGTCTTGATCAACTTTATCTTCTGGCATGGAAACATTCAAACTAACAGCATACTGCTGGACTAGATGACTTATTCTTTTACACAGATTAGTGAATTGACTGCATACTTTAAAACCGGTAGAACACTGGTTCAACAAATCATCCATAATACCAATTAACCGAAAGAGATTATTTGGCCCACCGATTTCATTTAATATTGCTGCACTTGTATCAACATCACCATCCTGTGGTCCAGGAACACGTGGTAGACTGGCACGTAAAGCGATTAGACGAGACAAACGATTGCATACACCACGAATGTAAACTTCATCAGAGTCAGAGCTGAAGATAGACAGAAAGATGGTGAAACAGTAAAGTTATGTTTTATATAGATATGAGGTCATACACACACACACACACACAAGGAGTACGATCTAACCAAGTTAGGATATTTAGTGGATCTACAAAGGTCCCTGCTGCGTTGGAAGATTCTCCTTCTTTTCTTATTCCTTTGCATTCCAAGTGGAATATAGAGCATCAAGCTTCAGCTGTGAAGCTCGAGTAGTAGTAGTGATGTATTTTGGCGGGGTGGAGTTGTTAGCTTCACACCCAACCTTCCCCCTTTGTCAATCTTACAACCGGCTAAAGGAGGTGAAGATGTGCACGGGTCGGGAGTCCATCCCCACATCACATGTATATTTTGGTGAGCATTTTTTCGGTGAATCACCGTCGCACGCGTTAGACAAAATTACTCAATCAATATTCTTCTCTTTGAATATCCTTTTAAGTTCGTAAATAGTTGAAAAGTTGATGAATATATGTAAACCTTTGATAAATTTTTATTGTGAGAAGAGGAGGCATATTATGAGTTAGTGTTTTCCACGTGATGATCTGTGATGATCTGCACTGGAATTTTATTGCTGCCCCCTAACCTGGTAAGGCCAAAGGTGGGTAAACTTCAATCTTTCACTTGAAATGCTTCCATGACGCAACGCATTCATAGTCTCTGCCACATAAACCCTATTCACTGACCAAAACATGACAGAGGTGTTCCTCACAAAAGTTAAAGGGTGAATCGGAATGTTCGGTGTTTATAAAAAGGACTGGTGGACTGGACATGTACGTATATATTCAGAGAAGCTGAAAACCCTGATTCCATTCCTACGGTGTACTCATGGGATCCAGAAAATGAATAGATCGAATGACATATGATGAACCTGTTTTATAAACCATTAATCATGGGAACATAACTCCTATCGCTGCTCCACTGCCTGATGGATTAGACATGTTGTCCCCATTGACAAATCTCCATGAGGATGGAAAAACCAAATTTCCAGAATAAAATGTGATATCAATCAATTCATTTCACTACATCTTATTCTCGTTTCAGACAACCAGAAATTACAAATGTTATGAAGGAATGTAAGTGGCATAATGTGCATAATGCTCCATATTAATGGTTTCAATTTTATGAATTACATTCTTTTTTTTCAGTTCTCATGTAACCATACAGGCTGGCTAAGTTTCTTATTACTCCGTTTTCGGTCTTCTCCTTCACTTAACAGTTTTCTACTTTCCAATCGATAACAACTTAAGCTATAGTTCATCACCCTGATATACGGGATTCCCTAATTTATAACATATTAGATATAATAGAGAAGATTTGTAGCTCTGAAGTAGTTGTTTTCTCACAGCGAGATGGTTTATTTGCGAAGCTTTCATTGTCCTACTAGGCAGCATCTTCAGCGTATACTTCAATTCATTGAAGTGAGCATTTAGATTTCTCGACGAGTTCATCAAAGGTCATCTACCTTAAAGCTAACCTGCCACATCAAAGGCCCCCAAGGAAAGCACAAAGGAAAAGCGCCCTACCATATATAAAAGACATCTCAGAAATCACTACAAGACTCTTCAAACCTTTACGAATTGACGTCGCACACAAATCAACTAAATCACTTCACTCAGCTCCCTCTCTGTCAACCAAAAGACTCAACAACGAAAGAAGATAAAACCAATATCATCTACAAAATAAGTTGCAACGACTGAGAAAAACATTGCATTGGACAAAGTGGACGTCCTCTTCGTCTTCTTCGTATCCATGAACATAAACTAGCCGTCAAAAGACATGACGTCCACTCCCTCATTCATATCGCCTCACTGCATACAGACAACCACGGACATTAATTCGACTGGGACAACCAACGTTCAAATATTAGACAGAGGAAACAACAAGAATGCTAGAGAATTATTAGAAGCCTGGTATTCCAGTGAATTGTCAATCAATAGACACATTGACATAGAAAAAATTTACCAATCGATACGAAGGAAATCTTACATTACACAAAGGTTCAAAATTCAGGTCAACGACAAAATCAATACCAATACAAGTAAAGTCAAGAAATCTAAAAGCTCACTCCTAATTATAAAATATTCCATGCCACAGTGTTAACTTTCAAAAAATTAGTTAGTTTCATTCTTTCAAAACCGCTGATTAATTAAAGGTGGCCTGTAGCTGATATCATTTTATACGACGAATTTGAACCGACATCAGTGCAAACCTATGACTCCACTGGGAGTTGTATTGCTGAAGAGTCCCGAGCTAGGACGAAACTGTTATCCAGTGTTCATACACACATAAATACATATATACAAAGGGAAATGAAACTTACTTGCTATCGGGATGACTATGACCAATATCCTGGAAAACATAACTCCATGGATCACCGTGTAGTTGGACAAGAAAACGACTCATATGTCCTGTCTGTGTTTCACGTTGACCTCTACGATAGGAGAGACCAAGACTAGGCAGTTGTAGCGCTTCGAATAAATCATCATCTGTAGTAGTAGTAGTTGTTGTTGTAGTATTGCTATTATTCATCATATCGTCTGGTGAGTACTCATTCGAGTCGGTATTATTGTTATCGATGTTGTTTGCAAATTCGTCAGAATCTGAAGGTATACTGGATGACGATTCATGATCATAAATATCATGTGATCTGCGAGGCAAAAATAACAGATTTGTTCGAATAAAGTTGTTTCTTGTATAGAATAGAATTTACAGCATTTTCATATTTCAATAATTTTTACTGATAATACCCGACCGACAGCCTCTACAATGACGTAGTGGTGGTCAAACTTGCATATCTCAACAACCCAGAAAGATACGCTGGCTGGAGCTAGTGTCCTTGCAGGTCTTACCATGCCAGAAAGGTCGTTTGCATAGAGGTTTACACTATGTGTAAGGTCCGTGAACGAAGTCTTAATCCTGGCGAATAGGGATGTGTCAATGAAGTATGATCCTCCCCAAAGATGGCCAGCATGCCAGCTACACTGCCTCTCGATTCTGGAGGGAGGAATGGGGTTAGAAAAGGTCGATCCTCGAAAAATTTCACATCACGACTTACCGACAGGAGTTTCGATCTCTTGGGGGCAGAGCTCATCAGTTCAGACAGCCCCCGCACTGATAAATGACGACGCTGAATTAGCTGTTGCACTAACCAATCACGTACAAGGATGACGCTGATTGGCTGTGACACACTAAACAGCATTTCTCTGACTCGTGTCATTTGCCAGCGCCAGTCTAGATATTTAGAATTCGGCGCAAGACAATGTAGGTCGAAGTGAAAACTGGGGATAACTAAGCAACGTTAAATAATCAAGCAAAATGAGAATATTGGGGGGGCGGGGGGGGAGGAAAGAAGCACTTACTGTTGACTTTTACGTGTTGCAATTTTCAACCAATCCGATAGAGCTAAACGTTTTCTTTGTTGTAACGCTGTGAATTCTTGATACCATTGACGTGTTTTCTTCAATTCTTCATCATCCTCCTCCTCATTCTCATCTCCTCCGTCATCATCATGTCTTCTACCTAATTTTGATCTACGATTCGCCTTCTGTTTATTAAACTTAGCCAGTTGATTTCCAGATGGACAAGAAGAATTTAATCGTTCAGTTTGTTGACTCAAATCTTGTACAAGTATCATCCACAATTGGACACCAGAACGTAGCTGTTTTATCCACTGAAGGATAGGTGAATTATGTGCAACAGTGAAGACATGTTTATGCAAGCGTTTAATAAGTGATGGTAGGCGTCTGTTGTTGAATAGAAAAGACAAAACACAAGGAAAAGAATATAACCTATGTCAGTAACACAGATATGACACTGATATTATAATCAAATACACAAATTTTTCACGTTATATACATTGCTTGAAGGATTGTACGTTTGTTAACTTATTAGCGCCAACTACAAAATAATAATTACTTTCCCAAGCCTCTGATAGGCCTACATCATAGCGAAATAACAGACCCAGGCAAAGTTAGAGACCAGGTGGTATGTAACATTGCCCAACGAATGATGACAGTTGATATTTACGTAGATGGCATCGATCTGTGCAAGTAAGGTCCGAATGTACGACTAATACGTGTGTGCGTATGTGATCAGTATGTTAAAAATGTGTTGCACCAATAGACATTACACACATGTATCAGATAAATTATGTCTTCTTATTGTTTTGTCGAAAACCATATCTGTAGGCGGTAATTTGACTTTTTCAAATAGATCTGATGCGACTTAAGCTACCCTCCTCAGATAATCTAGTCACATTAGTTAATCAACTACACATTCGAACTCTTAATACAACTGGAAGTGTTCATGCACAACATGACAGGCCAGAAAAAGCCTTCAATGAGGCTGAATTTTATAACTCAGTGTAGATCTCTAGGCGTATAATCTGAAGGCTTGTTTACATCAATCCCCATTCACTACAACCCAAATTTTCGTTTCCATGTCAATCATTCATCATCATCATCTTGAAGCTTTCCCTACTAGCTCTACACCAACCATCACCACCACCATCTACAAAAAGGAACATACTTTATATGCAACGGGAGATTGTCACTTCCTTCATTTGACTTGTAATACACTTGTTGTAAATAATCGAACGATCTTCTTATTGAGGAGTGATGCAGCACTTTTGAAATATCTGACATTTCCAGTTTTAACCATGCACTGGAACAACAGATCTGACCATCATCACCACAACTACCACTGGTGATATCATCCATACCAATTGACGGCTTTAAATAATCAGGAATTTTCATAATACTTTCAAATATTGGTCGAACTGGTCGTTGGAGAATAGATTCCCAATTTTTGACCTATAAGGAGAAAATTTAGATTTGTAGGAAAAGATAAGAATAATAATTGGGGGGGGGGAGGTAGTAGACAACTGTCTGCTTTGATTGAACATCAGGTAGTAAATAAGTGAGATGTTATGCGTCTAGTCCTTTGTTTGGTGCGCCGACTGGAGATGCCTGTATTAGTCAAATTTGCAATGTCAGCTACCAACAAGCTAACCGTGACTCACCGGTCACGGTGAACTCTCAGTTTTTGTTTTCAGGAGGCAATCAGTAGGGGAAGCTTTGCCTGACCTAGATTTAGTGTCTCTGTTGGTCACCATGGTAGAATTCATGTCACAGCTACGATTCGTACCTGTGTCACTAAGTGCCGCGCCTGTAGACATTACCACTGAGCTGTTGGGGTTGGCGACTGACCGCCTGTAGGACTATATTGGTAGACTTCTTGGTTGGGGTCCTTGGGACGGTAAAAACCAATGGCAGCTGGAGACTATTGGTGATATGACTGACTCAAAATCGTTCTCAATGGCGGACGCAGATGCATTCACTCCTTGTGACTTATAATACCCAATGAGACTATATTGTTCTTCGTTATTACTATTCCTTTTGTCTCATATCCCTGTCGACTGTCTCTATTTTGCATTTCTTCTACTTTCTTCTCTTGCTTTGTGTGCTACAAGGAGGGAGTGTGGCGACTTGAACTGCTGCACATCGGTGCAAAGTTCCATGTCGAAAGCAGACAGACAGCAGACAGGACTGTATTGGATACTTTGATTGAACATTAGGCAAATAAGTAACTAGTGTCATGCGTCTAGACTTGTATTTGTGCGTAACGAATGCTCACTGTTAGCTCTTTATCTCGTGATGGCCGCTATACATGGCGAATGGATAGAAGTTAGAATTCATGCGCTGTTAGATTTCAACCATGTGGCTAAATGGTCGACGGACTCGCTTCGTAATCTGAAGGTCCTTTAGATCTGATTCCTGGAAGGTGGCGAGGCGGTCACAAGTGGACACACTGCCAAAGAGTCTCAATCTAAGGAAGAAACACTTGTCCATGGATCCTTGGATTTTAATGATTGTCTAATTGATATCAGTTAGTGGGGAAAGTTAAGCTAAAATTATCCGAAATCCTTACAAAACTCGAATTTTACATGAATATTAGAATCTGGGAGTGATTTTTCGCGCGAATGAGGTAATATTTAACGAATAAACGAAAGCTAAGGAGCACTTTACAACAACTGTTTCATCCCAGTGTTATTGTACAATCAGTCATTTATATACAGCCAGTAATAAGTCATAAGCGTCGGTGGCATAGCGGTTAGGACGCTAGCCGACCATGTACATGGTCCGGGGTTCGACCCCCGGCCGACGCACTCCTTTACCTCGCTAAGCCAGAAGTAATGCTGGTAAAGAGGAAAGGTTGTGCATGAGGCTAGCAACCCCATTCTGTAAAATAAACACTGCTACAGAAACTTCAAGCCACTAGCTTGAAGCCCTATGTTCCACTGTGGAACGTGAAGGAAAAAAAAGTCATACCTATGAAATCCTCGGTAAGTTCATCGGGAGACCAAGCCATCGACTTACTTGATTGTACAAACCACAGTAAGCTACAGCTGTTAGTCTACAACTCTTAAATTGTACATAAATAAATGTATGAATGTTTGAAGAATCCATCCTTTTCATCGGAACTATTGAACCCGAGTTTAGTGTTTTCTCAATATAGCCGTGTCTCGCAGGAACTCCCCAATTGTTATTTTTCACGAACACTAAATGAAAATAACTCAACGAGTTGATGGGGAGATAAATGATTTCAAGGCAGAATTCTATCCACTGATCGTTGGTTTCTAATTCCTTTACAATGAGTATCCATTGAAGTATAGGAAAATGTGGCTTACAGGCTTAGATAGTCGATTCTTAGCCAGTGGTTCCCGAGTTCGAATCCCACACCCCTTACTTCAGCCTTAGCAGTTGCGTAGCATCACAGTTACCCGGAACACATCCATCATGTACCCAACTAAGAGACATACTTTTGATGTGACGGCTGATAACGCTAACTAGTTTATCCAGGCTGACGTAGATAGGGCGAGACTGGAACCCAAGACCTTGTAACTGGAAGTCGACTGTTTACCCCCAGTAAACCACATCTCTTCCTGGGTAATTTGCAATTAATAAAAGTGTAGATATAAGCCAAATATATCAGTCCATAAAAAAAGGTCATTTATCAGGTCACTAAGAGGAACAATAAACAGCAAAAGAATGGGGGGGGGGGTTGGATCATAAGGAAATCTATGGCGACAACCCATCATAGCGAAGGCCATCACGAAAAAAAACAATATAATGTTTCATCGATGTGAAATTCTCAAACCCCAAATAAAACTGTGAAATTAGCGCTGAGAAATGTGTCCCAGAAGAAGGTTGTCGTTCAGCTGGAAAACTCCTAAAAATACTTGACTGCTCGGTAGCAGTAAGGTCGGAAAAAATGGAAGCGTAGGTGTGAGGCTAAGGAAACCCCACCCAGAAAGAAAATACAATGCCACCGCTTCTGAAACTTCGAAGCCGAAAGCTTGAAACCCTTTATATCACTTTGGGGCACAAGCAGTGGAAACAGCACATGTACCACAAATAAAAAGATACACTCACATGTTTATGAATAGACTTTTTGCAACGATCCACTGATGTCTTCACCGACCAGAAACGTGAATAATGACCCCACTTAGTGATATTCACAATACCCTAGAACAGAGGGAGGGAGAGAAATAAGGAGGGAAATAGAGTTAGATACGAGAGAGTAAGAAAGAAATTTGCAATTTGGGAAGTATAAACACATTGCTGTATGAAAAAAACTTTATCTATAGTTAGACTTCATCACGAGTTGAACTGAAGATTTCGGGAACTCGATTGCCGACGTCTTCATGATAAAGGCATACTACTGAAGGATCCCATACTTCCTGAATTTCAGTGGTTCTCTAACTACTGTTCATTTATACTGAAATGAACCTTGGAAGCAACCCCCTCATCTTCCCCAATGCACTAAACACTCAAGTTAAAAAACAGTCATGCCACACCCGAACCAACTTAGTAACAATGATGTTGAATGAAACTCATATCAATGTTTCTCTAACTGAAGGTCAATCAGCTCATGATCATGCTTGTGATCAATCAAATCCGTGCAAACCAACACATGAAAAAATATTCGAGCGAACACTAGTGACAGGACAAAGTTACTTGAAGTTTTAATGAGAACTCGAGACCAATAAGGTCTACAAATTTGGTGTGTTTGTGTGTGTGTGAGTGGGGAAAAATCCTCACCGATGACATTGGCTAGTCGTCACACTGCGTATCGCGAACTGGCAGAGGTTAGAATCGATGGGCCAACAGATTCTATCCCAGTGCCTGAATAATGACCGGAAAGTTCTTGGGTTCTATCCAAAGAGGTAGGGTCCTGGGTGTGTACTGCATTTCATCGATTCAGATGGCTAAGATATGTGCCATTCATGATTAGTTATCGCCTTTCTCGACAACGGCCAATATTAGCTGACATAGGATAGATCAGGTTGGAAAAGAGCTGGAACACGGTGGTCAAACTAAAACATCGCTGGCTTCATCAATCAAAGAAATCTACAACAATTAGTTTAAGTCAGCCAGCCGTCAGTTTGTGAGTAAACTTGAAACTCATATACATGTAGAATGACCACAGCGAATAATAATAATAATCTCCACAGACAGTAAGCATAAAAAGTTGATAAAAGCTCTTTGATAATATTTCAACAAGTATTTACAGCCTAATATAATAAGAACGAAGTTATACCTTTTTGAACAACAAACAATTAGTAGTATATTCTAAAATAAAAAATAATTCTATTAATTTCATTGCTAACCTTCATTTCTTTTTCAATTGGTTTACGAAGATTATTCAATTCTTCAGATATGTAGGGTAAAAATTGAGCATAAAACCATACTGCATTACCAACTATCCGTTTAGATGAGGAACGCTCTATGAATAGAAAAATTGACAATACAAGGTGAGTAAGTAATTTGAATCCCTAGAGAAAAACACTTAAATCAAAACTGGATGATATCCAACCTCCTACATCAGCAAACATTTGAAGGGACATTGCGGCACCACGAGACCTAAATATGCTGAAGAATCAACGAAGTCGTAAGTCGAGAGCTATTCGAAAAATGTTCTGTACTGCTTTCTCACGTCTCACTTTTCTCCACAGACTCACTTGTCCACCGAAACGTTAAAGACAAGATCCCACTGTTGCCAACTTCAATGTGCATTTACGCGTTCATCACCTGCTCCTGTGGAGTTAAATACACAGAGCGTACCAGTTAGAGGTTGTCTAGACACGCCCATGACCACTTACCAGCATGGTTGTCGAAAATAGAGAATGCAGAACAGTCAGCAACTCAATTTTGCAGCACATTATAACTTCTGGTTACGCGACATCACAGAATTTCATTCAGATTCATATATAACAAAGTACGATGTGAAGTTGTTCAACAGGGAATTCACCTACATCTTCTTCATGCAGCCGAAGCTTCAGTGATTTGTTTGAGATCCACCACTAAGAATGATTATAAGCCAAATGATCAACAGTTATATCTCTTAGCGTCTCAAAAATGCCAGCCACGTACGTAGTCAATACCCCTCGACATGGTTTAAACCAAACGTTGAAGAATCTATATTGATTGAATCCGTCTTTTGGTCTTATCAAGCACCTAGCCTACACTGATATAAGTATAAAACTTGGGCACTGTGGTAGAGTATAACTCCATTATGGATAAGATTTTATTTTGATAAATCACACAGTGTTACACAGTAATATTAACTGATGACGTTTCGAGCATAAACTGTTGCTCATAATCATATCACATCACAACACTGTGTGATTTATCAAAATAAAATCTTATCCATAATGGACCTAGCCCACACGTCAAACTGACACTGTTCGATGGACAAGGCGATAGTTAGATATGCATAACACCCGTTAGAGTCATTTTAATCAATAACGCTTTTGAAAACTTATGCATTGGCTTCCTTCTTCCGCCTTACCGACAAAAAACACGGAACTCAAGCCCTGAGTTTCCAACCGACTAAAACCTATACCTGCTAACGTTGATGGTGATAGTCAATTTCTTAATAAATATGATCCTTTTGAACTGGTGAACTCATAAATAATGAAGGACAACAGTAAGCAAACAAGCAAAACAATGTCAGACGGGTGGAAATCACATACCTTTATCGCTTAGACCAGGCCATATATTCAATGCAGAGTAAATAGAAGCGACTAATCTCCAACGTGATATAAACTCCCCAATTGGTCCTTTTTCAAATAATTCAATCAAAGCATCAAGACGATCGATCTCCAGCTGTTGTACATCTCCACTGTCGTCACCAACGTCGTCATTATTATCATTATTATTCTTACTTGGCTGTTTACTTTTAGCCTTCATCTGTTGTTGTTGTTCACGATAACTTCCAGGTCGTAAGAATAAATCGTATAAATGAAACCATAGTGTCATACACCGATTACCTATTTGAATTTCAGCTGAATCTAATGTAGCCAACCAATAACTGTGAAAGAAGATGAGAAAGGTGAAAGGAAGAAAGAAATATTGAAAGGCATTGCAGGCAAAACAATCATTGGTATTTTATATATATACATATATATGCAGGTTATTTGGTTGAATTCAGTTGTCTGGAGGAGCGCCAGCACACTCATGAATCAGAGATTAGATTCACTTTTTTTATCAGCTCTTATTTTGCATTCCGATTTCGAGTTTCATTGGCGGTGGAGTTGTTACTCTCAAGCGCAACGTAACCCCCCGCCGCCCCACCATTTCCGGGCCTACTTTTGCCTAGGCGAATTTCATAGAATATATAAGCTAGGGAATGGAACCTGAGCCTTCTGAGTGGCTAGTGAGCATTCTACCACTAAACTACCGACGGAATACAACGAGTATCAACAAGTATAGTAAACAAAATTTTATGAGCTGTGATCAAAATTTGACCTACAAATATTGGTCTACCTTTGTTAAACACTTCAAACAGTGTGTATGTGTGCGTGTGGGTAAACAGTTGTAAAACATTTCTTAACGTCTCCATAAGAAGATATGGACAGTCGAGAATTTTGACCAAGTATTAATAATTAGTGATACATATCCATTTTTTATTGGACAAAGTTTTTAAAAACAAGTGATGTTACTTTTATATATAAACCTCTGTTATGGTTATTTCGATTAATTTCCCTGAAGAAGTTCGAACCAGATTGCCGAACGAAACGTTGGAATTACTCATTTAAATCTCGCTGAGATTTTACAAATATAATTTTTTGCAAATGTCTACTTCTCCCTCGGCGCCCAAATATTTTAGAACTATTCTGTCAAATCTTGACGACAGTTCATTGGAATACAACGAGATTATAAGCCATAAAATTACTGTGTGACAGCTGGTGATCGAACTCAGTCACTTAGCAAAGTTGAGTGGAATCCGAATCCAGGACCTCCACTCTATCTGAAGGCTGTGCGTTCAAGCCAATGAGTTATTTCTTCACACAGTTGGTAGTCAGCAGTCAGATCTAAGACGTAAGTCTTCTCATACTCCAGACTAGTGTTAACAGGGTATATCAGCTTTGCAATATATGGAAAAAGATATTTCTACTAAGGCATGAAGAAACCCCCTAAATCCATTGTTTCAACAAGGAGGAATTACAAAACAAATACAAAAACTGGCTAAAGAAGCAACTAGTGAAGACAAGACTCCAGGTAAACATAGAGACGACAGAGGTGATGAAGATAACCAACGAACAGCAACAACACAACAACCAGCACCAATCACCATCAACAGGAGAGATTTGAAAGCGGCTACTTCATTCATTTATCTCGCCAGACAGCATCGTTTCAACCACAAGTGGAACGGATGAAGATGTCAGAGTCAGAATCGGAAAGGTAAAATTCACCTTCATTAGTCTGAAACCAGTTTCGAAATCTTTTGCATTGACTCAACTGCATAAGGAACAAGATTTGGATTTCCAACACAAATGTGAAATCGGTCAGTCAGCCCTTCTATACGGGTCAGAAACTTGCACTGCGTGTGCATCACTAAAAGGATTTCCAACAGCCTACAGCAGGCTTTTATCAACAGCTGCCCCTTACGTGGCCTCCATATTAAATGTCACTTAAATGGCCGGCTGGCTGGCCAGAAAGAATTAGCAACAAGAAACTCTGGCTGGGAATAAATCAACCAAGAGCCGATCACTCAGTATGTGTGAAGGAGAAAATGGAGATGGATAGGGTATTCATTCAGGAGACTATCGCTAAAGTGGAATCCGAATAGGAAACGGAAAGTGGTTCGTCAGTGCGAGGTTGACATAGAGGAGATAGTGTGGTGGGGGAGGGAGGAGATGAGAGATTATGGGCAATCGTGGACCCAGCTCAAGAGGACAGCAGGAAATAGAAGAAAGTGGAGATGTGTTGTTGAAGCCCTATGTTCCACTCTGAACCCAAGGGAATTATAATAATATAATATTATACCACCACCTAATATGGGAGACAGAACGCAGGCACCTATGATCAAAGATAGCTAGCTAATCTTTTCATGTCTTCCACTTTCAGTGCCATGTCCCACTCACAGCCATAAAGGAGGACAGAGTGAAATGTTGAGCAGTACACATGTTCTTTGATCGATAACCAGCCGGATATCACGCCAGCGATGATGCAGGTTGGTATATGGCACACAAACGTCAGCCATCATCAGCCAGCCCTTTGAGGCTGATGCAACTTCCCAAATAAATAAATGAAGTGGTCAGCACGCTCTACCATTAGTTTACTAGCTGGTGGAGGGAAGGCTAGGCACGAGACTACTTGCCATTGCCACTTAAACAGCCTTAAAGCCCTGTATTCCACTTGCAACACAAGAGAGTGAAAGAAGAACTAGCAGGGGAATATCCATTGCGTGAATTTTCTCTTATGACATCCCGCACAAACCATAAGCATCATCGCAACATCCCTACTATACCAGCCAACATGTCAACACAGGGTGAAGTATTTCACTACAAATAAAAATAATCATCGTGAAAATGAAAAAACAAAAATAATTCCAAAGTGTGGACATCTATAGTTAACCTCACCCCCCACCCACCTCTAATTTATTAACCGATCCTAGGCTCAGAAAGAAGTGGAAATTAGGCATGAGACCACCTCCATCGCTACTGAAGTCTCACACAAGAAACAAATAATAATAATAGTGATAATGACATGGCATTCAATTATCTGACATCATTGTAAGTTTCTGTCTTACCTCAATTCCATTTTACGCCAACAAACTAATAAGTTGCACACCTCTTTACTTGACTCTGTCAACGATACATGCCTAGCAGCATCACGTTCCCATTCCTATACACAAAATGATTGAAAAAGAAACTTGTTATACGACAGTAATCATCATAATCTTATTATAACTGACTGCTGATAAGAGCGTAAAAAATTAAAACCCTATTGTCATTTAAGTGATAATGAATATCTTGGATCGTGGGGGGAGTATCTCCTTGCGGTACCTGAAATAGGAGAAGCATGAGTGGTAATGCATGAGGCCGGCATGGCTTCTGAATTCGCGTCCGTATTAAGATATTACACTCGGCCACGAACGGCTCCTAGATTAGTCAACATGTATAGTTTTCATGGTTGGCCTTTACCAAGGGGCAGAAACAGCTGACTTGTTGGTCAGCTGAAGGAAAGAGACTGCTGCTGTTACATCCTTATTCGCAAGCGAGAAGACAGTAATACGTTAGATCAACACGAAGATTCTAGAAGATCTGGATTTTGCGGATGATTTCTGCCTAATGTCACACACAACCGGAGACTTACAGGAGAAAACTAACAAGAAGGTAGAAGAAGTAGACAGAGATGACCGCCCTTCAAATGAACATTGAGAACACAGAGTTGATGAAGATAACCAACCAATCATTATAAAAGGAATAAATTTGAAAGAGGTCACCTCCTCTACTTATCTAGGCAGCATACTTTTAACTGCAGGCAGATGGCACGGATGAGAATGTCAAAGGCAGACCTTAATAACTGTGAAATCAGTTTGGAAATCTTCTACAGTCCACAACAAAATTCAAATTTTCAACACCTATGTGAAGTCAGTCAGTCAGTTCTTCTATATGAAATTTCATACATTTATTCCCCTTAATGAATTTGAATAAAGCGAGAACTACAGTTTTTGCAGAATAAAGTCGTACCTCATTGTTTATTTCGTTGGCTTCTCATCAGCTGCTTACAGGCCAGTCACTACTAAGTATATCTACAGAAACAATTTTAACATACTTGCACAGAGTCCATTTTTAAACAAAAACCAATCAATCAATACATGCATACAGAAATTATATATATATATATATATATTAAACACTATTCCGAACAATAGTGATCATACACAATGGAAATTATTAATATATATATATATATATATATATATATATATATATATATATATATATATATATATATATATATATATATAATTCGTATACATATATTGATCGATTGGTTTTTGTTTAAAATGAACTCTGTGCGTAATACGCTAAAATTGTTTCTGTAGATATACTTAATAATGACTGTGGCGTGTAAGCAGCTGATGAGAAGTCAACGTAATAAATGATGGTACCACTTTATTCTGCAAAAACTGTAGTTCTTCTACATGAGTAGGGAACTTTGCATGAACATCACGAAGAGCGTTTCCAACGGACCACTGAAGACTTTTATCAACAGCTTCCCCCTTCACTCGCTCCATATTGAAGATGAAATGGCTGGCCAGGAATTAGCAACATGAAACTCTGCAGTGGAACGAACCAACAGGAAAGAGAGCCGATCGATCAACAAATATGTAGAAGAAAATGGAGATGGATTGGTACACACCTGACGTCGTGCATCAGGTAATCACTTGAGTGGAACCTGAATGGGAAAAGACAAGTTGACCGTGGTTTCGACGGCGACATGGAGGAGATGACAGTCTAAAGGCAATCGTGAGTCCAGTAAAGAGGACTGTGGAAACAGGATGAAATGGAGAGTGCTGTTGAAGTCCTACTCCACTCAAACCCAAGGGACAATAGTTTTAATAATAATAATAAGTCACTGAGTATATATATAATATATATATATATATATATATATGTGGTCTTGAATCTCCTAAAACCAATCTACACTTCATGTCATCATACTCATCATGCAAAAAAAAACAACACAACACCACAGCACACTTATAACAAAAGAGACTAATTCAACTTACTTGCATCTCTTGCCAAAGCATTTCAATGCCAGTGACAAATTTCATCAATGGATCAGATACAGTGAATGATTCAATCCGACGAATAATGGTTAACAACTGTAAAGAAAAAGAAATTAAGAAGGTCACACATATAAAAATATGAATAAATTCACTTCAAACGCTTCAACTTATTATATAAATTGAGTGAAGTTGATGTTCTATGCATAGTCTGTCTGGATTCAACATAGAACTTGGCACCGAAGTGCAGCAGTTCGAGTTGCCACGTTCCAAATAGCACACAAAGGTAGACAGGAAAATGAGTGAAGAGAATCAATAGAGTTTTGACAAGTATAAGAGTGAAACAGAATGAGTAATGGTAGAAAGGAATATGAAAGATTACAGAGACTGAATACATCTGCGTAAGCCATTGACAACGATTTTGAGCCATGTCACCTAGTGTCTCCAGCCATTGATTCTTAGAGTCCCGAGGGCTGGCCCCAACCCGGAAGTCTGCATCTCCCTACCTGACTCAGTTTAACTGTCAAGGATTTCATGGATTGATGAGGCCATGTTTTTGTTTGGCCACCACTTACTCTTTTCCAACCTGCACCTATATCAGCTAGTAATGCCCGTCGGGAGGGGGAGGAGATGGTTAGGCATGTGCAGCACGTGACCTAGCCATCTCAATCTATGTAACTTTATAGCCTCTTCGATTGATTTTCCCTCTTTGCCCAACACTCTACGCCTAACGTCAACATTACTTACCTTATTATACCATCTAACGTGAGAAAGAGATCGTAGACATCTATGATCAAAAACAGTCAACCTTTTCATGTCTTCAACTCGTATTGGCCATGTTTCAGAGCCATAGAGAAGAACGGAGCGAACTGCTGAGCAGTACACACGCCCTTTGGTCGATAGTTAGATATCACGTCTTCGCTAGAGACTGCGTAAACTGGCATATGCGAAACTAGCCCTCTGTATTCGTGCTGAGATTTCGTCAGAGATCAACCCGTTGGCACTGGCTGATGGTACTTCCCAAGTAAGTGAAGCGGTCAACGTGCTCTACCACTTCACTTCCTATTTCTAATCTAGGGGTCGGTGTAGTCCAATCCTGTAACATCATCTTGCATTTGGCGGGAGCGAATCGCATGCCAAACATACGTAGATTGCAGCTCAAGGTGTTCAGAAGACTCTGCATTTTGTCAGCGTCCTCGCCTAGAAGGACTATATCGTCTGCATATTCTAAGTCAACGAGATTATTCCCTGGTAGCAAGTCAATCCCTGAGTCGCTGAAGTGAGTTAGGGTTAAGTTCATTAGTACGTCTATGATGAAGTTGAATAGAAATGGGGATAATGGACATCCTTGACGGACGCCACTAGTCATCACCACTTCAGATGACAACTCGCCATAAGCCCTCACCTGGCTGCATGAGTACGAGTAGAGTGCCTTAATCAGTGCAATGTATTTTCTCGGCATTCCCTTTACAGCCAAGCATCGCCAGAGAACCTTTCGGTCGACAGAATCGAATGCCGCCTTTAGGTCAAGAAATATAGTGATTGTTGAACGCCGGTAGGAATGTCTATGTCTACTGAAGTCTAGTGATGAAATAGTCTACTGAAATCAATGGTTGCGATGAAATTGAATAGCATAATTGACAGCACTTTCTCCACCTACTTGATTCTAGTCGGTCAACTGGGTATTATCACACACACACACAATAAATGTGGTTCATAGCCTTCGAGGTACATGCAAGACCTGTGGTACTTGGGAACCCTTAGTAACGTGTCAGGATCATACGATTTTAAAACTCAAACACGACCAATCACATGCAAACATACTCCCAAATACAAATGCCAGATCAATTAAGACAGCCATTAAAAAAAACAATCAGTCATCATTCCTAAACCCTTTTCTTCTCTCAGACCTTTACGTTCCAAGTGGAACATACGGCCTTAAACTTCGGCTTTGAAGTTTCACAGTAGCAATAATGTTTCGTTTTACAGGAGGGGTGAAGTTCCTAGTCTCACGCCAAGCCCAACCTCTCTTTACCGAGCTTACCATCGGCAACTAAGCAAGGATGAGGGGTATGTCGGTCGAGAATAGATACCGGACAACGTGCTTGGTAGACCGAGTATTCTACAATTGGACCGCCAACACACAAACACATACAGACATTCCTATACCTGAAAACCAAGTGATAACTTACACGTAATAAACTTGGTTGTCCAGGCCATTGATTCAAGATATGCTTAACTTGACTTTCTAAACTTTTCAATATCGAGTTCAATTTCTCTGCCTCTTCCAATGGAATAGGATCAAGGTAAACATTGTAACAATGTGATTTCATAATTAACCATTTTGAGTTGAAATGATAATTCGACGATGATGTTGAATTCGATGATGATGATGATGAACTGATGACAGGAAGGATAGGATGAGCTCGTATATCATACTGTCCCATATATGCTGTGATACCAATAAACGGTAATGCATACAACTTGTCAACAGCAGGATCTGGCAAAGGAGGAGCATGAAAATACAGCAATGAATAATTAGAAAAAAAACAAAATAAACAATGACGATAGGAAATGATACATTAATGTGAATTAAGGGCAGTCAACAATCATTCCATCGTTAATCGTAGGTAAAAACAACTAAATACGCATCTCACAGAGATATAGATGTCAAAATATTTTATTTCATCACTTCCATTCCGAGTTGGACCCCCCCCCCCCAAAAAAAACTTGGAGGATCTGGACTTCGCCGATGTGATATATGTCTGATTTCTCACAAACTGGAAGATATGAAAGTGAGAAGCAACAAGTCGGCAGAAGAAGCATCAAAGATAGGACTTCAGGTGAACATAGTGAAAACAGAGGTGATGAAGATCCCTGGCCAACAGCAACAACGACAACAAAAACAGACAACAATCAGCATAAATGGGAGAAATTTGAAAGAAGCGACCTCCTTAACCTACCTGTCTGGGAAGCTTCATTTCAACTATAGGAGGACGGAGCTGATGAGGAAATCAAAATCGAGAATAGGGAAAGCAACGCACGCTTTCATTACTCTTAAGTTTGTGTGGAGGTCAACAGCACTCACCACACAAAAAAAGATCCGGATATTCAACTCCGATGTGAAGTCAGTCAGTGCTACTATACGGATCAGAGACTTGGCGCGTCACGAAGGCCACTTCGATAAAACCACTATCTTCGCTCAATTCTCAAAATCAGATGGCAAGAAAAGATCAGCAACAAGGATCTTTGGCAATGAGCGAACCAACCAGGAACCGATTGTGCAACAAATAAGCAAGGTGAAATGGAGGTGGATTGGCCATACTCTTAGGAAACTATCAAGTGACATCACTAGACAGGCCCTCCAGTGGAACCCGAAAGAGAAGCGGCGAGTTGGTCGTCCAAGGGTGACTTGGAGTAGGTATGTGAAGAGGAGATGAAAGCATGTGGGCAAACGTAGAGCCAGGTGAAAACGTTGGCAGAGAACCGAACGCAATGAAGACGTGCGGCTAAAGCCCTATGTTCCTCTAGGAACTAAAAGAAACAATAATAAAATAATAATCCCTTCCGAGTGGAATATCGGGCTTCAGTAGAGGTGATGCTATTTCTACAAGGTAGCATTGTCAGCTTCACACCTAACCTCCCCCTTTTTTCTTGAGCTTATAACAAGCTAGTAAACCAGACGAGGTTCAGGGAGTGTGCATCAATCAGGAACTGGAACCGGATCTCTTCCGTGGCCAGCGACCATCCTATCATTGAACCACTAACGCCTGATAAGATGCACATAATAACATTTCCACAGTTTTATCTTACTTTGGAGGTAATAAAAAAAGAAATAGATAAGCTTGTGAAGCTCCATAGACTGAGACAACAAGGACAAGTGTTACACCGACTTTGTAGACAAACAATATTAGTTGAAATAAGAGTAGGTTGAGAGAAAGATGGGTGGGGGATGGTCAGACTAAAAATTCGGTACCAATTCATTGAGAGTATTCGACTGCTAATTTGAAACCCCTGTTGGGGGGATTTAGGGTGAAAACTGCTTAGCTGGGGAAGAAATCTTCGTGACACTAAGAATCGATTAACCAGATACCACTGGTCAAAATCGTTCTCGATGGTGCATACACTTACTTTCTCTGTCCCAACTTATCGTCATCCACTTATTCGTTCTCTTGTACAACTAAGGCTATTGTACTCATTTTGCATTACTTTGCTCTGTACGTTTATATTTGCTTCAGTGAGGTATGATAATTTGGTTTGATGCAATCCTCTGAAGAGCGCTCCAATTTGATAACCGAATCAGTCAACCCGACTTTAAATTACCATCTGGAATTACTAGTCACGTATCAGGTCCTCGAGTGGAATATATGAATAGGAGGGACACCATGAGTTGAGAGTCGTCCAGGATAACATAAGATGCAAATACGGTAAAAAAAACTTTAAATTAATATGAAGCAGTCGTCATGGAGATATGAATAATTGGTCCAGGGAAGGGAAGAAACCTCGCTCGACCTACTTCAGCCTGGGAACTGGATGATAGTGTTTACACCGTTCACATATTACTCAGTGACTGGCTCAAACCCGGTACCAGGCAGCTAGCTGAGCTCTAACTAACTGAAACAAGCGACGGAAGTTATAACTCTTCCGGAACTGAAACAGTTACTTTTTCTGTCATCAAGGTAAGTCTATGATGAGCTGATAATACTGCTGCCCAAAGGGACCTACCTACCTCAGTGGTTGAGAATCGAACACCCAGATTGCCTACTATTTATCGATGATATTCCTAATTGTTGTGGACTGTATATGCAGCAGACAGTGCGTGGGGAGAGTCACAAAAGCATTCCCAAAAGGCCACTGCAGACCATTATCAACAATTACCTTCTCTCCATACTGAAGATCGGGTGGCCAGGAAGAATTAGAAACAAGAAACTCTGGGAATGAACCGACAGACGAGAACCTACTGCTCAACAGATAGCCCGAAGGAAATGAAGATGGATGGATGGACACACGCTGAAGAGACCGTTGGGTGACAGGTAATCCGTCGAGGAGAACTCGAATGGTGAGCGACGAGTTGGACCTGTCTCTGAGAAGATAAAGATGCACTGTCGAAGCCCAATGCTTCACTCGAAAACCAAAAGAACAATAATATTGTAGAGATAATAGGCCAAACAGGTTAAATCTGTCCACAAAGAATGAATGCATGAATCATGCGCACACTTACCTAAACTCATTTTCGACTGAATTGACAACCAACTGGCTAAATTATAACCAAAGAGAACAGTATGCCAATGCCATGAGAATGCATTGGTCACATCCAACTGAATAGGATTTTCACGCTTTGAATGTATCATCGGATTGTTGATTGACGTAGAGCTAGATGTCTCTGAATTACCACAGCACAAAAGGAGCAGGTAAACGAGACGATTAATAAAATAGACCAATTCATTCTCATCTGGTATCCAATATTTGTCAGAGGTATTCAGTGACTTCTTTAACCAACTGTCGACTGCTTCTAATTTATTCACTGTCTGTTTGTTTATGCGAAGAGATACAATGAGAAAAAGTAGAAAAAAAATGGGGTGAAAAAGTTTTTTTTTATAATGGGTTAAATCAGCACTTGTGTGTACTCAGAAATAAGATCACGAACAGAAGAAATTAGTTAGAGGGCAGGAGATTATTTTAGTTCCCTCCTTGCACAGTTTTATGTCCAGTCTACAAAATGACCAGCAAACCAAAGTTTTCATATGTATAAAAGGTATGTAGATGACACCTTTATTATTTGTAATAGTCATTATAATTTGAATAATACATTGAATGCATTTAGTGGTTACCATTCAGCGATAAATTCACACTCGAAACGGAGAACAAGTCTGACATTCATTTTCTCAATGTGAATTTATCAAGGAGGATCAATGGAACTCTGAAGAGATCAATTTATAGAAAGCTATCATGGAATGATCAAATGACAAATTTCTACAGCTGGGTAGGTACCCGTTGGTCGTAAACGAAACCTCATCCGGTCACTTGCCACTCGTTTTCGGCGCATATGTAGCCCTGATGCTATGGAGGAGGAGGAGTTAACCATTCTAAGAAAAATCCTAAGGGAAAATGGATTTCCGCCAACTATGAAAATGTAACTTAACGCCTGTAACCAAGAAAATGCTGAACACGAACTTGGAATTCGAAAGTGACTGAGCTGCCAAAATCTTTAAAGAAGACTCTTACAGTCTGTTGAGAACAGTGTATTTCAGTGCCATTACTGTTCAGCAACCTGAAGGATAAGATTCCGCAGTTGACCCAATCTATGTACGTTTATCAATTCACCAACTCGTGTGGAGCTAGGTATATCGACCTGTCGACTCGAATTTTGTCCAAGAGGCTGTAAGAACACTGCGCTGAGTGGTTACGAATAGGTCGGAGTAGGGGCTATAAGAAGCACAGTCATTGAACATCTGATCGACGCTGATCTCTCCTTATTTCCGTAGCCTCTCCCTTTGAAATCATCTACAAGGCAGAAAATGACTTGCCCGAATTATTAAGTGTCCAACTCATCATCCGTATTGCTAAAGTTTTGGCGATCGAAATAGAAAAGTCAGATCTCTAGTACACAGAAAAAGCCAACCACGCTCTACCACTTCACTCCCTATAATCAAGCTAGGAACCAATGTAATCCAGTCCTGTAATATCAGCAGCGAATCGTAAGGTAAACACACTCGAAGATTTCAGCTCCTCAAAGTATTCAGAAGACACTTCATTTTATTAAAGTCTTCATCTGGGAGGGAAACTATATCATCCGTATATTCTAAGTCAACAAGACCATTCCCTGGTCACAATATTGGTTGTTATCACTGTGGATGACAACTCTCCGTAAGCTCTTACACAGTAGTAAGATGAAACTACTCAGGGAAACTTGATTTTTGATTACAGCTTGATTCCACACCGTATTTTTTGGTACAGGTATGGAATTTTCAGCATGTGATATCGGTAGCCCAAATTTTGCAGGCCGATCATAGATATCAGGTGTGTGTCGGCAGAGAGTCGAACCCCGGACCATGTGCATGGTCGGCGAGAGTCCTAACCACTGTGCCACCGACGCACAGTTCATTCTGCTCAAAAAATACTAGTATTAAAATGTATAATAAATCTAATCAAAAATAGATAAAAAAAAAACAGTATGAACAGTCTAATTCCTCAATATTACCTGTTGAATCTGGTCTTCTTTAGCTAAACCACCACCAGCAGACAATTTATTTGAACCAGCGCCTAATTCAGTGAATGCCTTTAAACATGCTGATTCTGAAAAGCGTAAACGCCAGTCTAATTCTTCATTCAGTGACTGGTCGATTAATTCTGGTGAAGTGCATCGATCACTTTGGTGTTGTTGTTGTCGTCGCTGTTGGCCTCCTCCTTTACCATCTGTCTTAATACCTTGTAATTCATTACGTATAAGTTGTTTACGACGATCAGCCTCCAAGAAGAGTGCTGCTCTCAATTCAGATAAACGTTTTCTTTCTGCTTCTATGTGTTTCCAATGTTGAGCTAATGGACGCAGCATTGAATTCAGTATACGACCAATTAATTTATGCAAATTTTCAAAGGGAATAGTTGATGCATTCTTTTCAGCATTATGTAACCATAATAAATTCAGGATGAATGAACTAATTCTGATAGGATTAAGCAGAAGAAAAATAATTAGAAGAAGAAGAGGCATGGGGTTATGGAGATTTTTAGCATACAATATATTACACACTGACATCTTAACTATGTATATGAACGAACTCTCTATCCCAAGTTGACATTGGGGCCAGGCTAGCATATCACAATGATTCAATGAGATACACTGACTGGAAGGAATATTCTCTTTGAGGTTCTACCATGACTGAAGGATTTTTTGTATAGCGGTTAGACTAAAAAGCAATTGCGCCATCATGGTCTAAGTGGTTCACACTATTTTCGGAAGTCTGAAAGGCGATGTTATACTGTTACTCAATAAGAATATAACAGCAGTAAGATGTTTCCCTTGGATGACGAGCAAAGCAGTTCTATCCTGAGTGGAGCTGAAAAACGGCCAACCTCGGAGACTGAACTTCCTGACTTATCTTACTGTTGTTAGTAGTAGTAGAGAGACAAGTCCAGAGACAACCTCAAACAGGCAATGCTGAAACCCCCTCCACTCATCTAAATCCACCTTCAACCAACTTGACTGACTGGTTTCAACGTGGAACATTGGCACAAATGTACAGCAGTTAGAGTTGCCAAACTTCACTTATCACACAAAACATGAGAACAGAGTAATGAGAGATTCAAAACGGAAATATGAGGCAAACAGAATAGTGATGTGGAAGAATATATGGTTTATTGGATATCATAAGTCAAAAGCAGTGGATACATCTGCACCAGCCATTGACACAACGATTTTGAGACATTTCACCGATTGCCTCCAGCCGCCATTGGTTGTTACCACTGCGAGGACCCCAACCAATCAGCAAGTCTACACTTCCATACATGCCTTAAACTAACTGTTGTGGATTTCATTGACCGATGGCATGTTTTGGCTTCACCACCATTAGCTAACTCTTTTTCGACCTGATCCATCCTATGTCAGCTTACATTGCCCATTGTCGAGGAAGGCGATAGTTAGGGATGCATGCGTAACACATGTCCTAACCATCTCAATCGATGTAGTTTCACAACCTCGTCGATTGATTTTCCCTCCTTACCTGGCCCTCGACCGAAGCCTAACCTCAATATTGCTCAGCTTATTATACCACCACCTAACATGGGAGATAGAACGCAGATACCTATGATCAAAGACAGATAGCTAGTCTTTTCATGTCTTCCACTTTCAATGGCCATGTCTGACTCACAGCCATAAAGGAAGACGGAGCGGACTGCTGAGCAGTTCACACACCCTTCGGTCGATAGCTAGATATCACGTCTACCAAGCCAGAGATGGCGTAAACTGACATATGCGAAACGAGCCTTCTGTATCCGTGCTGAGATTTCGTCAGCGATCAATCCGCTAGGATTGGCTGTGCAACTTCAACCTCCTAACAATCCATAACCTCACAATGACGAAATGGTATCACAGTTCACATGAAAGATAACAAAACACCAATATGTGTGATGTTTTGTAATAAATATCTCAGCAATGTTATAGACAACAATGACAAAGTAGAAACATCAAACAGAATCGTAGAGACAAGTGTTGATTTTCAAGGATTTGGCTGATCTGGAGTCGGAGATGGTGAAATGACATAAGTTAGAGAATCACTGAAGTGCATAGAGTACTATTTTGTCCCAACTTCCGAACTCTTCTACCATGACCCCACTGGGAGTCGAACACTCAGGACCTTCAGGTTACAAGACCCTATTGGTCAATTATCAGCCAATAGCAGGATCTCGAATTCAAACTTTGAAAACAAAACAAAAGGTCAATGTTATAAAAATAATAAACTTACCGAAATTGTATTTCTTGAGTTTTTCGTAGAGTATCATCACTGTTCTTTAGATTGCCTAGCAGCATTGAATTATTAACAGAGTTGACTAATTGTTGAATAATGCGTCTCGACGCAGGACTAGCCAATTCCATGGCTAATAACATTGGTCGAGATGATCGTTGATTGGCTGGTGATGATGATGATGCTAATACGCCGATGGCATTCTCTTTAGTATAATCAGTGCTTGCATTTGGCAGAAGACTAGTCACCAAAGATTTAATCAATGATGAGACAGACACCTGTTTGAAAGTTTCAAAAAAAAGGGAACGATTTTGACATCTCATTAGATAGAAAGTTTCTGTGCTAGAGATTCCTGTTTTTGTAGGGGTTTTTGTTTGATTGATTAGAGGATTTCATCATGAGCTGACATCAGTTAGAGAACCATTGGAAAACCACCAGGGAGTCCTGGACATCTGCCTCATCCTAGTTCGGGACTCTTCATCAGTGCGTACCTACCGCCAGGGTTCGAATCCAGGACCTTCTGGTTACAAGGCTAGCGAGCTCGTAGACCATTAAGCCACTGAAACCCGGTCCAATGGCCAACACATGAATCCTAACTTCTGCCAATTCATGAAATAGAGCGACCACTTCTCAATGTCTTCTTCGATGAGTTACTGCCTCACCTTCAACCTGCAGTAGCCTACTGGTCACGGCTTCCCACTAGAACCCCAGGTCACTGACTGAATAGGGCCAGTCGCTCATGATAAAATTCCTATTATAACTCGATTGTACTAGACTGGAATCCCTCGGTATCTATTAACATATCAGCTCTTAGTATGTAACTTTTAATACCTTGTTGTCAGATAGCTGAGAATGCCTTCCAGTTGTGGAGTGCATTGACACACGTCTCATCCAACTAGGAGATTTGACAGCTGGAAGTATACATGGATTTCAGTGATAGATGCTACTCCCAATTATTCTTATTATTATTCCCTTGGGTTCCGAGTGGAACATAGGACTACAACAACACATCTCCACTTTGTTCGATTTCCTGCTGTCATCTTTAGCTGGCTGGCTCCACGATTGTCCATTATCTCTCATCTCCTCCACCCACACACGATTTCCCATATTTCACCCTCAACATGACGATCTACTCATTGCTTCCCATTGGGATTCCACTCGAGCAATAGTCTACATTGCGTGCGATTCCATTCGACGGTCTCCTCAACGTATGTCCGATCGACCCATCCATTTCTATTTTGTCCTACATATTTGTTGAGCAATAGGCTCTCCCCTGTTAGTTTGTTCCACTGCTGAGTTTCTTGGTGCTAATTCTTTATGGCCAGCCGGTCGGCCATTTTTGATTTTCAGTATGGAGCCAGTGAAGGTGGCAGCTGTTGATAAAAGTTTGCAACAGGTCGTTGGAAATCCCTTTTGTGACAAGCTGGCCAAGTTTCTGGCCCGTATAGAAGAACTGACTGACTTCACTGACATTTGTGTTGAAAACCCGAATCTTCTTCTTTATGCAGCTGAGTCAGTGCAGAAGATTTGCAAACTGGTTTCAGACTGATGAAGGCGTATCTTGCCTTTCCGATACTGGCTGGCTTTGACATCTTCATCCGTCTCGACTGCCTGTGTTTAAAACGATGCTTCCTAGATAAGGGAAGAAGGTAGTAGCCTCTTTCAAACCTCTCTTATTGATGGTGATTGGTGCTGGTTGTTGTTGGTTGGTTATCTTCATAACCTCTGTCTTCTCTATGTTTACCTGGAGTTCTGTCTTCGCTGCCTGCTAGCCTCTTCAGCCAGTTTGTTGCTTTTCGCTTGTAAGTCTTCGAGTATGTGTGGCATTAAACGACATAAATCATCCACTTGCGAAATTGTGTAGCCAGCTGGAGATGATTGCAGAGAACGAGATGAAACGGAAATGTGCTGTTGAAGATCTACACTCCACTCGGAACAACCCAAAGGAATAATAATAATAATGAACCAATAATATGAACAGAATACAAAAAAAAGATCATTAACTTACATTCAATGTATTACTCGGTGAAATAATCTCATGAAAGACAATCCGAAGACCGCGATACACCTGGATTTACAAAAGCACACGTGCATAGTTTAAAAATTAAAAAAATAATAATAACAATAAGACTTTGTCATTAGATGAATTCATACACTGAAACAAAAATACCATACACAATTGAACTTATTGTAAGACAATACAAAGACGTGTCATGCAGTACTACGCTGCTGTTTTCATCCTTGTTTGAGACTCTTCATCAGTACGCAGTCATGAACGCGATCATCGATCGAACCGAGAATTTTCAGGTTACAAGGCGAGCTCGTGTAGCATTTATCCACTTAGATACTATATTCACTTAGTATGGTGTCCGTGGTAGAATTCGCGTTAGATTTCCGGCCAACGCACTCTTAAACTTCGACCAGGCAATACTAAGTTTGAAAAAGAGAAAAGGACTGGAGAATAAAAACAGCAGCCTGTGAAAAACAACATGCTTCTGAGGTATATGAGTCTAAATAGATCTATCGGTTGACATTGCCAGGGCACAGCTTGCGTCAGTAACTTTCCTATTCAAAAGATGTTAGCTGATAAGGGATTGGAATGAAAATAGTCAGAGATTTTTGACATAAACAATGTAGGAAGGTGTAGACTGGTTACCCAGGATCCTGAAAACCTAGATTGCTAGTAATATGTGTCGACAAATGGCTCTCAGTGGAAGAGATACATTCACGCGTTGTAATCTCTGCGATTCACTCGATCATTGTGGCTTCTCAAGTAGTCTGGGGTTTGATCCCCGGATAACACAGTCCTCCTTTACTGTGCTTAGCCGGCAGTAAGTCGAGCAAAGAGGGAAGGCGGGGTGTGAGGTCGGTAACCTGATCCCTTAAAAAATACCATTACTACTGGAACTTCAAACCTCGGGCTTGAAGCCTTTAAGCTTTAAGCTAACTGTTATGGATTTCGTAGACTGATAAAGTCATGTTTTGGTTGGGTCACCACTAGCTCTTTTTCAACCTCACCGATCCTATTTCAGCTAACAATGCCTGTCGACGAAGGCGATGACTAGGCTAAGCATGCGTAACACATGTCCTAACCATCTCAATCGATGTAACATCGCAACGTCGTCAATTGATTTCCCCTCCCTGACTATCATAAGGACATAACTACTCACTTCACACACTAAAACGGAATGAAGAATAGGATATATATATATAATCAACTTACATAGAATAAACCATACAGGAAAGGTGTAATAATATCAGCAAACATATGATAACGTTTTGGTTCAGTTAACCAATTGCCTAAATTGGCTGTAGCTTCAATCCATCGATGAATTGTTTGTAGTTTGAAATTCTTTTCAATCATTTCAGCATAGTTGTTGTTGTTGTCATCTTGAGGACAATATGGAAGTAGGAAATCCTCGGTGAAATCTGTCAGAAAAGTGCTAAGACGACGTCGAATCTCTACATACTATAAACCAACAAAAAAGGGAGAAAGAGGATAATATAATATGATGACTCATATATATGTCCACACCAAGTTCACTTCTAACAGTTTGAAAAAATTTAGGCATTGGGTATATGAAATAGTCACTATTATAAAAGTTATTGTATTTCCCGATGAATGAAAAACCAAACGATATTGTCGTTGTTTATACTGCTGCTAATAGCTTTATCAAAGTGGTAATATTAAACCTGAATTTACAAAATCCACTCAGCTTATATACAACAACTTAATCATCGTTCCTCAGCATTGTGTCATTTTTGCATTGTCAAGTCGACCAATTGGTAAAGATAACAAAACCATGTGTGTACATTGCTGGAATTGATAAGTGCACAAAAAATAAAAGTAGCATGTGTTCACATAATGAAATTACTTAACACATTCGTGTTGATTTTGTCATTTCATAAAGGGAGGGGGGAGAACGTTGCAATCAAGTCAAATTCGGCCTAAGTCTATGATTCCTATTCAGGCAAATTGGGTTCCATTTAATGATGTGAAATGCTTCTGATGATAATACTAGACGTTCTTTGTGATTTCTGAAATTTATTAGGATTACTAAAATACTGTCAAAATCAATTTTGCAGTCTGATTTCATGCAGCCAGTGGATGACTTAAGGCTGATAATTTTTCTTCAAGCTGTTTTAGGTCACTAACTGGATTTCTCGATGATGGAATAGAGGAGGCGGCTCTATGGTGTGTTGGTTTCATCTGATATCACGATTTCTCTCTGGCAATGTCTTTCCGATGTATATCACACATTCCAAGCATTTTATTTTGCAGACACCATTAGATTGAGAATGAACAATAATGCGTAACGTGATGTAGATTGGATAAGAAAGCGGCCAAAATCAACTGAAATCAAAATTTTAAGTCAATGCCTGGCTGCAGAGGTAGGTAGTATACATTGTGGGCATGAAATAACCTCATTGGTTAATCCTGTCTAACCTTGGGTCAGTTGACAACCAATCACAATAATTTATTCTTCTCTGACCTAGATGATCATTAATGTGGCTAAGAATGGTTAAGAATGATGTGTTCTTTCTTAAGAAAAAGTTAGTTAAGAAGTCTATTATATATATATATATATATGTCTCCCTTCCCAACAAAACCCACGCAAAATATGAAACGGTTGAAATTCTTATCGCATATAACCGTACTACGACCATAAATTCTTTACTCGAAGCGATACAAGGTGAACGTCGTGAAAACAGAGAATGATCAGCATATCTATAGAACAAGATGACTTCAGTTTACTGTTTGCGAGAAATATTATGCCTATCGACACCAACAATGTCAGTTAGTTGAGTCAATGGCATACATACTAGTAACCCTGAATACAGCCTTCCAAGTCCTACACATAAGAGAAGCCCATAAAAGAATAAGGGGGAATAATAAAGGAGAATAGGTAGAATATATGAATTAATAAATTGTCGAAAAGAGCTCAGTTTGAGTTACACCAGAAAGTTTCTGCACTTTGATGTAACTGGTTTAACGAAAGATTCTATTGGAAATCAAAAACAAGATATGAGGCAACCAACAAAGATTGGTAAGTAGGGTTCGGCAATGCCATCGAAATCACAATTTACTACGCAATCATTTAGAGTTTCTTCAGATGGTTGTTTGGATATCTTAGCTAGTTTTCCTTTGAGGGAGACTCGTCTTCGTTCTTTGTGTCGTTCGCATTATATTTTAATGGCGGTATTCAATGTTGACAGATGTTCTGGCGTAAGAATATGTTCAACCTTTTCTTTATGGAATCTAATCATATGCTGGTATTTTTAAATCCTATTGTGTGCATCCGTGATCATTAATTTCACCATTTGTTTTCCATGTTGTTTGGCTAATTTCACTTTCATAATGCACACGCCAATATCAAGTTCACTATGGAACATGAAAGTGACGGGAAGTTCCACTTCCTCGACATCGCCATGGAACGCCTAGAAGACGGTAGTCTTCAAAAGTCAATTTATCGTAAGTCCACATGGAAAGGACAATACTTACATTTTAATAGCTTTTGTCCAAATAGCTATAAACGAGCACTGGTCAAGACTCTGTACTATAGAGCGAGAAGAATATGCTCTACAGAGAAACTAGAGGAAGAATTTGAGTTTCTTGAAAAGACTTTGAAGAGCAATGGGTACCCTCAAAGGTTCATCAACAAGTATGGAAGATCTGCAGTCGCAAATGAAAAACAAATCACAGTAAGAAAAAAGCCAATCTACTTTGAGCTTGATTATAAAGGTGAAAACATTGCAGCGATGATCAACAGAAGGCTGAGTACATCACTAGCCATAGCCTATCCTGCAGCTAAGCTCGTTCCCGTCTTTCGAACAACTTGCTCTCTGGTACAATCAAAAATCGATAGATATCCTTCTCATGTTAACTCCAACTGTATATACATATTTACATGTATCTGCGGGAACAGTTACATTGGAAGAACAGAAAGAAGAGCATATCTACTATTTTCTGAACATGTACCAAACAGCTTACGTGTAAAAGGAACAAATGCTTTAAGCAGTGCCATCGCAAGGCATCTTCTTGACACGGGTCATGAGGTGGACGTCGAAAAGTCGTTCAAAATTATCAATAAGCAAAAGAGTTCAATGCTCCTTAAGTTTGCTGAAGCCTTTTCCATCAAGCGCCTAAAACCTGATTTGTGCGTTCAGAAAGAAGCAGTTATCAGTCTTTCTTTACCCTTGTTAACTGGATATTTTTCATCCTAATGCGAGATACTAAAAAGTTTTCATTTTGTATGGTTATTATTGCTCGAAATTGTGTTCAATATTGCATATATATATATGTATATATTATTAGTGTATGTGTATATTGATCGACTTATTTCTGTTTAAAATGAACTCTGTGCAAGTATGTTACATTGTTTCTGTAGATACATTTAATACTGTTTTTGCTCTGTAAGCAGCTGAAGAGAAGGCGACGAAATAAAATATGGTACCTTTTTATTCTGCTAAATCTGTAGTTGTTGCTTTGTTCACATTCATTAAGAGAAAAAATTGTATGAAATCACAAGAATCCTGAGACTGAATCAGTTCATTCAAGTTGTTTTGTTATGTTATGCAAAGGTAATATTGTAATGGACGATACAAGATATATAAGCTGAACTTGAGCACTGATTTCATGAAGATGTGAATATATGTCAGTAAAGAGAATTTTACAGCCTAACCTTGTTAGTTAAGACGATGGACCATCAAAGAATAGGTCATTTGGATTCAAAATACATGAAAGGCATGCATAAATATGACTAACTATCAAATGTATAAAAAAATGTACTTATTTCAGAGTTGGTTCCATAACTGCACACATGATCTCGTGAATATCATCCTCAGAACCAACCCCGGATTATCATTAGGGTTCCACTGGATAACTTGTGACGCCCCCTACCGTACCGCATTTCCACCAACCTATCTATCTCCTACTTTCTTCTTCATATCTGTGTGTGGTGAGTCGGTGGTTACTAGACGGCGCGTCATCTGATTTTCATTCACTATCTGGGATAAAAAGGTCAAATGCTGATGAAAATCAACAGACGCCAAATGGAAATTCTTTTGGTATTTCTTACAACTGACTAACAACAAACGACACGTTGCTAAGTCAGTCACTTGAAAGACATAAGATTATGAGTGAACGAGTTATCAGACACATTTTTTCTAATGCATTAGAATACCCTAACAACAACATACCGTTTACATTCAGTCTAAGGAATATATCTGTTATACAAGAATATATCCGCTATACAAGGCTGCAGAGTTATACAGACAGGTACGATAGCGATTCGGTTAAATATTGAGTACAGAAGTCAGACGCCTAACCAGTAAACCAGAAGTTTTAAATAATGAAATCAAACAAATAAAGGAGGTATTACGAGTGAATGACTACCCAACCACCAGAATTTTTTTCCAAAAATATATATGGAGAACCATAGAAACGCTAATCACCAGCAATGGTAACGACAAAACTAACGACAGGAATATGGAATTCAAAATCTCTGTAGTACTGTCGTATAAAGAAGGAACAGGTCAGAGGCCTTATGCAGGTTTCTCAATGGAGCTGGAACTAGGATGACATTTAAACCAACCAAAACTCACTCATTCAGAGATAAATTTTGTCGTCTAACGGACCCAATAGATCCAATCAGGAGAAGTAATATAATTCTCAAAAGTAATCCTTTTGTAGAGATTTTGTCTGATTGAATGGAGGATTTTATCGTGAGCTGACATCAGTTGGAGAGCTATTGAAAAACCTGGTAGTACTGGACAGTTGTGTCGTCCTAGTTCGGGACATCGCAAAGTGGTCGTGCTGTGTCATGAATTGGCAGAAGTTAGAGTTCATTTACTGGCCACTGAATCGCCACAAAGTCCTGGGTGGGTGCGTACTGATGAACAGTCCAAAACTAGACTAACGTAACAGCTGTCCAGTACTCCCTCCAGGTTTTCCAATGGTTCTCCAACCGATGTCAGCTCATGGTGAAATCCTCCAACCAAAGAAATCATACAATTTATCAAATAATGACTGTTACTAAGGTCAGTTACATAGGAGTGAAACTAGTACAGCGGGTTCACTTAAATTATCTTAATATTAAAATTTAGCTAAACCTAGAATGATTGAACCTTCTAGGTTAAATAACCTAGAAAAAGTTAAGGTATTGCACTGCATTCACTTGCATGTAATCACAAAATAGTATGGGTGGGACAGTGTGAGAGTATTAAAACGCAATATAGTTAGGTGGAAAGACTGAATCTTTGTTTATTCGATTCAACACCACACATGTGCAATCGAAATGACGCAATGCCTACACCTGAGATATGAAAAGTGGCGACAAATAACAAAAGGAAGTTGGGGAGAGATAGAGGGGTAGAAAGAGAGGAAACATATACAAGACAAATAGTGCAAAAAGTATGACTATATCATATCAAAATATGATTATGAGCAGCAATAACTTATTGCTCGAAACCGCCTTGTCATCGATTCATTTGTTAATACTGCATCATCATCACTGTGTGATATATGAGATAAACTCATCTAATATGGAAATATATTCTCCCACGGTGTCCAAGTTCTACACTTACATTACTAAAATGCAAAAATAATAATAATAGTAGTAAGAATAAGAATGATGACAATGAATTTACTTTCAAGTTTTCAAGAAACAATAAAAAAATGAAAAATAAAGTGAAATTACCTCAAAATTTGAGTTTTGACGACAAACTAAAATCTCCTTACAACTGGCTCCCAATTGATGCTTTAAATCTTCTGCCTTTGAAGAAAGACATCGACGTCGATTAATTAGAACACCTAACCATGGATGTAGTAAACCAGAGTTGACATGATCCGTTACACTATCTAGATGGATATCTTTCAAAGGCATCAAACGATTATTATAGGCGCCAATCGAATGTTGTTGAAGATTTTCACGGAATTCTAATTCGCTATTGATACGTTTCATCTAGAATTTGTGAAGGAAAGAGAGAGAGAGAGAGAGGGAGAGAGAGGAGGGAATGCATAAAGACGAATATATACAAAATCATACCCTAGCCAAGGTTCAATCAGGTGAGCTAAGAAAACGAACTACAGCCAGTGTGAGTAATACTCATCTCAGTTGGAGAACCACTGAAAACCAGCACCGGAATAATGAACAGCTGTTTCATCCTAGTTTGGGAATCACCGGCAGTACGCAGCCACTGGGTTTCGAACTCGGTACCTTCCGGTTACAAGGCAGGCTCGTATACCATTCAGCCACTGGGACCCGTTTCAATGGCACATGAATTCTAACTTCGACAAAATTCGTCATTTCAGCGTGACCATGAACCAATGTCATCGGTGGGAATTCCTTTGTTGACTTCCAACTGGATGGACCACACTGGTCACGACTTCTCACTAGAACTCCAAGCAACTGCCTCCTGTAGCCAGTCACTAGCGAGCATCAGATTAATTTCCAGGAATTAGTTTGCAGGTTATTCAGGCTAGACCACGAATTGATATTAGTTAGAGAAACATTGAAAACTGCCGATGAATCCCAAACTAGCTGTCCAGTATACTACCTAGCTTTCAATGGATCTCTCCAACTGATATCAATCTGTGGTCTACTGTGAAACAAATAGAATCCCTACAAACTAATCCTTAAAAATAAAACTCATCTTTTTTGTTTATCACCTCACTAGATGTCAGTCCAATAATACAAGCACTAGGTGAAAAGGGTAAGTGACTCGATGAGGCTGTCAAGCTACATCGATTCAGGTGTGTTACGCATCCCAAAATACCTACTTGCTCGATGAGCAATGTCAACTGACCCTTCGTCAGTTGACTGGATTGCAAAAGAATTAACGGCAGTTAAATCAAAATCTTGCACCAATCCATGAAGTCTTCGACAGTTGATTTGACTCAAACACATGGGAAGGTATAGACCGCCTGGTTGGGATTCTCAGGTTGCTAAGAACCAATGGTCAGGCAATATTGATAATATGGCTCAAAATCGTTACCACTGGTACATATGAGATTCACTCTGCAATCTTACACATCTGTGTGTTACTATTCCTTCAATTTTCGCTAGCATTTCTACACCTTAGCAACTTGAAATGTTGCACTTCTGTGCGTAGTTCTACGCTGAAGTTCAGTCAGTCCGGTATGAATATTGAACCGTCTTCAATGATATGCATATCGGTTTGGAAAGTAAGTTATGTGACTCAAGAATACGTTCATCAACAGAACAAAGGTGTGTGGATTAAATGATTAAATATGATGACTGAAATTCCACCGGAAGTGTGGTGTGTGTGTGGGGGGGGGGGCGAGGAAACGCAACAAGATACTGAAAACAATGACGTTGAAATGTCCTTTCAGGTTATCTTAGATGAGAATTAGCCATACCGGCGACGGGGGAAGAGCAGGACTTGAGTTTCATTCCACTAGGGAGTCTTCTCAATCGAACCTAACCTTCATTGTAGTAGATAACTCAGAAACCTCTCTTTAAGAAGTAACTACAAAATCCAACTCAAAACCATGCTGCAGCAGTATATAACGTAAATCCCATAAGTAAATAAAACAAGGATAATCGACAGTATACACCACAAGTATCTAAAAACTAGTTTTTGTGCTATTTAGGTGAAGTTATAACGACATCGAATGAAGGCAAGACAAAATACACATAAAAATGATCTCATAACAGTGCATAGTACGATAACTATCACCATTATTCAGTCTCACTGATCCTATCTTTTCATCTTCTCCCCTCCAACTTCGAACTTCTCAGTAGAAGTGACCACGTCAGGAGTGAAATTCGAAGTCAGAACTCATGGCTTCAAAGCCAAAGCACTATTCACACAACAGCGAACTGGATTCCACTGCTATTGTGGTGAGAGTTGTCTGCAAGCCGAAATTGTAGACAACAGTTTACGTCAATGTTCACAACCCGAATCAGGGTCATGAGAAAAACAATAACAAAGCTTAACCTTGAGAAAATTACCAGTCAATCACAGAGGAGTTAAAGTGTGGAAATATGATTCACAGTTATATGACTTGATTTTCTGAGAAACGGCCACAAAGAGATAACAGAATAACTTTCAGCAAGAAAACAACCAATCAGAAGAGATTGCTTCTGTGCTAACAATAACGCTATGATAATGTAAATAAAAATCTATAAATACCTCTTGTTTTTATCAATGTACGATCTGTTGCCTGGTCCTTGTCTTCTGTCGCTCCACCATTAGTATTATTCACCTGATTCCTCAGTTGAACATACAGTGCTCGAAAAACACACCTCCACTATATTCTATTCTCTACAGTCTCTTGTGAGCTTCATACGATCTCCTCTATGTCACATCCTCACACACAAGCACAACCTGTAGTTTTTTTCAGTGAGATTCTACTCAACTCAAGGGTTTCCTTAGAACGTCGTGCGATTCAACGGTGGTCTCCTCAGTGTATGCAGAGTCCATCATCAATTCCTTCTGCACATTTTGATGAACAACAGGTTCTTGGTTGGTTTCACCAACATGCAGGATTCCTAGTCGCTTATCCTTTCTGGGGTGAAGTTAAAGTATCATAGCCAAAGTCAAGGCCTTTCAAAAGTTGACCTTCAAGAATCGATTAGACGCCGGGAATGCTATGAAATATCATTCCAAATCACCTCATGCCTACCTTATTCAACTTGGAAAGGATAGATACAGTAATCCACTTATTATACTCTAGGTACTTTATCTGCAAATCTACGCTGTTAGGTAGGGTTATGGCTTTTATTATTAAGGTCGAGAGTCTAGAGTTAGGGTTAGGATCAGGGTTAAATTTAGGATCAGAAGTTAGTGTTATGGTTAGAATTAGGAGTAGCTTGAAGACTAGTGTCAGAAATATCAATGCATCGCAAAGTAGCATGACACCTACAGTCACCTGGATGAATGAGTTTATTAAACATGGTACGATTTCTCTATAGGTCATCTGTGTATTGAGTGGGTGACACTCTTACAACACATAAGCTACAACTATACTGTGTATTATGAGGTTTGCAATATTTTTTAAATGTATTTTCAACGATTATGCGACATTTTTTGCATCTGACATCTGATTGGTTGTTCAAGGTCACTGGGATTTTGGGTATTATAGTTTAACTTTGACCCTACTGGTTAGCAGTTTGACTTTCAGTATCTAACCAGAGAAGGCATCTCTTCACGAAAATCTAGTCTGTTAGAAGAGCTTTTCGTGACTCACGCATCAAGTCTCTGAACTATATTGGAAGCAAGAGCGGGTGTACTGCTCAGAAGTCCACTCCGTCCTCCTTTATGGCTGTGAGTGAGACATGACCATTGAAAGTGGAAGACATGTCTTTGATCGTAGGTGTCTGCTTTCTATCTCCCATGTTACGTGTTGGTATAGTAAGGTGAGCAATATTGAGGTTGAACGCCGAAAGCTAGGTAAGGAGGGGAAATCAGTCGACGAGGCTGTGAAATTACCTAGACTGAGATGGTTAGGACATTTGTTACGCATGCATGCCTAGCCATCGCCTTCCTCGGCAGGCAGTGTTAGCTGACATAGGACGGATCAGGTTGGAAAAGAGCTAGCGGCGATCAAACCAAAACATGGTACCAGTGAATGAAATCTACAACAGTTAGTTTATGCCACGTAAGAAGGTGTAGACTTCCTGGATGGGGTCCTCGGGATGGTAAACACCAACGAAGGCTGGAGACAATTGATGATATGGCTGGCTCAAAATCGTTCTCAATAGGCTGGCGCAGATGCATCCACTCCTTGTGACTTATAATTTGAAATGAAACTATATTGTTCTTCGTTATTACTATTCCTTTTGTCTCACAACTCTGTTTACTGTCTCAATTATTCATTTCTTCTACTTTCTTCTCTTGCTCTGTGTGCTACATGGAGGGAGTGTGGCGACTCGAACTGCCACACATCGGTGCAAAGTTCTATGTCGTAAACAGACAGATATTGGAAGCATTGACTTGATATTACTGTTAAAGATCCCAACCCTTTTACTACTTATACTGAGTGTGCAGTACATTTCTACACCGAATTTCAGACAACCGAAGATCTCATCCAATCATGCACCTTTGACATGCATATGCATAAATATATGCCACCTATAGGGGTGGTAATTTGAAGTCATCATCGAGATATCATCCAACATGTCGACAGATATGAAAAACCAGTCAACGAGAAACTCACGAAATACTTGAACTATTGTTTACATTGTATTGCACTGGGGCGGCTTACACTGACAAAAACACATAATCTCAACACACATTAACCAAATGACATTATACTCATCATTACATCACATCAATCCATACTTTTGAAAGAGTGGATCACAGACAAAAACAGCGAGAGAGAGAGAGAAAGAGATGATATAGTATAGCTTACTCACCTCATATTCAATATCCTCTTCTTCAATTTGCATTACAACATACGGATCTAGATGACTTTCTGGGCGAATACATCGTAGATACAGACAACCGATAAGTAGCCAACATTTGCTTAGGATAAATTTATTCATCAATATTGTTGTCTTATTGTCAATGTTCGTTTGAAGAGATTGTGATGATGATGACGAGGAGTTGGAAGTGGTCAGCAGCAACATGTGAAGTTGATTGAATTGTTCAATTAACAGTTCAGTTAAACGTACAATATGATACCAATCAGAAGAGGAGGAGGAGGAGTGACGATTAGTGAGATGCGATGTTTTAATTAAATCTATAGATGGTTTTAAAGCGAAGTTGATCCAATTCAACAGATCAGTAAGTGAAGGACAGATACCACCAATCGAGTACACTGGGAGATTATTCTCGCCGATGGTATGTGACTTGTCCACAGATTCCAATGATCGATATATTCCTTGTAGGATAGTGAAGGCAAGCTGTACAACTGTCTTTATATCCGAAGACCTGTAATTTTGATGTTGACATTTTTTTGTTAAAGAGAAAATGGGAAACATGAAATACAAAATGGACATTAGACACTAACAAAATCATATCGAAATTCACGGAAAATACCCCTATCCAGACATGAATATAAGAACAACAAAGTTCATCGAAGAGTCTCTTCTTTCGGCGGTGAATTTATTCACACTTAGCCGTACAATCGCATTTATATAATTATTATTTGTGTGTTGTAGACATCAGGATTGTCAAACAAAATAAAATAAAAAATTAGTTAGGGCTATTATTTACGTCATTGAAATGTTTCAAAAATGTGTTGAATAATCGAAATTGTAACTAGGAGGGTGAAGATTGGTAAGTATTGGTGGGGGTTGCGTAATATGAATTAGGATGTTAATGGAGACATGTATCCAAAATAAACTGCGCTTGTGGGGCGAGTTATGTTGGCCGTTGCTCTAGGAACTTGATTTTTCGTGCTCACTCGGGAACATATTCCACTATGACTAAGTAAAGGTGTAGTTAAAACTATTAACAGCTCGATATTAGACCATCTGGTGCAAACCGGTCACAAAGCCAGCGTAGACGAATCCTTCTCCATAATATACCGAGTACCTAACAAACTACCAAAATCGTCGAAGCACCGCTTGCTCCAAACAGCAGAGGCTATTGCAATTCGCCTCAAACAACCAGCGCTCTGTGTCCAAAAGAAACAAGTCCAGCCCCTACTACTGCCCTGCCCCTTAGTAGAGACTATAAACTCATGAATTTGTACTATTACTATTACCTTTCCTAATTCTTCTGACATTCAGTTTATTTTATGTTGATGCTATTCAGCTCTAATTTATCAATATTATTGATTTGATGTTATTTAAACATTATTGTTGTTCATAACACTAATTCATTCATTCATTATAATGTATATATAATAGTAGAACCTGATGATGAAGGCGTTATCGAAAAGAGTACTCTTTGTTCCATGTCTATTCTTTTGAAAATTTTAATGGGCATTTTTAATCAATCATGTAATAGGTTGTTTAGTAAGATGTTACTAAGATGTCATACAAAAATTCAAACAAGGCACTATTAAGAAAGTAGCAGAACTTGGAATTACACCTAAGACAGAAGCAGGCGATGGAGAAGTTCCTTCTGTGTACATAAATCAGGGTTTTCTATCCGGATCGCTAAGACCTCGGCAATGCGAAGTATACGGAAGCTCACCGTTTCTGGGAGGCTTCTTTTGACTTTGTAGATAACTTTGAATGAATTCTCGTTACACATATTGAGTGACCAGTGTTGACTATATTGTTCAATTATAGCACTGTTTATTGATCCATTGTTACCTTTTCGTAACCAAGAGGGATAATGTTCTTTGACTCTTTCGGATAAAACACACATCGAACTACAAATATATCTCGCTTCACATGAGCAAGTAAATTGGTAGATACACACGTAAGCGGTCAAATGCGATAGTTTATTTTTTGAGTTGGTGAACAACAATCGGCGGCATCAGAATACCAATCATTGTCTTTCTGTCTGTCTGGACTCAACATAGAACTTGGCACCGAAGTGAAGCAGTTCCAGTTGCCACGTTCCAAATAGCACACAAAGGCAGACAAGAAGATGAGTGAAGAGAATCAATAGAGTTTTGACAAGTATAAGAGTGAAACAGAATGAGTAATGGTAGAAAGGAATATGAAAGATTACAGAGACTGAATACATCTGCGTAAGCCATTGACAACGATGTTGAGCCATGTCACCTATTGTCTTCAGCCATTGATTCTTAGAGTCCCGAGGGCGGGCCCCAACCCGGAAGTCTGCATCTCCCTACCTGACTCAGTTTAACTGTCAAGGATTTCATGCATTGATGCCATGTTTTTGATCGCCCACCACTTACTCTTTTCCAACCTGCACCTATATCAGCTAGTAATGCCCGTCCGTCGGGGGAGGCGATGGTTAGGCATGCGCAGCACGTCACCTAGCCATCTCAATCTATGTAACTTTATAGCCTCTTCGAGTGATTTTCCCTCTTTGCCCAACACTCTACGCCTAACGTCAACATTACTTACCTTATTATACCACCTAACGTGAGCAAGAGATCGTAGACATCTATAATCAAAAACAGACAACCTTTTCATGTCTTCAACTAGTATTGGCCATGTTTCAGAGCCATAGAGGTGGACGGATCGGACTGCTGAGCAGTACACACGTCCCTTGGTTGATAGCCGGATGTCACGCCTACTCCAGAGATGGCGTAAGTAAGCGAAAGCAGCTCGAGCTGTTTGGATACGTGCTGAGATTTCATCGCCCAATCTTAATGTAGCAGCAGAGTATTTTCCTTTCAGGGCGTTGGATATTCTTCTCTTTAGAATGTCGGTCAGAAGGTCGCCTTTGAGCGCCATATTCATGTATAACATCTTCTTCGGCACAGGGATATGTTATTCTTTGTTGATTTTCGGTTCTATGTGTCCATCTATAAAGCATGGTGGACAGCGATTCTCAAGTAGTGTCTTCTTCAAAACAGTGATCTCTTCTTCTACTGATTCGGAGCTGCAGATTCTACGGATTCTAGTTGCAAAAGACATTATCAGGTTCCGCTTGCGACTAATAGGTAGCCAACTATAAAAGTTTGTCAGCTGGCCGTTCCACTTACGCTTTCGACATATTGATCTCTTTAGAGTCCCATTAGTCTTCTTTGTTAGTCGGACGTCAAAACTATTGAGTCATGACACTAAAAATCAATGTTGGAAGTATTGAAACTTCTCGATCAACAATTTCACGACTTTTCAAGGGTTAGATCTATAGGATCTCATTGTTTATAGATTTGATCACTGGCTGACAATAGTCACGGGACCATTGGAAAACCAGCGAGTACTAAACGGGCGTCTCGTGCTAGTTTGGGACTCTTCAACAGCCCGCACTCATCGAGATTCGAATTCGGGAGCTTCCAGTTACAAGGCGAGCTCGTAGACCATTTTGCGAATGGCATGCGATCCAATGGCCCAGTAATTCATACTTCAGCCAATTAGTAATGTATACTGCTACTATCCTCTTACATAGTTTGGTGAACGCACCTGGAACTAGAACCCCAAGGTAACTTCGAGTATATAGCCAGTCGCTAGTGAGCATCAGATAAATTATCAAGTGTTGGTGGTCTGCAAGGATTTGATTGGTTACAGGTGTGATCCCGAGCTGACATTTCACGCTCTTATTACAGATACGCCCCAATTCTGATATATAATGGAAAAGATTTGTAGCTCAAGTGAATCTTTTTGATGGAATTTTCACAGAGTACACCATCAAGTCACGTAATTCACAAAGACTTTCAGAAAAAGTTTCATTGAAGTCGTCGTCTAGGAAGACAATGAAAGTTCCGCAATTAACCTGCCAGCGAGCTCCACAGAACGCTACCACATCAAGATCATCCACCTGAGCTACAAACCACACATCCACATACACAAATATTACCTAGAGCTCGAACCTGAGGCAAGCAAGATAAAAAAATACAGCGAATAACAGCAGCTTTGACATCCCTTTAAAAGAAAAGAGATTTATCGAATAGAATTTTCAATATATTTGAAAACAACTCACTGTAAATTATCATTCTCCGGCGAATTGCTCAATTCATCACTCGAAGGTGGTAATAAAAACAATAAATGATTTGCATCTTGTATAGCATGCTGACGATATCGCCAACCGTAGACAGTCAGCTTTCCACGATATGAATAAGCACCATAATCGTATAACATTGGCCAAGTGATGTTAATCAACACTTGGCTAACTGATCGCCATTCACCTAATATGTCCGGCTAAAGGGGGGGGGGGGAGGGATATGAGAGGAAAATAAAAGTATTGTCACAGAGGGAGACAGAGAGAAAGAGGGAGAGAAAAGTGAGATGTAAAACACGGGTGGTGCATACAACTCTATCTATATCCAGTAAGTGTATGAGCCAAAACAGCTAATTAATTTAATGCGTCCAACTGACACGATTTCAGATACCTAGTCTAGCTGGCAACTTCAGTTAGTCTACTATACACACTTCTAAGCCCGGGGACGTGAGGCTAGTGACTACACTTCCCTGAGAAACGTCTCAATTGCTACAGAAACTTTGAAGAACAGAAACTATATAGAAAATGAATCGGAGAGACGAAATGAGGGCTAGTGAAAGCCTACTTACTACTTACTATGAAAGCGAAAATGAACATGTGGACATACGATGTCTGCACAAAGGATGTTCGCTTTGCAAAAGAAATTAAAAGATACGGTATATAAGTAATAGGTTTCTGTAAGAGAGCAGATGGAATCTACTCAGGCCACTCAGACGAACATTATGAACATACTGTCTCAATGCTATGAATCATCACCACCAACAGCATCTATGGCTGTTGTGTGGTGGGATAGCGGGGAGTCAGATCAAAAGGCAGGAAGGTTACAGTTTGCCCTATGCTAGGCACCTACAAACAACACACACCAGAAGAGAAGAAAGCTTTCTAAAGATAACTGGACCATAAATTGAGAAATCCAAAACCCTTTTTGGGCGATATGAATGCCAAACTAAATGGAAGTAGACAACACTGATTGGGAGGAAACTCATCAGGAGCTTAAGGAATTCACCACGAAATGAAATATACTTCTCTGTGATTGGCCGCCTTTAAATATGCTCTAACAAAATTTTTCCCACTTGTATCGATTTAATTTCTTGTTAGCCTAATATTTGACTATTCAGTTGTATGACTGAAAAAGAATGCCAGCAAAGATGGATATACCAATCAAAAAAACAATCATTCCACACTGAAATACAGATGTTATTCAAGAAGACAATGACAACTTCGCCATTAATCGATACTCAGTGTTACATATGGTATTAGATTCTCAAGACAACATGACGGTTTGTCAGACAATACATGCTTTTAGTGTAAAGAAAGCAAGAAACATGCTCACCGGTAGAATGCTTTGCAAACAACCTGCTGGAGGTTGAAGTCCGACTGCCAAATAACGCGCATTTCTTAGCCTTAGCCTAGTTCCCTAGCCGATAGCAAGGCGGAAGGTTAGCTATATGCGGCAATCAACCACACCCAGTAGAAACAACACCGTTACTGAGATTGTAAAGTTTAAAAAGCACTATGTTCCACTACTACTCACAAGGTAAGGAATGAACAAACCACCAAACAAACAAAAAACACATCAAATAACAGAGTACAGCCAAGTTACCTGATTCACTGTCTGACAGTTCGCCAGTTGACTTGGAAGACTCCAGTCTAAACGTTGAAATATGAAAGACAGCATACTTGAAAAAGAAGAAGAGGCGCTCGTTTTTGTGGATGATGATGATGATGATGTCATGCTGAATTCTTCCATCAATAATTGTTTAGCAATCCGTAACTGTTCAGTGTTTGAATTCTTCAACACAGATTGTGTCATAACAAGGTTGGCCAATAGACCAGGACGGTTCAATGACATTAACACGCCACGAATATATATGCGTAAAGATGTCTTCAATTGTATATGGGACTGATGATTACTATTATTATTATAAGTAGTATTTAACAACTCATTTTCAATACATTTTGACATTAAAATCATAATCCAAGGCCATAGACAGTAGAATTTCAAAATATCTCGGTAGACATCACTTCCAAGATGGTGGTCATCAGTACTACCGGGGAGAGGGATGATTGCCTGTTTTGCATTCATCATATCGTCATCGTGAATAGCATTACTATCCCCGCCACCACCACCATCATACTCATCATCATCGTCATCATCATCACTGTAATCCTTATCAAGCGTTAATTCACCAGTACTACTACTGCTGCTTGTAATTCTCAATAAGAATTCATTCAAAATCTGTCCAAATTGCAACCAATCAACAGAGAAAGCAGCATTATACATTGCTGATGAATACATTTCATACTCTTTGCCTGTAATAATAGATGGTGGTGTTGATGATTTCGATAGAAAATATTGTGTAATTGTTGATAATTTTGGTAGACTTGAATCGAATCTATCATCAATAGTGAGTAGAGCTCTTTGATTATGAAATGAACAACGTTCAGGCCAATCGAATGAATCACCCAAACGACGCGAACCAAATAAGTGTATCCATGACCAAGCTTTACAAATGCCGGTATAATAGAAAGATAAATCACATTGTTCACTAGTAGAGGTAGTAGGGAATTGATTCCATAGATTGTGTAAATAGTCCAGCCATTTATCGTGTAATTCAATTAATCCAGGATAAGCGTCTAACCACATAGCGGGGAGATGATTTTCACTAGCCAATTTAATTACTTGTAATAAAGGTAAACGACAAAGATCTGCAGGTTGTGTACAGGTGGATAATTGACTATCAATATCTGATACATTCATCGTTGAGTCGTATAATTCAGTCAATAGGAGAGAATACAAGCGTCTAAAATAAAGATGGGTGTTGGAAAGGAATAAAAACAAAGGAAGTATCGTATTATTATTATCTTGGGGGAAGGGAGAGGGGGAATTTATTCATGAAATTAAATCAAAGAACAACATTGGTGTAGGGTGGTTGGAAGCAATCGCCAGGAAGTGCTTATTGGCGAATGAATATGCTAGGATTACTATCTCAAGGCATAGACCGAAAAAGGTGGTTGTCTTAAGGGACCATCCCACAGCGAGTTGTCGACTTGATGTCTGATTCACAAGGCACTGAGACAACGTCAGAAGCTACATTCCCATGGATTCTGATGACTAGGAAAACAGGTTCATCGAAGCCATTCGATATATTCGGGTTCTGGAGAACATGAGTCCCTCAGCGGTTTGGAACGAGGGGGGGTTCCCAGCTCCTTTAGGTGCACACCTTGTTGTCGATCAGTCCAGTTTCAAGTGCTAGGAGGTTCTATTATACGTCTGCATTGATGAAGAATTTCCTCGGTAGAACTAAAAACAAATGTCAAGCACTCGCCAGGGTTTAAGTGACATTTTATAGCTGATATCGTTTCGACAAATTCGGCTCATTTTCCTATTTATTCTAAATAATAATCATAATAAGTAACGGTGTATTCGTGAATGCCAACAAATTACCTTTATAAGTAGTATATCACACCAGGTGAAGGTAGAACACCAGTGTGTATTCAACAGCGAAGCCGAATAAAATTTGCCAAAATGACAATCTCTGTGAACTGAAAAGAAAACCATCAAAGATAGAACACGATGTACATGTTTTTGATGGAGTTGTGCTATCTCTTTAGGTGTGAATAATGCTTCGTGGAGAAGCTTTCATTGTCTTTCTGAACAACATCTTTATTGCATATTTCACAATTCGAAGAGAGGTTTAAGAATTCTCCATGAATTTAACAGCCATCTCTCATAGTAACCCTAGTCGTGATCGATTGTTTCTGTGTATTTGCTCACCCTCTAGTCGACTTGTATTTCTATTGATTATTTTGTTAACCTTCTCTTCATATGACTTCATTTTTATCGATCGACAGTTCTTCTCCAGTTTGACTGGACACTAATTAGTCTCTAGTATCATACATCTAGTCGTTTGTTTGGTGCAAACAGAATTCTCTCAGTCAAGTTTTTAATGTCGTTCACCATCACGGTACACTCTGAATTGTCGATATTAGATGCTTGGAGGCAGTCGGCAGAGACCCTTACTGGGACCTAAGTTTCGTGCTTGTTGACTGGCACTTACTCACCACAGTTAGCAAGGTGTATCTGCAATCTTGGAGGGACTCATATTGTGGTGAGAACTGGCTGCTAGCCAAAGTTGGTAGACAGTAATTGACGTCAATGTTTATGTCCCCAATATTGGTGGTGAGAAAATGAGAACAAAGGCTTTGCGTAGGCAGATACAGTTAGCATATAGATGATCTAACACAGCCACAGAGAGATGCAAGGTTAACTTTCTGTGAGAAACAACCAATCAAAAGACTGTATTTTCTAATAACAATAATCTACAATAATGTACATGAAAATCTATAAATATGTGTTGATTTTCCTTAATAAACGATCTGCTGTCTGGCCCTTGTCTTCTGTTGTTAAAATATCCCTGCTGAGAACTCAACCCACGTAACGTCTATGTAACTACACCACTGAATAACTCATGAGTTGATTCTCAGAGGGGACATGAGTTCCTTCAAAGTTGAAGATACGCCTTGCTGACCTGTGAATGACAACAAGCATGACATATAGGCCCAGGCAAGGCTTCCTGCCTACTGCCTCCAACTATCTAATAACAACAGTTCTTTTCTAGATCAATGTGTCTGTTGAGAAAATGATGAGAGAATATACTGAAACGACCTGCTTAGGTCAAGGTCACGAAAGGAAATGGTTGATAAACTCGTGGAGAATTCTAAAATGAAAATCTACAATGAAAGCTTAGAAAAAACACAACTAAGCACGTGAGCTACATATCGTCATTACACAATGCGCAGCAAATCACTTCGTCCTTCTACTCGGCTGTGACGAATGGCTATTGGAAGAAGAATATGTGATGAAACTAGCCGTCTTCTTACTCTTAAGTGCTTACACTCTACCTCTAACGTCAATTAGCACAATATGGTGAGGTTGGGCATCCATTGTAAGGTAAGGAGGGGAGAAAATCGCTCGAACTATCGCTTGCCATGTACAGCAATGCTAGCTAACATAGAATTAGCTTGGAAAGTGAGTAAACATTGACACACTCATCTAACAGAAAATAGAATCAATCACAGGGTGAGGGTGTTATTGTGCGTCGGTGGCACAGTGGTAGAATGCTCGCCAACCATGCCACATGTGGTCCGGGGTTCGGTCCCCGGTCACTGGACGCACTCCTTTACCTCGATAAGCCAGTAAAAAGAAAAGACTGGTAAACAGGGAAGTTTGAGCATGAGGTTAGCAACCCCACACACCGTAAAATAAAAACACCACTGCTACCGGAACTTCAAGCCTCTAGCTCCACTGGGAACGTAAAGGAGTAAAAAGCAAAACAGGATGAGGAGGAAAAGATTTTTTTCAAAACAAAAACACCTACTTATTCCACTCATACAGCAATACATCAGGTGAGCATCCCAATAATTCAATAAAATGCTTCCAACCGGGTATCCAACGTAGATCTGGCCAGGTGGTTAGATCATAATACAGTTTGCATTGTCTTACAGATAATGACGATGATGAAGATGTCAACATCTTCATGAACTGATCATTCTCAAGATGTGTTTCGGATAGATTAGCTTGTTCCAATAGGATACGTTTAGCTAACAATAATATTTCAGATGTGATGGTCGATGATTTTGAATAATCAGACAGTGTGAGATCAATTAAACTGACATGAAATTGACGATAACCATTAGGTGATCGTCTACTGACTAATTCATTCACACTATGATGAAGGTAACGTTCGGGTAAATGCAATAGGCGCTGATCACTGCCCATATCAGTTGATGCTTTATTACGATGAATACATTGTCAACGTAGTATGTGATCAACCATTTGACGAACTAAAAGAAACAAACAACAAAAAACAACCCAGAAAAGAAAGATGAACACGTCCAAATTTTATGTATACAAGGCGAAAAATAACCTATGGAAATCGTTACATGCTCAACTCATCTGTACTGCTGAAGCTTTGACCATCGAAATAGAACAGTCTGAAAAATGTTTATTTCAAGTTGGACGACGGATCGATATTAGCTAAAGAATCATTGAAAACCAGTTGGAAGTAGTGGACAGATGTTTCGTCTTAGTTTGAGATTTATCAGCAGTACGCACGCACCCCAGGGGTTCGAGCCCAGAGTCTTCCGGTCATAAGTCAAGCCTGTAGGTCGTTCAACCGCTGGGACTACCACCACCCAGTGTCCCCACTTTCGACCAGGTTAACCCTAATGGTTATGACTTCCCAGTAAAACTCCAAGCAACCTCCTCTTCCTGTAACCAGTCGGATCCAAGTGGCTGAATGGTCTATGAGCTTCTCTTGTAACCAGAAAGTCATGAATTCGAACTTCAAAGGGTGCGCGCTACCGATGGGTTTCAAACTAGGACGAAACAGCTGTCCAGTACTCCGGTGCTAGTTTTCAGTAGTTTCTTAACTGATATCAATCCGTGGTCAAAATTCAAAACAAATCAAAAATCCCTACAAAATAAAACCTTGGAGATTCAACTACCGCTAATTCAGTCACGAGTGAATATAACAAATCACCCTTTTTATCTAGCCTAATTATTATTGTTTAAAAAAACAACTAAAATTTGCTAACAAGGAATGCACAACACAAAATTATCTCATACTTCGTGAGAGGGCTGGGATACTGTCTGAACGTCAAGACCGAAGCAGGTGGTTGTCTTAGGGGGGTCCTTCTCTCCTCCAAGCCTTTGACTTGACATCTGCTGATCCATAAGGCAGTGTAACAGTGTCAAGAGCTGCATTCACATGATTTCGAATCATACGCCATCCCGTTCTTTCGGCAGTGAATAAGACTTACCTACCTGATGGACTCGTGGCTGCATAAGAGCTTTTCGAGAGAGGAAGATTATGGTCTACACTCCCTTGGCCATAATAGATCGTTTATAGAGTGTGGGTGGGGGCTTATCATACACCCCACAAATAAACAAAATCAAACAGTAATAATGAGGATAGGATAAAGAATTGTGGGGATATAAACCTACCTCTACAGCCTTGACATGCATTTGACGTTGACAATAGACAAATTGAAGAACATGATTTAGAATTCTATTGATGTCCACTTCACTACTGAATTTATCATCATCACCATTGTCGTCTTCATCAAGATCCACTGACATCTCTTCTCTTTTCGACTTCTTCAACCTCTTTATCCTCTTTATCTTCTTCTTCATCTTGTTACTTGATTTTTCTCCAAGGGGGGAACATTTGATACGGTCGTCAAGTTGACTAGGATTTGCCAACAACTGTTTAGCATACTGTCCAGCTGATATCAGTGCACCGATCGGAGGCTTCTTAAAGCTATGACATGCTAACAACTGAAAACTATTTGTCACAGGTGAAGGTGACTGTCGTCGTTCATTGAAACGCTGAAGATGCTGTTCAATACAGCTGGGATTTTCACATGCCTCTAAGAAGAGTGAATGAAATTCTAAAAGACCAATAGCTATTGATTTGGGGACATTTATTGAGGTGAATAAGCGTAGCAGATCCAAATGTGGAAGTGAAATCTAGAGAGATAAAAAGAGAGAGACAAAAGCAAAACAGTCCATATATTACTGACTAATCGATATGAGTAGTTGCAGACGATAAAAAAGTTAAACAGTGGTATTTGAGTGATGTTAACCTTCTCGACAGATAGCTGCTACCTTGACGTGGTGGTCCGGCTTTCTTGACGCAATGACCCAACAAGCTATACTGACTGGAACTATTTTCCTGCAGTTACCATTCCATGGAAGATTGTTAGGATAGCGATTAGAGTAAAAATTTATCAGCATAGCATAAGATTTCTCTTACACTATGCTGGGGGTCTGTGGGAGAAGTCGTACTGCTGGGGAACAGGGATTTAACAGCAGTGAGGTGTTTCCCTCAGGCGAACAGCATGTCAACCAGCTATGCTGTCTATCCACTCTAGAGACAGACGGTTTGAGAAGGTCGACCCGAAAAATTGTACATCCCGACTTACCGTACGCTGGTCAGTAACCGGGTAAGCTTACTAATACAGAACAAATCCAAGAAACCAGTTTATACAGGCCGTATGTGACCGGTCTCAAGCAGTTGTCCCCCGGGCTGTGTGGTCACGCAATACTAACTCTATTTTTTTTATTACAGCTTGATTTCACACCGTAATTTTCCGGTACAGGTATGGAATTTTCAGCATGTGATATCGGTAGCCCAAATTTTGCAGGCCGACTGTAGATATTAGGTGTGCGTCGGCAGGGGATCGAACCCCGGACCATGTGCATGGTCGGCGAGAGTCCTAACCACTGTTCCACCGACACACAGGTATCCCAGGAATCAATCAACTTCCACGGTGTAGGCAGGGGGAAAGTAACAACCGCCGACACACTTCGAAAAGCACACGAAGTTAACCTTGCATGGCTTTTTCACTCGTTCAGCACAGAGCACAGAATTAGCAGTGTTCAAGGGAGTGATAATTATAATAATTCCCATTGTCGTTAACAGATCGCAACTACAACAGATTAAGTCTGATCAGATTAGATAACACCTATCCCCATTTGATGTTTATAGAGTATATGAGTTGTTTAGTTAATTAAATGATGACTTTTTCCCAACAGAATAAGTTCATTAGATGTATTTCGCCTACACCTAACTAAAATATGCGTAAGAAATTGAAGGTTAAACTGCAGCAATCCATGGATTGAACACACGTTGACCTTGAGCGACCAATCAGAAAATTACATAGTTCAACGATCAAACATACTTCCGATTAATGAGTATCACTTTTAAGTAAGATCATTGTACATGTATTCATCGAGGTGACTGACTAAAGACGAGTTCTTTTTGTGACCTAATTATCGCTTTAACTCCATTATATGATAAGAGCAATATTAATAGAATACAAATAACATATGCGTCGGCGGCACAGCGGTTAGGACGCTCGCCTACCATGTACATGATCCGGAGTTCGATCCCCGGCAGACGCATACCTGAATCTAGGTCGCTGCTATTGGCTATCGATATCACACAATATTTTAAAGTTAATGGGATCCATTCTAATTGAATTCCAATGGGTAATATCCCGATTTATCTGACCTAACTGTAACTACTCGTGCGCTGGTGGTCCAGTGGTAGACGTTCCCCAAGGGTTCACTCCACAGACGACACACACCTTTACTTTGCTAAGCCGATAGTACGACCGTAGAAAAACCACTATTACGACTCACCGAACTATGTTCCAATTGAACTTAGAGGAATAAAGTAAATAAAATAATAGCAAACAGCAAACGTAATAGGTTATGTTTTGCGGGAAAAAAACTAGAGACATTCAACATTGATCGACTCCGAATATTATCAATTTCAAGATACTTGAAACTATTCACTCACTTATTTTAATTCTAACTGAATGCAAACAAGTAACTGAAGATCAATTCACTTATTTGTGGGAAAGAAAGATCATCAGGATAACTCAACTCTGCCCACGGAGCTGAATCACTTCAAACTACCTTAAATCTAACTAGATCCATAAAAGAGAACTGGTAATGTAGAGAATTGAATTAAAATTATTCACTTCAGGGTGAAAATTTACCACGATCATTCATCATTACTATTATTAACTTGAAAGCGACAAGTCTGTTTCAAAAATCGAATGAAGAATGACGATATGATGAAGAAGATTTGTAGCTCAGCTGGATGGTTTATTTGCGAAGCTTTCATTGCCTATAGTTTTTTGTGATACTTGAAGTGACTCATTGGTTGCTTTGTGTGTTTTCACAACCTCTAGGCTACTTGTATTGCTATTAGTGTTGATTGTTTCCTTGACCTGAAGTTTGACCCTTTGGGTATGACATGGACTTCTTCCGAAACAATGGATATCCATGGAACTTAGTCAAAAGACATCTACCTCCAAGCCAACCTAGTAAATAAAAGGCTTCCAAGAAGGCACAGAAAATCGCCCTAACATACATAAAAGACACCTCGGAAATCACTACAAGAGTCTTCAAACCTTTAGGAATTGATGTCACACACAAACCAACAAAATCACTTCACTCAGTTCCCTCTCTGTCAACCAAAAGGCTCAACAGCGAAAGAAGATAAAATCAACATCATCTACAAAATAAGTTGCAACGAGTGCGAAAAACAATACATAGGCAAAGTGAATACCCATGTCTTCTCGTATCCATGATCATAAACTAACCGTCAAAAGACACGACGTTCACTCCCTCATTTATATCGCTTCACTGCATACAGACAACCACGGACATTAATTCGACTGGGACAACCAGCGTTCAAATATTAGACAGAGGACAAGAATGCTAGAGAATTTTTAGAAGCCTGTTATTCCAGTGAATTGTCAATCAATATAATAACAGAGATGACTTTGGCGTTCAAGGGTGAGATGTATGATACACCACTGTGAGCATCAAATAAAAAGCCTATGGATCAGGTCTAACGAAGACTGCAGACAATAGGGAAAAATGGAGGTGCACTGCTAAAGCACTATATTCCACTCAGAACGCAAAGAAAAAATAACAATAATAATAATATAATATAAACTTACTGGTTCAATGAAAGTGATTTCCAGACCACGATTACGCATTGCTCTAGAAATGCCGGTTGATCCACCTACACCACAACCACCACCACTACCACCGGTTGTACTGAAAATTTCATCAACAGCCAAAATTAAACGAAAATCTGGATGGGCTTTCAAGGTGATCAGTTTACCGTTGGCGTCAAGTCCACGTTCACTAAGTAGTAATTCTCCATTCGGTTCTAAGAGACTATTCAATCGATCAAGTGTCGAAGGACTGGTTGTGCAAAAACAAAATAAGACCATATTATTAAAAATAACTTGTCAAAAGGCCACAGAAATAGTGTACAAAGGAAGAATTTCCCGAAAAAACCGGTTGGGAATTAAACTCAAAATTACATCACCTGACTCAAGTTTTCTCACTTCAAAGGATATGCAATTTATTTGACAGAACTTCAATTCACATCATCACGAACTACTAATATCAGTTAGCGAACAACCCACCCCCATGGGAATCTGGCAAAGAACTGGAAACCCCCCCCCAACTCGTTCCAATTTAGCACTCTGCCTACCACAGTAACTATCCATGGTTCCATACGCCAGAGATCGAATAAACGAGGATCAGTGGAAGCATGCGTTGACTGTCTCCGATATATATTGTAATTTGGTAGAAGTTAGAATATGCATTAGCTGCTGGGTTGCGCATTTCACTGACTGAATAGCCAGAAGACTATATGTAACGCAAACATCTGTTTGAAAAACCACTCCTAAACGACCTAATCACAATATTTATAATTATTATCCCTTTTTCTCCTAGACTGTATATCATTGTAGTCCTGATATTTGCGCATCACATGTTGGCTTCAACCTTATTATATGTCTTCGTCAGTGTTTAATCTCTAATTTTAATACTTCTCTTTGTGGTTGTGTGTACATTGATAATGTGTTGTTTTAACTTAGATTTTATTTGAGTGAATCAGGGTCATTCTGACCTTGGACCGTCTACGAGAAGCGTTGGTGTGTGATTCTCGTGGACAGAAAATATTCTACTTGATTCTTAGGTGCAAAATTACAGTTAACTGACTGTCTGGTTTCAACATAGAACTTTGCACAAATGTACTGCAGTTCGACTCACCACCACACTCCTTCCTTGTACCACGTGAAGCAAGAGAAGAGAGTAAACAGAGATTCAACAAACAGATAACAAAAACACAAGTGGGAGTAAGGGGAAAAGAATATTAGCATGAAAGAGTGAATGCTCCAGCTGCTCCAGCCATTGGGAACGATCACTTTGAGCCAGCCATATCACCAATTGTCACAAGTCTTCACTGTCTCTTACCATCCCGAGGATCCCAACCAGGCAGCAGCCTACACCTCCTTATGTGACTGGCCATCTAAAACTGTCTGTTATTAATTTCATTGACTGATGAAGCCAGTTATGTTTTCGTTTGACCACTACTAGCTCTTTTCCAACCCAGCAAACATTTTCCGTCAAGGAAGGCGATGGCTAGGCATGCGTAACACAGAATGTCTCAACCAGCTCAACTGATGTAGCTCCCCAACTTCATTGATTGAGGTTTTAATGTTGTTGTTGTTGGATAGAACCACACGCAGATTCCAATCAATAACAATCGTCTTTTTACTGCCCTTGGTGCATTATGTGACTATGCATGTCTCAAGAAAGTTTCGAACAGTCATACAGTAGAACGACGACGCAGAGATCGGTTTCTCCGTGTTCAGATTTTTCATCATCAGCTGACATTAGTTAGAGAACCACTGGAAAACCTGGGAGTACTGGACAGCTGTTTCGTCCTAGTTTGGGACTCTTCACAGTGCGCACCCACCGGGATTCGAACCCAGGACCTTCTGGTTACAAGGCGAGCTCGTATACCATTAAGCCACTGGGACCCGTCCAAGGTGTTCAACCACAACAAGTTTGGTTCGATATGCCAAGTAGAGTCATGCATGCATGCTGCACTTTTGAAGTATCCCAACAACTAGAACGAAACAGACGTCCACCTGGTATCACCTGGTATTCAATGATTCTCTAAACTATAGTCCGTTCTTCAACTCATGTTGGTGGTCATCAGCAACCCAAAGAGAGTTTTTACACCCCCATCGCCGTAGCCATCGCCGTCTATAAGACTGAAGTCGATATCAGTCCGTGTTTATGTCAGACCCCCCTTATCGGGTGAATTATTCACCAAACCACGATTGCACAGAAATTTGTCTCTATTTAGTATTGATTGACTAGTGATCATTACACAGCATCAGTCTGGAATCTGTATGTGTCACGCTCACCAATCAGTGACTTGATTCAAGGTATTGACAGTAGTACCGACACATGATTAGAGCAGTGGATAGTAAAGTTAAGAAAACAGCATAGCAGAGGTGGTAGTAATAGTTAGTAGTGAGGCACACTTTATGAGGAACATAGATGTTTCAAGTACAGAATTGTCAATTTGAAAAACTACAAACACTGTTAACGAAAAATACATCATTCCTGCATGAAAACTGCTCACTGAGAACAAACTATCTGTCTTCAGTTTCTTTCTCTAGAATTCACGACTGCGAATTCCTTTATCGCTTTTCTTTTCACCATTCTTGTAGAAAACGTCGCACGCAATATAATACTTACAACTAATTGAGTAGTACACACCTCAAAAAACAACAATAATAAAAAAGATGAGTAAAAATAACACTAACCTGCATAACTGAGCATTTTCTATCAACACCCAACTACCATCGATGATCCCCTTGACAAGTGGACTATCCACCCATTCAAATAGACCACCAGCTTCACGTTGTTCCAATGAGCCGAGTAATTCAATGGTATCTGATGTCGGTGACAGACACATTGTTAGCATTTTCTGACCAAGAAGAATAGATGCCATATGGGCAAGAGTACGTTTGCCTAGGTGTAAAAGAGAGATGAGAATGAAGTCAATAATAATAAACCAGAAACGATGACAACACAGAAGAAAGGGCTATTTATTAGGTTCCAATTCAAAAGGACCTTGTCAAGTAAGATTAAGTTCCAGAGACTAGTCAAAAGTCTATGGAGAACGATTGATTAGGACTCAACGGCTCCTGTGGAGACGGTTATGTTGGACGTACTACGATACAGTTTAGCAAACGTGTGACTGAACATCATCCCCAATCGTGATTTGGTAAAGGACAGACAAAAAACTATCCGAAGCTCCATCTTGTCACAAATCTAGTTGTTAGAATGGTCATTTCAAGGCATTTTATCGCGTAACACCGAATCTCATCATAAAACTTTGTATTCGTCTACTAAACATAAATGAGGCAATTGGCATGATGGTTGGAAGTAATCGGCAGATAGCCTTGGACCTAAGTTTCGTGCCAGTTGGCATTCTTCAGGAACTCATGTCCAATCAAAGTATTCAATACAGTCCTAGAGGAAGTCAATCAGCAACCCGAATAACTCAGTGGTAACGTCTCTGACTGCAGTACTGGGAGACATGGGTTCAAAGGGACATGAATTCCTTCAAGGTTGCAGACACGCCTCGCTGACTGGTGAGTGCCAACTGGCACGAAATCTAGGTCAGGCTATGGCTTCCTGTCGATTGCCTGTAACCAGGTAAGGATTTTCTCAATACGCAGAATGACACAATACTAACATAAATCAATCCCTGTGTTACGAATGAAACGTAGGCCCACTTGAATGTCCATCATCACTTACAACCGGCTTCGCAACTAATTTCGCCAGCTTTTCCATATATGATTTATGCGAGTCAATCTGAACAAAGGTGTGCGTCGGTGGCATAGCGGTTAGGACGCTCGCCGACCATGCGCATGGTCCGGGGTTCGGTCCTCGGCCGACACACTCCTTTACCTCGCAAAGCCAGAAGTAATGTTGGTAAAGAGGAAAGGTTGGGCATGAGGCTAGCAACCTTATCCTGTAAAAATTAAACACTGCTACAGAAACTTCAAGCCACTAGCTCGAGACCCTATGTTCCACTGGAGAACGTGAAGGAAAAAAAATCTGAACAAAGAATATCCTTTTCAATACATCCTTCTCTTCTTCAGGTTCTTACAATTATAAGATATAATATTTGTTGTCGTTACAATAGTAATGGCCAGTTATGTGGTGGATACATTTTTAAGTAGAATAACAGATTAATTATGGGGTGACAAAATAAATTGTCGTATTTGTAATCCACTAGAGGATAAACCCAAATCCACACTACACGTTAAATCCCATCTAACTTATTTCATTTTGTACATTTAAGTACTTTCACAAGTTAACATACACACAAAATATGATTTGAAACGTGCATAAGACATGTAATGTACTGTATATCCCAAAACCTGATGGCATTCTCATACAACTGGCAGTCAATCATACTTATCAGCTGAGAGCTAATCATAAAAATCTGACTTTTCAAACCTCAGAAGGTAGGACAGAGTTCGAACAACATGACCCAGGAGTTAGAAGTCGATGTATGAAAAAGTATTTCAAACAGACCTAAAATATACAAGAACACTTACCACAGCCTGGCGGTCCAATCAACATCACCATCCAACCCATTTCAATAACTTTTAAAAAGCTTTCCAGTATACCACGTTGACGATCCAACAATAATAAATGATCACGGGATTCATCATCTACACTCTCTTCATACTCTTCAGTAGATGGACGCAGAAAATGCGCTAAACCACAGTGAATTGATTCGTTGAGAAGGAGAATATTTCCACGTGGTTCATAATAATAGTACACTCCAGTCTGCATGCCTAACGTCTTGCAGACATCAATCCATAATGTGACAATCTACACGAGTTGAATGGAGTTACACGGAAAGGATAGAAAACCAATCAGCAATAAAGTTACAAAATAAATGGCATGAATATTTTACAAGACGTTTATTCCACGGTCTGAGCAATGATGGCTCAATATAGTAAGCCACACCAATACACTTATATTTTTACAGGTTAATAAATTCCAAATCAGGAGTTGAATGAACAAGCGGTTTACTCAGTAACCTCAGATGACCATACACGTTCAACCCATTGGTAGAGTCATGTGCGTACAGCAATGGTGCCAGTATGGACACTTTCACAATAATGTCTCAAGAATAACATGATGTTTCAGTGAGAACACTACCATTCACTGGAGGTTGCAGGTAGACATCCAGATGATGAGTCCCAAAGAGGACGAAATAGGCATTAATGGATTCCATTGATAGCCAACATTCACGAAATCATCAATATTCTGTTCACTAGACATCTTTATTTTTCAATCGTAACAGTGATAAGTAGGTTCATCTACTAAGACTTCAGATTACAATGAATGCTGATCGATCACACACACACATATGGTCCGGTCGGTTCGAATCCCAACCGACACACTCTTAAACCTTACCTGGGTTATCAATCGAGTGTAAGCTTGTAAAAGAAGAAGGTTTGGCCGTCATGAGGCTAGCAATCCTACCATGTAGAATATAAACAACAAAACCGCTGCTGAAACTTTAAACTTGGAAACCTTATGCTCCATTCGGAACTCGGTGGAATGATTCAAGATGAAGTAAAAACCTGCGCCACAGCCGGATTACTGGTCCAAAGATACACACAGCAGTTGGACTAGTAATCCGCAGGCTACTATTATTATTATTATTCCCTTCAGCTCCGAATGGAACATAGGGCTTCAACAACACATCTCCACTTCTTCCTATTCTCTGGGGTCCTCTTCAACTGTCCCGACGATTGCCCGTAGTCTCTCATCTCCTCCTCACACAATCTCCTCCATGTCACCCTCGTGTGGCCCTTTCGTCCCTTCTCATTCACGTTTCACTCGAGAGATGACTGGCGCACGATTTCATTCGACGGTCTCTTCAGTGTGAATGACCCATATAAATTTTCTTCTATATATTTGTTGAGCAATAGGTTTTTGGAAGGCTCATTGACCAGCGAAGTTAGTTACTGCCAATTCTTTCTGGCCGGCCATCTGGTCTTCAGTATGGAACCAGAGAAGGCAGCTGTTGATAAAAGTCTGTAACCTGTTGGAAATATTGCCCGTTACTGCTTGCAATTGTCGATAGAAATCTTCCTTCTTCACTTGTTCTGAATTGTTTGTAGGCGCGTAGCATTACATAACTGTAACCTACCTTTCTTCTTTTTGAGTTGTTATAAACCTGGATGACATTGCTTCCCGGTGCACAGACCATCATGATAGCTACTCTCGCAGTGTGCTCCTGGTTGTCGTCTGCGTGAACGGTGTAGATTACTGACTCCCCTTCAGTTCAGCATTTCGACAGTCCACATTCACTCCACCTGCCTTCACAGATTCCAAGCACTTCGATGTCGTATTTTCTCCTTTCTTTGGCTACTTGAGCAACCTTACCAGCTTCGTACATCGAACGAACACTCCACGTCCCTGTCCGTATTACTGCTTCCATCGAAAGAAGACAAATCGGTTGACTAGCTTCCCGAAGACTTTCTCTAGCCCACAACGTCATTTTATATCTACGATTCCAGCGAAGAATAAGTTTGTTTTTTAATATTTTTTTATTTTTAATATTTTTATTGTGCGTTTAAGTTTCCGTAGCAGTGCGATTGATTTTCCAGCCCCACGCACAACCACCCCTCATTCCCCGGGGCTTGGAACCGGCTAGAAAACTACCGAGCTAGTAAGGTAGGCGAATCCGCAGCTTACCAAATTCGAATCATCTCGCAACCTAGAGAGGCAAATACCAAAGAGAATGAGGTACTCAACATACTTTCATCTATTTATCCAACCTTGAAGATAAAAAACAATAACTGTGACTCCTCCCAATATCGAAACAAACTATACTACTGAAATATAAAAAAGTGGAATAATACCTTTTGTTTATCCTGTAGTGTACGCATACGATCAGTGTACAATAGATGAACATAAAGCCCGGGGTTAATACCTTCGAATTCCTACGTTGAGAAGAAAGAAAAAACATTGGTGAAATATAAAAGAATGTGTGAACACTCGGCAGATGGATAACTGTTACGTTGAGACATTGGTCAATCCTAGATATCGCGACGACCTAATGAGCTACACCGTCTGGAACTTATGTTCCCGCAGATTCTTACATGCCTTACAGGTTGTTTAGGTAGTGGTTAGATTAAAAAGCAGTTACCATCGTAGCGTAAGTTGTTTTCACCATGTGGAGAGGTCTGTGAGGGAATTCAAACTGCAGGCGAATTGGAATGCGACAGCGGTATCGTGTTTCATTCAGATAACCTGCAAGCTAGCTATGCTGTACCAATCCGCTCTTCCAACAGGTCGTGTATGACCAGTCTCAAGCAGTTGTCATCCCCTGAGCTCATCAGTCAGGTAACACTAATATACTACTGTTTTAAGTATTCTAAGGAGAAATCAACCTCCATGATATTGGCGGACAGGAAGTAACAATCACACACACACACACGCTTTCATGATCATTATCCCCAGTCACTGACTGACTGACTGAGATTAAACAAAGAACTTTGCACAGGAATGCAGCTCTTCAAGTTGCTAGGCATCCCGGGAGCTGGGATGGGTTCAAACCGACCAGTGTTAATGCCACTTCTTGATTTGACCCTCCTCCCATAACTCTCTTCCAACCTAATCCCATGTAAGCTAACAGTGTTCAACGAGGAGGGTGGTAATAAGGCTGGCATGTGTAATACGACATATCCTAGTAATCTTAGGTCAGTGAAGCTATCCAACGGTGTCCATTGACTTCCCCCTACTTACCTAACACCATACGATTAAACACATTATTACTCATCATATTATTGCACCTAACACGGGTGATATAACGCGAACGATTACGGTCGAGAAAACACAACCAGTCTCTTAAAATCTTCTACTTTCGAAGAGTTGGTTTGTACGAATTTGATGTGTTTCCAGTTTGACCACGGATTGATATCAGTTAGATGATTGTTGAAAACCTAGTTGAGAGTACTGAACAGCTGTTCTGTCCCAATTCGGAACTCATCAACAGTACACATCCACTAGGTTTCGAACTCAAGTCCAACCAGTCGAGAGTGAGGGCAAATACTCGCCACGGATGACATTGGCTGGTGACAGTAGTGCTACGGTTAGCTTGACTTGTAACTGGAAGGTCCTGGATTCAAACCAGGACGAAACAGCTGTCCAGTACTCTGTGGTGGTTTTCAATGGTTCGTCTACATAAGATGACCATATGTCTCACAACACATACAGTATTGCGAAATGAGGTCAAACCATCTGGTTGCTTGAACATTAATAACTTGAGCAAAGTTAATCCAATAGGATATTAAAAGTTAGTAGTAAGTATACATGTCACCAGAAATAATAAAAAATAAGAAGAATGATAACACTGACCTTCCCTTTCACCAACAAATCACACCATCGAGTTAGATCGCGTAAATTAAACTCCCATGGTCCACCTTGACTACCGAATTCATGTTCAACATTAATACGTTTATTCACCTTGAAAAGATATAAAGAACATAAATTTAAAGGTTTATCTAACGAAATATGCAAAACATATTGGCTAAAATCAAGTTTACAACGCCGACAACACAACGAAGAAGTCACTGATTTCACATGAAAAACCGATCCACGCGTCTGTGAGTTATGCCAGGTGACTAACAGACTGACTGGTTTCAACGTAGAACTTTGCACATACGTACAGCGGTTCGAGCTATCACACTCTCTCCTTGTACCACACGAAGTAAGAGAAGGAAATAAAGACAGATACAAAAGAGAGAGAGAGAGATAATAAACAGAAGTGGGAGTAAAAGAAATGGAATAGTAATATGGAAAAACAATATAATTCTATTGAGGGGATATGATAAATCACAAAGAGTGAATCCATCTGTGTCAGCAGTTGGGAACGATGATTTTGAGCCATATCATCGATTGTCTCCAGCCTTCACTAGTTCTTACCATCCCGATGACAAAAACCAGTCAGGAAGTCTACACCTCTCTATGTGACTGACTGACTGAAACCAACTATTGTGGATTTCATTGACTAATGTAGCCATGTTTTGGTTTAACCACCATGTGCTAACTCTTTTTCAACATGATCCATCCTTTTTCAGCTAACATTGTTTTTCAAGGAAGGCGATAGTTAGGCATACATAACACATGCCTTAGCCATCTCAATCGTAATACCTTTACAACCTAACCGATTGATTCACCCCCCTTACCTAGCACTCGAACGATACCTAACCTCGATATTACTCACCCTGTTATACCGACATCTAACATGGGAGATAGAACGCAGACACCTATGATCAAAGACAGCTAGCCAGCGTTTTCATATCTTCCACTTTCAATGTCCATGTCTCACAGTCAGCGATAAAAAAGAACGTAGTGAACTGCTGCTGTGCAGGACACACGCCTTTTTGTAGATAGTCGGTTGCGTCCTATTCACTAGCTTCACATAGCAGCGGATGTTCCTTCCCCCCTCCCTCATCTGACGCTTATAACCAGACTAGTGGATATGCTTGTTTACCAAGAGGAGATAGAAAATCCTGATTACAAACCGGTGGTGCAGGTGATCTGAAGAATCAGAACGGATAGAATGACCTGTATGAATCTATTTTTGTCACCGTCATCTATAGGAATGAAGCTTCTGATGCTGCTCCGCTACCGTGAGGAATAAACTTCATGTCAAAAGCTCGCGGGGAATGATAGGTGTGGCTCATAAGGATAACCACCTGCTTCAGTCTAGACACCCGGGCAGTATTCCAGACCTCAAACAAACTATGAGACAATTTTGTATGGCTTATCTCCTAGTGAACATAAAGCACTATGTACGTGTTTTAATAATAATAATAATAATAACGATACCGACAGTGGTGATCTGTTATTAATATCCTTGGGATATGTTTCATGCTGAAGGTGAGATGTAATGAAGTAACCAGAATATAATGGAGATTGACTCCTAAACTTTATATTCTACCTTTGTCATTCATTTGACATTTTATTTTTCCCTTGTGTTACAGTAAGAAGAATATAGGGCTTCATCAGCACATCACCACTTCATCCTGTTCCTTGCAGTCTTTACCCTAGCTGACACCACGAACACCACCTTTCATTCCCTCCCCCAGGTCACACGATCTCCTCCATGTATCACCTTCGTATACTCGTTGTCCCCCAATTAGTTTCAAATTAAAGACCTAATGCATAAGATATCACTCCATGGTCTCTTCAACGAATGTCCAATCCATCTCCGTTTCCTTCTGTAAATATATTGGGCGATAACTTCTTGGTTGGTTGGTCATTTTACTTTCAGTATCCAGAAGGGAGGCATCTGTTGATGGAAGTCTGGTAAGTCTTCGTCCTGATTGCTTGTTCTTGTGTATTTTCTCACCCTCTAATCCACTTTTGGTGACATAAAGATGAGAGAACGGAAGTGATTTTGTTAGTTTGTGAGCAATATCAATTCGAAGAGGTTTGAATAGTCTTACAGTGACTGCAGAGATATTCTTTATACATGGTAGTACAATATTCTTTGTGCTTTCTCATTAGGGGACATTTAATTCGGTTGCTTGGTTTAAGGGTAGATAGCTTTTGACAAAGTTTCGTGTATATCCACTTTTTTAGAAGACGTCCATAAGACATTTTTCTTCAATTTTCTTCAAAGTTAAACTTCAGGTCAAAGAAGTAATCAATAGCAATGCAATTGGACTAGAAGGTGAGAAAACACACAAAAGCAACCAATCACTTTCAAGGTCACCCACCAGGAGAGATCAGGAGAATTAAAAAGCTCACTTCAACAAATTGAAGTATGCCCTGAAGATGTTGTTTAGTAAGGCAATGAAAGCTTTGCAACTAAACCATCCAACGCAGAGAAGGCAACTACACCGAGATCATCCAGCTGTGCTGGAAATATTTCTCCATTTTATCTTCATGAAAGAGTTAGGTCTGAGGAGGATATAACTAAAAAGGAAACATAGTACACTCCTCACCGATATATCGTCTTGCTATACACACACACACACAGACATGACACTGAACACTTACCTCATCGTTAAAAGCAACCATTAAGTGAATACACTCTGTCGATATATCAGGATATAATTGACTGAGGATAAATTCTTGATCTGATATTGTCAATGACCTCATATACACCTTGAAAAGGCAAAAAAGCAACAACAAAACACAGAAATGAACACCTTAATCAGAAAAAAAAACAATTCTAAACCATCAGTTAACATTCTGGATCAATAAGCAGAGTTCAGTAGTCAAGCAATCCGGTGAATCAGTGACACCCACCCACTTACTGGAAGTATTCAGACTATCGTTGATAAGTTCAGTCTAGAGACCATCCAACAACCATGAGTTGAAGTTTAAACTATCCTCTTAGGGTGAGGCTAACAACTCCGCCCAAATAAAAAAAGTCGCCTAGAAATCCTCCCCACTCACAATCTCTTAACAATGTTGATACTTATTTGAGTATCTTAACTAATTTTACAATTATTACCGTTTGCACTTGGTCTGTTTAAAGATTAAAAGTGGACAAAGACAAATAATAAGGACCTTCATTATGAAGTGACATCGGTTAGAGAACCACTAAAAAACCAATTATAGACTGCTGGACAGCTGTTCCGTCAGACTAGTATGGGGACTCATCAAAATACACACCCACCAAAGGGGTTCAAACTCAGGACCTTCTGGTTACAAGTCCAGGTAGTAGATGATTCACAGCCACTGGAACTCAATCCAATGACCAGTCCATGAATTCCAACTTCTGCAAATTCACGATATGGTGCGACCACTCGCAAATGTCATCCATGGCGAGTATTTGTCTTCACAAACGACCAGCTGCACCCTACTTGTCACATAGGAATTCCCACTAGAACCCAAGTAACTGCTCACCTGAATAGCATCAGTCAGTAACTAGTGAGTGCGTACCGATGAAGAGTTCCAAACTAGGGCAAAACAGCTGTTCAGATTCTGTGCTACTCGTGAAATTTCAGCAGGCTACTTACTGGAACACACTGATTGGTTTCCTGAGTTCACATAGCTATTCCTGAGTCTTGGTCATTGTATCATCAACTCTTTGGAATAAGAATGTGCATCATAACTAGAATGTGAAGAAAGACGTTAACCAGACAGTCTACACTCCTCAACGTGGCTGGCTCAAACCAACTGTCAAATACTTCTTGAATTGAGTGTAGGTCTTGATTTGATCACCTCTAATACCTTCCTAACCTAATCCAATGTCAGATAACACTGCTCGTCGAGAAAGGCAATGGCCTCGGTAAGTGCCACCTATATCATGACCAGCTCAATCAATGTAACTTCACAATCTCATCTGTAAAATTTCACTCCTTACCTAACACTCGACATCTAACCTCAATATTACTCACCACATTTTACCAATTAACACAGAAGACAGAACGCAAATATCTGTGAGCAAAGATAGCTGGCCTTTGCATATCTTACACTTTTAATGACAATGTTTCACAGCCGAAAATGAGGACACATTGAGCTTCTGCGGAGTATACACTTCCTTTCGTCGACAGTCAGACATCACATCTACGCCGGAGATGATGTGAGCCGGCGAATGCCACAGCAGCCTTTTGTACCCCGCCTGCTAGGATGTCGTCAAAAATCAATCAGTCCATTTAGGCTGATGCAACACACGCTTTACCACTTCACTCCCCATTTTTCTTTAAGCTAAGAGTTGGTGCACTGCGCAGTCATGAAGCATACTTTCATATTTTTGTGACAGGAGTGAATCACATACCAAACAAGACAAATTACCAGCGCATTAGTTAGATTCGCTCGTAGTCTACAAGTCTCAATTTGAAGACTTCTGCACAAATTGTGTTTCAGAAGGTACTCTAAACCGACAAGACTGTACACGTTGATAACAAGTCAGTCCTTACCTATGTCACTAAAATCAGTCAGGACTAATGCCATTAATATATATATATATATATATATATATATATGATGAAATTAACCTGAATTAGGTGACTCACTGAAGAAACCTTACAAAAATCCTCATGTGAATACGCTTCAAACAAAGTTGGCTATGTGTATGCATACAGAATCATTAGAAATTTAAAAGCGGTGCTCCGGTTAGAGAAAAAAACCCTCCACACTCACCTGAGTAAAACGATTCAAAAATGAACGTGGCAGACCTTTACGTCCACCGCCTTCACGTAAAGGATTTTGACAGGCGAATAAACGAGTAGTCTTTGAATTAATCTTAAAGGTGGTATTCAATTCAGGTATGAATACTTCACCACGATGATCCAGGCAAGCGTTTAAACACTCAAGGACTGATTGAGAGGCTAAATTCATCTATTCCACGAAAGAAAAACCAAAAAAAAAAAAAACAAGAGGATACGATTTAAAATTGGAAGATAACTTAAAGGAACACTCGCTAAAAAAAAATCAATAAAAAGGAAGAAAATCAAAGGGCTCATCAGAAAATGGTATTATTCACTGTATAGAATGGTTGTTTATGTAATCAAATCAAGAAAGAATATTAACCGCTACTGAAGAGATCAGAGCGATATATATGCAGTAAATACTATTGGTAAATATCTGAAGGAAGCTTAGGGAAAACAACTGTATTAGAATTTCAAGTTTCACCACAACTGGATATCAGTTGGAGAAACATTGAAAACTGCCAGATGGGTGTACTGCCAGACAGCCATTTTGTCAGCGTAGTTTCGGACTCATCGGAAGTACGCACACAGAACAGGGGGTTAGCACTCAGGAACTTCCGGTTACAAGTCCAGGTAGTGCACCATTCATCCATCGGGACTCGACGCAATCGCCCATCATTTCTACCTTCTACCAATTCGTCGTTTAGTGCGACTGTCACTAACCAATGTCATCCATTGCGAGTATTTGTCTTCACTCCCATCCGACAGGAAGGACCTCATCGGTCACAGCTTCTCAAAAGAACTCACACTTATCAATAGGGAGTATGAGTTTTATTTTCAGGGGTTATTTTGTAGGGATTTAATTTGTTTTTTTCAGGCTTGACCAGAGATTGATATCAGTTAGGGAACCATTGAAAACCAGCTGATGGGAATACTAGACTGGGCAGAATTGAAATTTATTGGAAATTTTTCCGGTGGTTGTCATGGTGCAGTAGTTTAACGTGTGATGTGTGAACTAGATTCCGCTGCTAATCACAACCAACCAAATGATTTTCAATCTCTAAAATAGCAGTTAATAACTTCTAGCCAGATAATGCTGTCAGTGGAATACGTTTGCTATTCAGAAATGATTGAGTGTCTGGATTTTTACTAAACAAAACAAGGGACATGCTTATGACTAATCTCCAGAAATAACTAACAAGATACCTATAAACGAATTGCTTAGTTGTTGCATTGTGGTTACAATCTGACAGACTCAATCGTGTTGTTCTGAAAACATTTTCCTTTATCATAAAATAATAGGTGTTCAGCAAAGAGTTATTTTTTCCCAGCCTTATCATTCTCAAGCCGAACAATCGTATATATATCTTATTAAAAAAGGAGTATTTCCAGAGATATGTTATTAGAACTCCAGATTTCAGATGAAAAGTTACGTAATATAAAAGGTATTAATCGAGTAGAAACTGAAATGTAGAAAAACTGATTGACGCAGTATAATTGACAGGATCGAGTGGAATTCACCTAAAATTCAACCGGAGTCAAGTTGACAATAGTGGTAGTAAGCGGTAGATATTTAATAAAGGGGTGTGCGAAGAATAACACAATTAAGAAACTAAAAACAGAAATAAGTATCAGATCCATTGTAGATTTAATGACTCCAAAAACCTCTTGTGTATACGCAGTTCAGGATTTAACATGTGTATCACCATTGCTTCTGCAGCTTGAAGAAGTTTGATTCATACTCCTCTTTTAGTGAGATTCCCACTTATTCTATAGATAACTTTGAAGTTTCTTTGTAGGTTTACTTGGTGTCCTGATTTAATCAGAGGTTCCAGGATAGAGCTGTGGCGCGGGTACCTTTATTCTCCTTTATAAAGCCATGACTGTGGGTAGGTGTTGGATGACAGCTTTGGAAAGCAAACGCTTTGTACGGCCGGCATACCTAGCTCCACATGAGCAGATGAATTGGCAGACACACATTGGTTAGGCTAACAGTGGTAGCTTATCCTTCACTTTCATGCATATCATTGATTTCGTAGAGGAAGTTAGGCAAAGTTCAGCCGCGAAGCATATTTTCTTGAATAAGTGGGGTAGGCTGATATGAATCTTCATTGAACTGTAGATTCAAATAGGGATGCTTTCTGGGAGCGGAAAGTGTCGGCGGTTTAAGTTTTGTATGGATTTCGTGATTGAACATTCTGGGTAGGCAGTTTCGAGGGGATTCTTTTCAGAGTGTTCAGTTCCTCTTCCAAAGTGTGAGGACTGCTAAATACTGAGGCTTCTAAGGCTTAGTGAACGGATCAGTTGCCGTTTAGTATTTTTTTATTTTGTTTGTCCCTTCAGCATTCAGAAAAGATAGGGCATCAAACTTGAGCTCTACAGTTTCGGTTGCCAGTTCTACCCTCAACCTTTCCTCTGTCACCGGGCTAACTACTGGCTAAGCAAGATTTAAGAGTGCACTGGAGTGGAGTTGATCCCAGAAAAATTGCAGCATAGTTGGTCAGAGTTCTTCTGTTGTACCATCAACGGATATATCATAAAATGCACAAGTAAAAGAACTAACGAAATAGTTTAGTAAAACGACAACAGAAAGGAATAAATAGTTCGCCTACAGTCTTTTGAAATCATTCACCAGATCCCATCAAACTACCAGATCAAGGACATTTCAGCGAAGTATTTTTGGAGCACATTGACTCTTCAGGATAAATTCTTTGATATTTGCCGAAGTTAATCGATTATAATGTACAGAAATGGTCGTTTCCTGATAACATGTAAGCCCCGTAGTAAGAACACTTCGACAAAACATTGACATGAATACGATTTCACTTAGTTGATAGTGGCAGAATCAGAAGCAGGAATCAGGATGCGCACTTTATCCTATCTGGAACTTGTCACCTGAACGTAGCTCCATCTCCAATTTCTTTATCTCTTTTTCCTTTTTGAATAAAACAAGGATTTCAGGCTCAAGCTTAGAAGTTTCAATGGCGAGGTTTTTTTAATAGGATAGGGTTGATAGCTTCACGCCTAACAGAGCAGATTTAGGAGTGTGTCGGTCGAGAATCGAATCCAGACCATAGTGTGGTGGTTGGTTGGCATACCACTACCGAACAACAACAACAACAACAACCAACTCACACATCTCCAACAGTGTGGCAGTATTCTCGAGTTTTTCATGCGAAAACACTATCACATCCTGGAGTGTATGCTGCCAGGTTGATGTTATTCACCCAAAAGACAAACAACTTTAAATTAGAAACTCGAATCATTAAGCATTCACTTTATTTTAGTAACAATACTGTGTGTCTATACACTCACCTCATCTAGTACAATCCAATGGCCATCACAAAGACCTTGTAAAAATGGACCAGATTTCCAAGCGAAAACACCCGCTTCAGCACCCTCCACTGGAAGATCACATCCAAATAAGTCACTAGCCTCCTGGATGAGGAAGAAAAAAGTAAGTAGGACAATGAATAAAGTGAGAAACAATCAATCGGGAGAGAAAAACAAATAATCACGTAGGCTGAATCAACTGTAAATCGCTTCTTCAAAGATTTAGGTATACATACATAAATAAACCAAATAATTTATTATACTACATAAGATCGATACATCGCAGGCACCAAGAAATGCGTCACACAAAGTGTTGTTTCACAGTTTATACGACAGCTGGGATACTGTTCGAAAGCACAAAGTGTTCACAAGACAGTGGACCAGCATCAAGAGTTACATTCTCACAGATGATAGTGACAAGAACAGGTTCATCTACACCATTCGATACGTTCAGATTCTAGAGCTCATATAAACACCATAGCTTTGTTTGCAGTTGAGGTTTAGACCCGCATATCCACCGATGCGGTTGTAAGCACCGGACGTTAGCATTCGTCCTTTCTAGTTTGTAAAGAACAATCCTGCCGTCATGTGAAGGCAATAAACAGGACTTACCTGAACAGAGGCTATGGGAGAGACAGAGAGACCATTACAGCCGTGACCAGGGTGTTTATTGGGATGGTATATATACCATACAAGATATTAACGACATTCCTGATGCTGTGTACAAGCATGATATATACACACAACTTTCTGTCATGCATTTTAAGCGTTATCTAAGCGAACATGTATGCGAAAATTAAGGCACAAGGAGAGAATCCTATCGGAATTAAACACTACGCTAGTTAGATAGGAATTATCTATAAAGCAAATCGACAGTCTCCTAAGGAAGCGTCATTTAAATAAGACCACTGTTGATTTCCTATACGACACAGATTGACAGTACTAGTGTGACTGTGAAATCAAATTCTTTCATGTAGAAAATAACATGTGATCAATTAGCTAAGCGTTTATCCACGTTACCAATGTTGAAATCCACAAATTCTGTTAATAGTTTCGACTACGGCTATAAGCTTAAAATGAAATTTGAGGAAATAATACAGAATGTTTGACTATGACACATAACATTCGTGGAACCTTTTAAACTATACGCCTACTTACTTCGAGGTATACTTCAGCACATCTTACCTACCACCACTCTATCATGATTCCTCTCACCAGACCTAACAGAAACATCAGGTATTCGTACAGCTATGTTGGTGTTTGTACCAAGACTCTAAAATTCTGTCTGCAATGGAGGTTCATGTATCATATCTATAATCAAGACTTTTTACCTGTCAAATTATTATTATTATTGTTCCCTTGAGTTCCGAGTAGGACATAGGGCTACAACAGCACGTCTCCACTTTGTTCTATTTTCTGCAGTCCTCTTTACCTGGCACCACGATTGCCTATAGTCTCTGATCTCCTCCATGTCATCCTCGGAAACCCACTCCCAACTTGTCATCTCCCATTCGGGTTCAACTCGAGGCTGCACCTGGCACGCGATGTCACCCAACATTATCCCCAGCGTGTGTCCGACCCATCTCCATTTCCTTCGGAATATTTGTTGAACAATAGGTTCTCGCCTGTTAGTTCGTTCCCAGAGTTTCTTGTTGCTAATTCTTTCTGGCCTTCCATGTGATCTTCAACATGGAAACAGTGAAATGGACAGCTGTCTATAAACGTCTGCAGCAATCTGTTCGAAATGCTCTTCATGACGCTCTCTATAAGCTCCTAACCGATACAGAAGAGTTGATTGACATAATGTGGTGTTTAAAATCCGAATCTTGTTTTTTAATGTTGCGGAATGCAGAAGATTTCCAATTCTGAAGGGTTTTAACATCCTCACCCCTTCCATCTGATTGTGTTTGAAACTATGTTGCCTGGCCAGATAAGAGAAGGAAGCGACCTATTTCAAATTGATTCCGATGATAGTGATTAGTGTTGGTTGTTGTTGTTGTTGGTTAGTTATCTTCTTCACCTCTGACTTCTCTACGTTCACCTGAAGTCCTCCTTCTTCTGTCACTTTGTTGGTTTTCGCCTGTAGGTTTGAGTCTATACGACATTAAACGACATAAATCATCCACACGTGAAATCCAGACCTTCTAGAGTCTTCTTAACGGTCCAAAGTATTCCTGATTTCTCGCTCCCCACATACGGTGTTTACATAACCCAGAACACCACAATCAGGAATACCATCGGTGATAATACGCAGTCTTGTCTTATACCAGGCAACGCAAAAATGAAAACAATTACAGTGAGAAATACCAAATTATAACAAACTCTGTAGAATCAATAGACTCTAATGAACTTACTGTTGCCTCGGATAAATTTATACGTATCACTTTATGTCCAGAAGCTTTAGCCAAAGCCATTACAAGCGTAGTCTTCCCAACACCTGGACTACCTTCAAGAAGTAATGCTCTACCGGGTAGCTGCATAGCTCGTAGTAAACGCTTTAAATTTGAAGCAGGCGTTGGTGCATCGAAAATAAATGAAGTGTGCGTTGTGACGTCATCATCAGGAGGTAGATAAGGACCTAGTAAAAGTCGAAATAAAGACGACAATTGAAGCTTTTAGTACGTGTTACCGGTACATAGATGTTATCAGCATTATCATTACTGTTAGTAGTAGTATTGTGAGTTCCAAGATTGCAGATTTAACCACGAGTTGACACCATTTGTAGAACTACAGGAAAATCTGACACATCCATGACCCCAACCGCTAAGGATGTAGCCCAGTGGGTGCGTACTACTGAAAAGTCCCAAACTAGGCTGACGAAACAGCTAGCTGTTCAGTACACCCAGCTAGTTTTCCAATGATTCTCTAACTGAGGTGATCAGACGGGTAACCAATTAAATGAATCCCTGCAAAACAAACCTTGATAGTTTATAAGATTACTGGGAAATCAGAAAGCATTCTTAAAATATAGTTGTGCTGCTTAGCAGGTAACCATCTGTGTATTTTACACAATGTAGCTTACGTAATTCAACGTAAGCAAGAGAATGTATCTGCGATCCCAAAATGACTCCGATCAACCAACAGTATTTGCTAGACAGATGATCGAAGTGATGTGTATACCGGATGGCCATTTTACTCATTCATACATAGCTCAGAGTTTATCCCCGACGGTGTACCAAACTCGATTCAGTTCAGACTAATCAAGTGCTCTCTCTGCTGATTGCATAATCACTGACTGATTTCGAAGAATTCAATACAACATAGCAAATAAATTGACTAGAATTCCCTCCTAAAGTATCACATCTTTTCGTATTGATAAAGAACAGACACCAGTCAAGGAACCATTGAAAATCGAGGAGTGCTGAACAGATTTATCCTCTTAGTTGACAACTTTTCAAAAGTACGCAAGTATCATCCCCCCCCCAGCCCGTTACCTATCTCTAGCCAATGGGACGCAATCTAACCACCGATGAATTCGAACTCTCGACAATTAGCGATACATACAGCACGTCACCCACCAGTCAGCCAATGTTGTAAGCGAATATTTGTCATCTCACATCCAACTTACAGGATCACAGTGGTGGTCACGATATCTCACCAGAATTATTGTGGATTGCTTGGATGCAATTGATTTTAAGTTAGAGAAGTACTGGAAACTAGGTGTTTCTCCCTTTTTTGTGAATTTTCGACAGGTCCCAAGACCTATGAACTAACCCCCACCGGGATCGAACCCAAGAGGTCAGCACGTTTTCCAACTAAAGCATAGTGAGTTGGAATCTTATGACGCATAATCTCAGTCCGTGACCTCACTCGAAATCAATTACTGCTAAACCAACATTTGAAAACATTATTTCTACCAGCACTAGTGAACAATGACTGACTGACTGACAGAGTGAGTGATAATACACAACCTGGCACAGAATTGCACCAGTTCAAGTTGGCAGAAAATAGAAAGTAAGAAGGGATACAAAAGAACTGTCGGAAACAGTTTAGTGGATAAGGACGATCACAAAGGGTGGTGAATGCATCTGCGTCACCGAGGACGACATTGAGCTACAGCACCACAAATAGTCTTCAGCTATTAATAGCATTAACATTCCGAGGACGCCAACCTGGTTAGATCACACCAACTGTCAAAGACTTCACATCGACCGGTGCCGGGTTTTGGTGTAACCATCACACCACTTGACACAGAAAGGATGGATCGAAATGCGCACACACACACACAAGCACAGATATTAATAATAATACCAACAATCAATAAATCAATACATAAACAAACCTGTAGGTATGAAGAATGGATCACAACCGAAGCATTCAGTGCTTTTCTTCAACACAAATTTTTCATTCATTGGAGTACAAAAATTAGCATAAATAGTTTCAAAGTCAGGAATTGGTTGTTGAATAGTTTCAATTAAATTTTTATCAATTGAGGACATTTGATCAATGAGATAACGAATTGTAGTGCAAAAGAAGCCTGTGGGATTGTTATTAACATTATTGCAGTTCCCTTGATCTGACAAAAGAAATACAATCAATCAATAAATAAATAATACAACACATATATGGAACTTTTCATTAATCTCTTCACAAAAAGAAACACTAAATTATATAAACAATTACATTCACTCGATGCAACAATGCGTCATACTGAATAAGTTGACTAGGTTGATAGCGTAACGAGCTAGATTCGAACACATATATGTATACGTTCTTCTGGATCATTGAGAGAGAGAGAGAGAGACAGTACAGTTAGTCAACGGTCAAATCCTTACAATTCTCAAGAATTGATTTGTACGGATTTGATTTATTTTTCAAATTAGACCACAGAATGATATAAGTTAGAGAACCATTGGTAAAGCAATAAGTAGTACTGTATGGCTGTTTCGTCCCACTTTGAGATTCTTCGCCAGCACGCACTCACTGGAGTTCGAACCCAGGACCTTCCGGTTACAAAGTGAGCTCATAAACCATTAGGCCATTGGGACCCGATCCAATGACTAGCTCATGAATTCCAACTTCTGCCAATTTTTACCATATAGCGCAACCACTAACCAACATCACCTGCGAGTATTTGTCCTCACTCCCGAAATGCCGTACCCCGCTGGTCACAACAATCTGATTTTTCCAGAATACACTCGTCTTCAGATATGATGGAGAAGATTTGTGGTTCAGCTGGGTGATTTTGATGTAGTTGTGTTCTCTAAGCTAGCTGTATGGTTTATTTGTGAATCTTTCATTGCCCTGCTAGGCGACATCTTCAGTGCATACTTCAATTTGTTGAAGTGAGCTTTTAGATTCCTCTACGAGTTTATTAGTCATCTTTCCTGGTGGGTATCCTTGAACGTGATTGGTTGTTCTTATGCGTTTTCACACCCACTAGGCTACTTGTATTGGTACTGATTTCTTCCTTGACCTGCGCAACTAGCACCAGCCAACGTCATCCGTGGCGAATATTTGTCCTCACGGCCGACCAGATTCACCATACTGGTCACAACTTCTCACTAGAACTCCGGACGATTTCGTCCTGTAGCCAGTCATCACTAGCGAGCATCAGATTAAGTTGCAAGGGTTACTTCTCAAGGATTTGATTTGTACTCAGGTTTGACCACAGATTGATATCAGCTAGAGAACCATTGGAGTGAGGAGAGGAGTGCGAACAGATACTCGCCACGGATGACATTGGCTAGTGACAGTCGCGCTAAAATCACGAATAGATAGAAGTTAAAATTCATGTGGTGAGCGTTAAGTCGTGTCTCAGTGGCTGAATGGTCCACAGGCTAGCTCGCCATGCAACCGGAAGGTCCTGGGGGTTTGAACTTCACGACATGGGTGCGTAGTGCCGATGAGACCCAAACTAGGGAGTACGAAACAGCCACCACTGGCAGTACTCCCCAGTCAAACATAGAACAAATCAAATCTTTATCTAAATCACAAATAACGCAAAAACAAAAGACATACCCTCAGTTTTCGTGTTAGCCGTTTCATCTAAAGCATCCAGGAATATTAAACATGCACCATGTATGCAAGCGCTGAACAAGTCGATTATTGTTGTCGTCGTTGTTCCTGTAATTTGGCAATATGAATACGCTTGACTATCGTCGTTTGACCTGACGACGGTTTGAATAAATTCAATCCAAGCGATTAAATCACGAATAGTTGGTGGAGATCTAAACACATATACATGTATAATTATAAAGGTACAGAAGAGAGGATATCAACAAAGAAGGCGTTATAATAATTCAGGCGTGTGTCACAATATAGATTTCGTCACGAACAAACACAATTCAGAGAACCACGTAGCACTGAACAATCCTTTAGTGCTAGTTTGGGACGATTAAGGAGTGCGCACATTGACAATGCCCACACCACTAAGCATCGAACCTCTGGACATTCACAGATTACCGAACCAAACTTGTTTACGATTCAACCACCACTTGGGTCAATATTGCAGAAAATAACACCAAGCCAAAGTTAAAAGGAGAATAAGAATATACTGTATATGCACCTGGACTTCAGTAGAGACTTAGCGGGAGAAATCCTAAAGAGGTGAATCTCTAATTCCTCGAAGAACACCTACCTTACAGCAGTGCTAAGAGTCATATTCTCTAACCACCGACTACACATCTAATCGATTTGAAGGATAGACTCTTGCATATAACGACTTCAATGTCTGCTTAAACCTTGCTAATGAATTCATTATTTTCGCTGGCGCCTCTTTTGGAAACTCATTGTCCATAGTGACAGGTGATTTTAATTCCTGTCACTGCAGTTTTCTTTCAGTGCTAGTTCCTGAAAATGTCGTTAAGTTTCCCACCCGACTGGATACTTCTCTTGATCTTGTATTTATAAATGACTGCGGAATATACGAAGCTCGTAAAAGAGCCCCACTGTTTAACTCCGATCATTGTATTGTGCGGGTTTTACCAAACATTTATGTAAAGTTACACAAGAGAAAATTTTCACACCTTTCCAAGAAAAGTGTACATGAATGTTACTCTAAGGAGAATGTTTAGAATCTTAGGAGCATGTTCAAAGAAACAAGGTGGGTTTTTTTATGAAGACCCTCTTGATGACACTATCTCAAATATGACATGTTATCTCAAATTTTTTCTTGACACTTGTTGTTCCAAAGAAACACTCTTCATCAGATTTGACCGTTTCTCCTCCCCCCAACTTAAAAAGCTTCGCAGGCAAAAAGAAAAGTTATATAAAATGTAGGAAAACATTGGTTTGAAAAGAATTAACATCCTAATCAAGTCTGAAATGCACGGGTTGAATTCAATTTACAACAAAACGTTTATATCTTGTAAAAATGTCTCTAATATATGGAAACTATTCAAAAAAATTATGGTTATTATTTACCCGCTTCTGTGAAGCTAGGCAATATAGATCGTTAAATTAAAAGACGGGATTTCTCTAACGTGTACTGGTACCAAATTGTCCAGACGTATTGTGATGAGAAAGCCATTCATGTCTGGTTTTTGCATAGGCCGACCATCTGCGTACAAAATGTCAATGAAATCTGTTCACAAAGGTCGAACACACATAGAGTGGTATTGGAATCAGAAAGGCCACAACTGCGATGACTAAGTCACTGTAGAATGGAACTAGGTGCACTGATTGAATACTAGAATGTAACTAAGGTTACCTAATTCTGTCCTAAGTGTCAACTATTTGCGAAGTGGTAAACAAAAAAACCTGACTAGTCATCAGTAAACAGTTGTGACTGTTGGAACCAGTAGATGAGGGACAATCTATGTCTGGCCTTTGTGCTTGCTCACTAACTAGGACTACCAAGGCGTAACTCTGGTGTCTCCTCATTTGCGGATAAATCTTTCGCCTTTTACTAAAGATTTCCGTGGGGAGGCACAATACAATGAGTCTTATCTCATTTTTTCAGCTCTGTCTTCGGACGGGGTATTTGTGCGTCGGTGGCACAGTGGTTAGGACTCTCGCTGACCATGCACATGGTCCGGGGTTCGAACCCCTGCCGGCGCACACCCGATATCTATGGTATGCCTGAATTTGGGCAACCGATATCCATGCTGAAAGTTCCACACTTGTACTGAAAATACGGTGTGGAAATCAAGCTGTAAATCAAAAAAAAAAAAAAAAAATATGCAAGTTCGTTGGTTTAGCGACAGAATGCTCACTAACCAAACCACAAGTGGTCCACAGTTCGAATCCCGGCCGCCTGGCGAATACCTTTACCTTAACCTTGTATAGCCAGTTATAAGCCCGACAAAGCGGGAAGGTTGGGCGTGAAACTAGCAACGCCGCTTAGTAAGAACAACAACACTACATCCACCACTGAAACTTTAAAGCTTCTTGAAGTCACACCTTTTACTCAGAGCACAGAAGAATGAAAAAGAAATTCCCGGTCAATCAGTAGGCGGGAAGCAAAATGAACTCGCCTCACCTGTGATGTAATGAAGTAATACCATTGGATTTACATTCTTCCTGGGTTACAGCTAACCACTGAATAAAGTTCACCATTTTTTCAGAAAATTGTCTAGCCAGATGATTATTTCCAACACTGAAAATATTTGGAAGTTTTAATTTCAAGTTATGTTGAACAATATCTATCCAATCGGTTAGCGGGTTGGACAGCTCCTTCAACAAGGAGTCATCAGGTCTAACTGATGATGATGATGGGTGGACCGGTGTAAATGTCGGTGATGGACACCAGATTTCAGTGAAACGATTCCGTAGAGCAGGTGATAATTCTTTCTTCCCGTAATCCCCACCAGGATTCATTGTAGCAATAAATCGAAACTTGGGGTCAGCTGTTAATTGGGTAGTGTCAAGTGAAGTACCATCCAGCAGGTCTTCAGTACACTCAGCAAGATGAAGTTGTCGTTCAGGTTCAAGTAGACTGTTCAATCGTTCTAATACAGCATCATCAGCCAATGAAATTTCATCCAGCAGAAATAGATCTCCATTTAGCATAGCTACAACTAATGGACCATTGACCCATTCAAATAGACGAGAATCATCTGTAGACTGTTCAGAGAAGGAGAAGAAAGGGAGGGAGAGAGAAAAGAGACGAGAATGAATAAAATTAAATAATTTAGGAGTATTTCTACTAACTGCGTACACGATTTTAGAGTCTTGAAGGAGTGGAAAACTGTAATTACGAATTTCATTCCTCACGCGTTCGAAGTAGTCGGACTAAAGGAATTTAATGTCAACCTAATAAGTCTTGTCCAGCGTACATTTGATCGTAATGCGTTACACCTTTAGTGTATTTCTGTTGGAGGTCTGCACAAAATTTGATAGATAAGGGAAAATCAGAACCTATGACCGAATAGTTGGAAGTTGACCGCCTACACTAATGAGCTACAGGTGAACAAGGGATTATTTAAATAAGACTTCGCAGTAAAATGCAGCAACTCAAGTTGAAACTTATTACAAGAGCTTGTGAAAGGTAATACAGAATAAGTACGTGGGAGAGGATGAATCTGCATCATCTCAAAGAGTGCATTGCATCTGCACCAATGAGAACAATTTTGAGTCATATTACTAAAAGTCTAAAGCCGACGATTCTTGGCGTCTCGAAGACCCTTCCGCCCTCACCCCCATAGTGAGACAATCTACACCTTACCATGTGACCCATTTAAACCATGCTTTCATTTGACCACTGTTAAACTCTTTTCTTGCATTGGTAGACAAAGGAGAGAGTCGTGGCTCAATATATGTGAACACATATCGTAGCCACCATTTCGTTTCGATTGATTGATGCAGCTGCTTCACAGCCTCATTAGATTATCTTTCCTTTTACGTCTGACTTCAATATTCGTGGTCATAATGTACCAACTAACATGAGAAACAGAACAACCGTACCTACTGTCAAACACCGCCAGACTCTCCACATCTTCCACATTCAACAGCTATGTCTCAAGACTGTAAAGAAGGATAGAGCGAATTGCTGCAAGCAAAACACACGTCATTTGATGAACGTTATTCAGTTTCAAAAAAAAAGAAGAAACTATACATAACGAAGAAGAAGAAGAAGAATACTGAGGAATGAAAAATAACTTGACTCACACTTTTCGTCTCATCAGTTGACGAATGCCGAACAGGTCGTAGGCCACCCAGAAAATCTGAAGCTTCAGTACACTGATGACAATTAACACAATGTAGACGTTGGTTGTGCAGTGCAGCAATCACCTGGCAAATTGTTGTTTTACCACAGCTTTGAAGGAAAAAAAGTAACAAAAGGTAAGACACCAACCAATAGATAGAGTAAAGGCAAAAAAAATTAATGAAACTGTGTATGTGTCGAAACATTTTAACCAATGTTGTCTCACTTTACACAAATATTACAAATGACACAATCAATTAATTACCGACTTTGAGGAACTATGAACTATATTCACATTGTGCGACAGGCAGCTAACGATAATATCCAGTCGAAAACACTGGAACCCAATGTTGCTTGATGTCAGATACGCGTTTAAAGCTGTTTCTTCCTTAAATAAGGACTCAGTGTCTCGATCTAGTTGTGGACGTAACTGTTTCGTTGCCAACAGTTTTTTTTTCTATGTCCGTTTGATCGTAAGCATAAACGTCCGCAAACCAGGGCGTGATTAGTCTTCACAGGTGTTCCAAAAAGAGCGGAAGTCTTCTACTGACCCTCTCTATGTGGTCTATTTGAGCTCACCATTGATTTGGTGATGGAAGTTGTCAGGTTAGACTATGTCTCTCCAGATGATTTTCTGAACAGAACTGTAGAAGACGATCACCGTTGTCGCTTCGTCGACAGGGAAATCCTTAGGTACCACCAATATACTTCTCAGTCTGGCATAGCTTCCCTACGTGGACATTGAAGTCGCCTGCTAAAATGACTATGTCTCAGCGTTTTGCTCTCCGCAACAAACTAGACAGTTCCTGGTAGAAATCGTCCTATAGTTCATCCGAACTGCTGTCGGTTGGGGACGTAAGCGGAGACTATGAGAAGACAATGACGGGTAACGCCGTCCCTCCACCTTCTAACGGACCTGTTTAGGCGGACCACACACATACGACTATCTACTAATATCCAGTCAAAAAGTGATTTTTCTGCCTTAACACTCAATACTATCCCTACACCTGCGAGTCCTAGCGAACTAGCTGAGGAACCTCCTGACCTGAATTTTGCAGATTCATCTTGTTGGCTGAGTGGGGTTATGCGTGTCTCCAAGACACAGCATACATTCATAACCTGAGATGCCAGAGTTCTGGTTAGTGATGACTGTTGTCCGATTTGGTAGAGAGTCTTGACGTTAAATGCTCCAATATGAAGTTGATGGCGTGCTTTAAGAGACTATCGGAGGTGTTTCTATGGCTCTAATCGTTATTTGTGGTCACAGTATTAAATGAAGATGATTGACTAGCCTGCAGAATAGTATTGACAGTAGTAAAAAACAAGATGATGAGGGTGACTAGGATTAAGGAGTGTGACAACTTGAAATGCTGCACTTGTCTGCAAAGTTCTACGTTGAAATCAGTCAGTCAGACTGTTGCTTGAAAGGTGAATGCTCACAGCTATGAGTCATACCTCGACAACTTGTAGGGAAAAAAACCCGGGATATAAAAATGTCGAAGAACGCCATGACCACAACACATGATCAACTTTTGGGGTGTAAGTAGATGAAGAGATCCGACTAAATAAATGATGGCCTCATATTATCCTCCAAAAACACCTTATTTTGCTTCATTCTTATGTCATGAATTATAAATATATAACTTGGAAACTTGACTTTTGTAGTTCTCCTTTTTTATTCCCATTTGTTGCAGAGAAGTAGCAGAATTTTCTAGGTGTCTAGGGAAGGCGTTCAATCATTCCCATTGCATGCATTCTCAGTTGTCTGGCTAAATAAAACTTCGATTAACAGTTCATCGTCCATCATTCTGTTACATTAGATTACACAAGATTGTCATCAATGTTTCATTCTGTTGTATGGTTGTGTGTAACTCTAAGTAGTGTGCAACAACTGACCCTAACCTATCATGGTTAACTAATCTAGGATACACTAGGGGCTTTGTTTCGCTCCGCATTTATCTAACTGACCCAATTCTACTACTTTGCCTTATGTATTTGACTTTACAATCATTGCAGCGTATGAGATAAACTATACTGTTGGCGAAATTAAGGTATCATAGCCACTGAGGTCTTCCATGGTTGACCTTGAACGATCAGTCAGATTAATGAGATGCTTCGGAAGGTCATTCCAAACAGAAATCATGCCTATGTTTATTTTTTTTATTGTAGCTTGACTCCATACAATATTTTTGATACAAGTATGGAATTTTCAGCATGTGATATCGGTAGCCCAAATTTTACAGGCCGACCATTGATATCAGGTGCGCGTCGGCCGGGGATCGAACCCCGGACCATGTGCACGGTGGGCGAGCGTCCTAACCACTATGCCACCGACGCATAGACCTGCTTAGTGAGTTCCGCGAAGATTGAGCATTCAACTGCTGTGTCAATAATGGATTAACTGCAGTGACGAAGAGTTGTGTTTGTGGAGAGATTATCACAATAAAGGAATCTAACCACTTCGTGAGGTTAGGTGCAGTGTTTTATTTATTCCTTAGGTACTTTTTCCTCCCATTCTACGCTGTCTCTGACGGATATCCTACGCCCTATGTACTGTTGGATTTTACAAAAGCCTATAGGGTCAGCAGTAGCCAAGACGAAAAATAGCCTGATCTCTACAATGCAATGGTATCAGCATTTATCAATAACTGCCACCTACGCTCCATAATGAAGATCAAATGATCAGAAAGAATTAGAGATAAGGAAGTATGGGGACAAACTAACCAGGCACCGACTGCTCAACAAATATGTAGGAGAAAGTGTAGATGGATTGGGCATACACTCAGGAGACCTTTGGGTGACATCGCGCACCAGGTCACCACTCGAGTGGAATCCCAATGGGAAACGACGAATGGGTCGTCGGTGCAAGGGTAACATGGAGGAGATCATGTGAGGAGGACATGAGAGTTTATGGGCAATCGTGGGCCCAGATTAAGAGGACAGCAGAAAACGCACTGTTGAAGCCCTGTTTTCCACTCGGAACCCAAGGGAACAATAACAATAATATAATAATACTCTAAGTTCAAAGTCAATATTATTTCCTCTGTAGTTGCACAAGACATGTTTGTCTTCACGCCCCAAAACGACTATAACTTCTAGTTGCCATGGAAACCATAACTGATTGGTGCGTAGAGCATACTGTGACACATATGGACGGCTAAATTCTAAGCACGGGTTTGTAATACTCATCAAATCACGTCTGTGGTTCAGCGGTAAAACGCTCTCTAACCAACCAACTATGCCAGAAGTGGTCCGGTGTTCGATTCCCAGCCGATGTACTCCTAAACCTCACTAAGCTGGTGGTGGTATGGCCAGTAAAGAGGGGAGGTTGGACGTGAGGCTAGCAAACCCACACTCCGTAAAAAATAAACACCCCACTAGTACCGAAACTTCTAAGCTCTAGGGGTGAAGAGCTATGTTTCACTAGGAACGTAGGGGAATAATATAATCAAATAAGGCAAAATCAATAAATAATAGTATAGTGTAAACGTAACATCGATTGATTGGAGAATATTGTATGCAACAGAAAGAACTGCAATAACAACATACAGTCAAGTGGGCGCATTAGAACTATCTCACACTGCAAAACTTACCCTGTCTCTCCGACTAATAACACTGGTTCTTCATACTTTAGGGCATTACCAATGAGAACTAGTAAACGACGCATATCCCTTGTCCATACAATATGTTGAAAGTCTGATTGACAGATTGTATTATTATTCACTGAAAGGATTGGTTGTAAAAATTCGTATACAGCTGGGGATGTCTCTTCATTTAGGTCGAATAGTCTATTATTTGTTAAGCAAAAGGGAAATAATAATACAAACAAAATATAAAGGTTAGCTGCACAATCTGAGTAGATTTTCATGCCACTCTTAACTATATCCGTGCAGATTACGTCACCAACCGTAACCAGTTAGAGAATCACTGAAAAACAGAGAGCACTGGACAGCTGTTTCATTTCAGTTCGGGGTTGGTGTTGATCAGGATAGCTTTGTGCACTTATGGAAGTGTGGGGGGAAGGGGGTAATTGTTATTTCCCCACTGATCACACTGGGAAGCCTGATTTCTTCCTAGAATGCCTGAAGTAGAATGGAGCATTTGAGTTGCGTGACCAAACAAAGCGCAAGGAACAACTACTTGAGAGCCATTACCTACGCACACACACTGACTAATTGAAGTCGCTTCTGGAGTTAGATTTGTGCTAAAATCATTACCGTCAGCTACGGACCGTGACAGAGTATGTTGAGATATACGATTTTCGAAGTTGGCATTTTCCACCGCCCACTTCAGCAGAGCGGAGAGGTAACAGAATAACTCGCTTGCAGTCATCTGAGAGAAACACCCTACTGCTGTTACACCCTTATTCCCCGGTATGTACGACTACGTCATCAGACTGTCAGTAAAGTATCAATGAATCGCTTTTCTGGTAATTGCTGCAGGGACATTAGTTCCATCTAGATTGGCTAACTGTTGGATATGCAAGCGATATGCAAGCCCAACACCACCATATCAAAGTAGCAGCAGCTATCGGTTAGGCCTAGTTTGGCACTCTTCAACAGCATGCACCCACAACCCCCTCCAGGTCGTTTCAGGTAAGGAAGCAGTCTGTTGACTGACTATGTGCACCATAGCTGGAATCCAACTCTGTTATTCACACAAGACAGTTGACATGTGAACTCATGGATGAGACTTCTTATCAGGAACTTCAGGAATCGACGTTATTAGCCATTAAGAGTTGGAGATTGACATCATATTTGGATTTGTGAGAATTTTAATTAATTTCAATGCGAATTTCGCGCAAATCGATATTGGTTAGAGAATCACTCGAAACTAATATGTCTTTATCAGATCTGATTGATATATACTGTATAGGCTATTCAACTACATTTAAGTTTGGTTTACGAGTATCCTATGCTTTAATTATTATATTGCAGTATGCTTTATTCTGTAATTAAATTACGTCGATGAAAAATGTTAATTCCCATTTCCCATTTCCCACCCCTTCCCTCCTAATGACCACAACGATGAGACTCAAGGCAACGGAGAATTTTATTTTAAAAACTCGACTAATTTTTATCTAATTCATTATCCGATATCGACCACTCATCCATCTGGATTTATTGTATGAATCCCTCCCCACCATGAAGAACACAGTGCAATGTCGTTGATTACGCAACATTATCAATAATTGAATAGATAGTGAATGAATGAGTCATTAAAATAAGAAATAAAGTGGATTTGTAATCTACTGTCACAATAAACACCCTGGTACGACTGAAGATGGATAGACTTCGATCTTCCCCTCGAAACGCTTTCATGAGCCCCAGCTAGGTGAGTACCTTTCATCAGTGCTTTCACGCAGGACAGGTGTTTCCCACATAAGTGAAAGGGCGAATACAAATGTCCTATAGACGGACAGAGGACTGGTGAATATGCTGGTCTACGTAGGCGAATTGAAAAACCGTGATTTCAATCCTATGATGTAAATGAACTTGTTTCGGTAGCCAGAAACTATAGGAATGCAGCTCCTGACGCTGCTCCACTGTCTTGTAGACCAGACTTCAAATCAAAGGTTAGGAGTAGGTGGTCCCTTAGGACAACCACCTGTTTTAGTCTGGGAGTCTGGAGAGTATCCTAGCCCTCCCACAAACTATGAGACAATTTTGTTAGGTGTATCTCTTGGTGGCCATAGTGTATCAAGTTTGTATCTTGACAAATCAATAAGTGTACTCCTACTGAGGAGAGGAGCTAACACAGCAAGCAAACAAGACCCAATTAGGCATTGATTCACTCTTAACCAACAAGATAAAACATAGGAGAAGTAATCATCTACAACTACCAACAGGGAAAGGAAATAAAGACTGTGTTAAAAAAAAAAAACAAGACAAATGCACCTACCTTGATTCTGTAACTTTACGTTTAAATACAGTTTCAATAACCTCTGCTACAACTTGTACTTCATTTGGATTACGTACACGTCCAGCAAGTAATAAATAGCCTTGATCAGCTAGATAAGCATCCCAATCGAATAACTGGACTTGTCCTCCACCGCCACTATGACTCCCAGAGACTTTATCGCATGTTGCTAATCTATAACGTTCAGCCCATCGGAATAGATCACGAAGGGTGATAAAACTGTCTTTGCCTTGAAACAGATTGGAACTACATCTAGCAAGCTAAGCAAATCAGAAAATGAAAACACAATGTTACTACTTCACGAAAAAATCAACAATATACACTCTAGTCGACAATACAACTCTAAACAAAGTAACCATTAGAATTTAATTGGTGGATGGTGACTAGCAGTGGAATCCAGGATACGCATTTCGTCCTATTCGGGACTCGTCGTCTGGATGTGCCTTTACTTTGATTGGATACTAGTGCAGTGTGTCTAGTCCTTTGTTTGCTGCAGACTGAATTCAATCCAGTCGAGTTTGCAATATGGCCACACCAACAAGCTAGGTGGCTTGGCATCATGGTGCACTGTGAATTGTTGATAATAGAGGGTTGAAGGCAATCAGCAGACCTATGTTTCGTGTTAGCTGGTACTTGTCAGCAAGGCTGGTTCGAATTTCAGAAGAGATATAAGTCCACTTTGTAATTGCATATACGCCTTGCTGACTGACTGGTGAATGCCAACTAGCACGAAACCCAGGTTAGGCAAGGATTTCTGCAGATTGCCACCAACTATCTAATAATCAGAGTTACCTTTGTAAGAAATACTGCTTGTTTATTCCTTTGCGCTTCGAATGGAACAGACGGCTTCCCACTTGATCTTTGAAGTTTCCATAGCAGTGATATTTTCATTGACTGACACTTTGGAGTTGCTAGCCAAACGTCTAACGTTCCACCATTTACCAGGTACAACGCCAGCTAGGCGAGGTTAAGGAGTTTGTTGGCCAGGGACAAAACCCCCAAACCACTTGCAGCGTGACTGGAGAGAATTCTACCATTGAGCAACCAACGCGCACTAAGGAAATACTTACACAAACCAGATTTTAGGACGTACACAAGTTATTTTCATTTATTATTAATTATTTTTCTTGGGTTCCCAGTGGAACAACAACACGTCTCCACTTTGTTCTGTTTTCTGCTGTCTTCTTCAGCTGAGCCCACGATTGACCATAGGTCTTTCATGTCCTAATCTCATGATCTCCGTGTCACCCTCAAAGTGACGACCCACTCGAGCAATGGTATGCATTGCACGCAATGTCATTCGACGGCCTCCTCAGCGTATGCTCAAAGCATCTCCATTTTCTTTTGCATATTTGTAGAGCTATCGGTTCTTGGTTGGTTTCTTTTTGTTAATTCTTTCTGACCAAACGGCCATTTGATCTTCAATGTAGAGCAAAGGGGGCAGCTGTTGATAAAGGTCTACAGTAGCTTGTTGAAAATCCTTTTCGTGATGCGCATGGTAAGTTTCTGACATATACAGAAGAACTGACTTGACATTTGTGTTGAACAGAATCCAAATCTTGTTCTTTACGCTGCGGAGTGCAGAAGATTTCCAAACTGGTTTCAGGTTGCCTTTCCGATTCTAGCTGGTGTTGACATCTTCACGCATAAGTGGAAGAAGTAACACCACCTCAGTCAAATCTCGTACAGAAGTTGCTCGACAGTAACTCCTGAGCAGGTTTCAATTTCATTCTCAGTGTCAACAGAATTTCAACAAGGTGGTTGGAAACAATTAACAATTAAAGTAATATAGACTTAGATTCCGTGGTTATCGGCACAAGTCGTCAGTCAACAAGTCGACATCTACAAAACTCGAAAGGATAACAGAGAACCCCCCCCCACACACACACACACACAGATCGAAGATTTCAAATTTCATCAGTGAATGGAGTGACTGGTATAGTTGAAGACGCCGCCATTGGTGAGCTATTCAGCCTCACTCATGATTGACTACTCTTCTAGAATACTAAGTAATAAAAAATTGAGTGTTTAGTCAGTTTTCTTTTAACACTGTTTGTAGGCAAGACAAATAATAGTTTCACGTACATCTTCAACAGTTACCAACCATTGATTAACTCTACACTGGCTGTAATCAACAATCAAAGCCATTTTATACTTTGGTGTCATTGTTTCGGACCTGACTACTATTCATTCCTCTTCTAATCCAAACCAGACATTGATGAGAACTAAAACACGTAGTTCACAGAAAAGAGGCTCTTCTCGGTGACGAATTCATTTCCCGGCTAAGCCGTACAATCGAATTTATATACAATCTCTCTCTCATGAAAAACGCTAGTAACAAAAGTGGTGAGTAGTTGTCATAAGCATAGTTGCTAATTACTAGTGAATGCATTAAAAAAAGTTAAATAAGTGTATTACAGAGTTGCATAATAAGATGAATAACTTAATGAATGAGTTGTAATCAGAATGCCCATGGAAATACAAGAGTTATAAGAAGTTGAAAAAAGAAAACAGAAAATCAAATCGGTAGAAATCAACAGGAGGATTGTTATCAGGATGGTAGAAGGGGTTGAATAATTTTTTCTTGCGTATGCAGAGCTCCGATTTCTCTGCCAGAATAAAGAAAAACCTTGAGTAATGCAAAGGTGACGAAATCCTGTTGCCTATGGCAGGTTATTCTTCACTTTATAGATTACACGTTTGCTGAGATGGAATGACCAGGACGGATTGACAAGGTATTCGATTACCACACTCTTTACAGAAAGCACTACTTATCGTTTTCTGGCACCATGATGAGGTGGGCTAGTCTTCTTAAACTCTTCTGTTAGACAGGATACGCGTCGAATGATCAATATACCTGACTCCAAAGGAACAGATGGACAAAGATATGATCAGATGCGAGATCTTGTCTTTAAAGCTTCTGAGGACAGGTCAATACACAACTGGTGAACACTATTCATAGAATTACTGCGAAGAATGTTCTTCGCCTAAGGAAAAATTGTGCACATCTGAAAAGAGGAAATTGAATTCGCCGAAAAAAGAGAGCCTCTTTGCTGAACTACGTGTTGTTTGTTGCCTTTTTTGGTTTGTTTTCATTCTTACGTTGTTTAACACCTCGCCTGTCAAGGAAGAGACACAGGTGATTTCGCCACGCGTAACATATCACATGAATTCCATCAAGGTTGCAGATACGCCTTGCTGACTGACTGACTGACTGGTGAGTGCCAACTAGCACGAAACCTAGGTCAAGCAAGGTTTCTTGCCGATTGCCTCCAACTATCTAATAACACATCACCTAGTAGTTAGTCATCTCTGTGGAGCTTCAAACTAAACACCTTAGCAAAAAATAACCCTCGATAGTAATTAAACCATAAACTAGATAATAAAAAAAATATATAAACTAAAATGTTACCTGAAGACGATGCATCACTTCAACTAGACGATGAGCTCTACTCGGTGGAAGTAGACACTTCTTCTCTAGAATTATTTCTAATTCATTTCGAGGAATTGTATCAAAGTGTAGTTCAATAAAACGATTACGTAGAGCACGTGATAACATCTAAAAATTTAAAGGGGAAACAAAAACACTTTCAATTGAGAATAAGGAGTCTAATTGGTGGATGGTGACTAGCAGTGTTGGAATCCAGGACAACGCGTAATTCGCCCTATTTGGGACTCGTCATCTGGATGTACCTGCATTCCCCACGGTGAGTGATGATTCTCTCACCGAGGCTGGAACCCAGTGCCCATCGTTTCAAACGCTAAAGCGTTATCCACTAGACCACTTGGGCCACAAGAGCCACTGTCTCTTGTGCAACGGGTCATATTAATTATTTAACTGAATTTTAGATTTTCCTGTCGATTGATTGAACCGAAGTGCTCGGTCTCAGGTTGACATGTCGGCTTCTTGTGCAGATGCTTCGACTATGTCTGAGCATATAATTAGAATTTAATTGGTGGATGGTGACTAGCAGTGGAATCCAGGATGACGAGTCCCAAGTAGGACGAAACGCGCATCCTGGATTCCACTGCTAGTCACCATCCACCAACTGAATTCTAGTTACATGGCTAAACATTATCCAAGCATTCGCACAAGGAGCCGACATGTCAACCTGAGACAGAGCACTTCGGTTCAATCAATCGACGGGAAAATCTCAAAATTGGATTTAAATGACAATAAGGAGGTTTTATTGACAGCAATTGAGTTTTACTGAATTCAACTTTGATGTTCCCGTTGATTGATTGGACTGAAGTGTTCGCCCTCAGGTTGACATTTCTCATTTTCTATTTCCTGCATATTTTTATAATATTTATTTAAACTCTGATCATCTGTCCACTTCACCTACCTTTAGTATTACGTGACTTTTAAGACTGAACCTAATTTATTTATTCATTGAATTGTCTACATATGCACGCGTATTACTACCTTCGTTATTCCTCATATAGCCACCTGCATGAACCTTATTATCATTATTTTGTTATCAATATAATCAGCGTGATTGCTGAGGTTCAAAATATTTAGCAAATTATTATTATTATTACTATTGGACCCACAAAATAACAAAATATAAATCTATGTAAATTAGAGTAAAGCCTAAAGAAGATCTAATTGAAAACAACAGTATTGTGCGCTTATATATCTTATTCTAATATTATTAATGAGAATATTTTAAGATTTGAAACGGTATCTAGTAGTAAATGGCATTGTAGTTCTTAATTGGATCTATTGGATCCTTAAGCCGACAAATTTTATCTCCCAGATAGATCGGGCAACAAACTCAAAGGGGAAGAGAGATAGTGGAACATAGGACGCCTTCAAACTAGAGGCTTGAAGTTTCAGTAGCAGTAGTGCTTATTTTTACGAGGTGAGGTTGCTAGCCTCATGCCCCCCCCAACCTTCCCTCTTTACAAGTCTTATTACTGGCTTAGTGAGGTAAAGGAGTGCGTCCACTGGCTGGGGATTGAACACCGGACCACGTGACTGGTTGGCGAGCATTCTACCGCTGTGCCACCGACGCACAAATATATAAAGCAAATTGTGAAGCCGTGTGACTAAATTGATATGATTATGAGCAGCAATCACACTTATTTGCAATTAATAGTGTTCTCTGAGCTGATTGGTTTAGTTGCGGAGCTTTCGTCATCCTTCTGGACAACATCTTCTAAAACAGTTTTCTAAAATAGTAATTACTATAGTTAGAGATGAAAATTATCAACAAGAACAACAACGAAAACAAAAGAAAAAATGCTTCTATTGAATTAAACATTAATTACATGAAAAATAGTCAACAATGCACTTCTTCTTACCTTACGTCCAGCATATAGACCCGGTGGATTTTGTGTAGCAAATAGTCGAAAGTGTGGATGTGCTTTAACTGTTTCCTGTGTCTCTGTAATAAACACAGATCGATTGTCATCTAAAACCTAAGATTGAAAAAGAAGTAGATTAGTAGGGAGTGCTGACGGGTATTGAAGATCAACAGTAGGATACTATTCAAGATAAATGAAAGCAAGTCAAAAGAAATTACTAGTTTTTGAAACTCTCGTGGATGGTGACTAGCAGTAGGGGGTGGGGGGATTCAGAGCATGCACATTTCGTCCTGTTTGATAATCGTCGTCTAGATGGACGTACCTGCATTCCCCACGGTGAGTGAGTGAGTGAGTGATGGTGCTGCCCCCCCCCATTGAGGCTCGAACCCAGTACACATCGTTTCAAACATACCAAACAGTTATCCACTAGACCACTTGGGTAATGAGAGTCACGCCTTCCTTTTGCAAAAGGGTATCATTTATTATCATCCAATACAATTCGGATCTTCTTGGATTCCAATGCAAGTCACCATCCATCCTCTAAATTACTCAAAGTCAAATCCTCAGACATTGTCGAAGCATCCGCACAAGAAGCCGACATGTCAACCTGAGGCCGAATACTTCAGTCAAGACAATCAACGAGAAGGTTCAAATTGAATTAAATAGTCCTATCCGTCTTTTTTCTCTATTGGACTAATATGTTCAGTCTTTGTTGAGATGTCAGCTCACAGAACCGTCTCACTTTGAAGATGTTCTCAGGTTAACTTGATGCTATTTGCATGAAAATACTACATACTACTGGTTTGACTGAGATGAGTAGTATGCAACTACCGTGAAATTCCACTACTCGAATTGTGTAAATTGTAAATTATGAATTTGATTTTATGCTACTTACTACTTATTGGTTGCCCGGTTGGAGGTGCGGTGGAATGAAGACCACCACATTTGTGTCTAGATAATCGTATGTTTAGACCTATCTGTCTATCTATTTCCCGTGTTAGGTGGTATATTAAGGTTAGGCGTCGGTTGAGTGCTGGGTAAGAAGGGAAATTCAATCGACGAAGTTGTGAAGTTATACTGATTGAGATGGTTAGAGCATGTGTTACATCTACCTAGACATCGCCTTCCTCGACAATAGGCAATGTTAGTTGACATAGAATGGATCAGGTTGGAAAAGAGTTAGCACATGATGGTCAAGCCAAAACATGACTGGCTTCATCAGTCAATGAAATCTACAACAGTTAGTTTAAGCAGCCAGCCAGCCATGTAGGGAGGTGTAGACTTCCTGACTGGTTGGGGTCCTCGGGATGGTAAAAACTAATGAAGGCTGAAACAATTGGTGATATGACTGGCTCAAAATCGTTCTCAGCGGTGGCATAGATGCATTCACTCTTCATCATTTGTCATATCCTCCCAATAAAACTCTATTGTTCTCCCATACTACTATTCTTTTTCCTTCAGTCACACTTCTGTTGGTTATCTCACTCTCTCTTGCTTTGTGTGGTACAAGGAGGGAGTGTGGCAAGTGGAACTGCTGCATTTGTATGCAAAGTTCTATGTTGAAACCAGTCAGTCAGTCATTTGGGTCTAGTAAACGGGAGGTATCTGTATCCTGAATGAATGATGATTTCTCTACTGAAACTCAAACCGACTACCCATCTCACTTCAAATACCCAAAGCCTTATCCATTAGATCAAATGGTCTCGACGTCCCACCATCATCTTGTGAGACACGTTTAAGTTGTTATTAGTTGAAATTACTACTCTGAATTATCCATCGATTGACTTTATTAGCTTCTATTATGGAGGCTTCGAGAAGCATGATGTTCCATAGGTGTATGACGCCATTACTCACCGGAGATATAGGTACATCCACTTGACGACTTTGGATTCTGATGAAAGCCATGATCGAACACAAATACATCAAGAAAAACTTACAGTCGATGCGAATGAGTTACGCATCAGTAGATTGTTGAGGTACACAACAAACAGTCAGCCTGCCGCCTATCACTGATTTTTTTTTATTCCTTCACGTTCCCAGTGTAACATAGGGCTTCAAGCTAGAGGCTTGAAGTTTCTGTAGTAGTGTTTATTTTACAGGATGTGGCTGCTAGCCTCATGCCCAACCTTTCCTCTTTACCAGCTTTTATTTCTGGCTTAGCGAGGTAAAGGAGTGCGCCGGCCGGGGATCGAACTCCGGACCATGTGCATGGTCGGCGAGCGTCCTAACCGCTATGCCACCGACGCACCACCTATCACTGATACTTTCCTAAATACACATTTTTCAGACTCCTTCACATCCATATGTTCAAAAATCCCATTAAAAAAAAGTGGAGAGAACAAAATTCGTATTAAAAAACAACCGGACTTACTCTATTCAAAGCTTCCAGAATTTCAGTTGGTGCTAAATTCAATTCATCCAATATTATCCAATAACCATAACGCATAGCTTTGACTAATAAGCCATCTTTAAAGACTAATGGTGAAACAGATTTTATTTGCCCACTGAGATTTTCTTCTTCCCCTGTTGTCGATAATGTTTTGCCGGTTGCTTGTGCAGTTGATGATACCGTATACGTTCCAAGATAAGTTTGTTGATCTGTATGCTCATGATTATTGATTCGATAACACACCTGACCGACACGTTTAGCCAGATAGGTGATGAGTGATGTCTTGCCAACTGATGTTTCACCTTGTAACAGCACGGGTAGACCACCCCTATGTGATGATATTACCAAGATGCAAGGAGGAGGGCAAACAGAATAATAAGTAATAAGAATATACAAAACGAAACTTGATGCGTTCATTGAGCCTTAGAATCCTCAGTATTAGCAGTCCTCACACTATGAAAGAGGAGCTGAACACTCTGAAAAGAATCCTCCTCGAAACTAGCTACCCAGAACGTCTAATCACGAAATCCATAAAACTTAAACCATTAAAACCGCTAACACTTTCTACTCCCAAAAGACTTCTCTACTTGAAGCTACAATTCAGTGGAGACTCATTATAGGCGGAAATACCACTCCTCCTCCTCCTCCTTCGCGGCTGAACTTCGACTAACTTCCTCTACGAAAAAGGGAAGGATAAACTACCACTGTTGGCCTAATTAATGTGTATCTATCTATTCACCTGTTCGTGTGGAGCTAGGAATGTCGGCCGTACCCAGCGTTTGCCATCTAAAGGTGCCATGGAACACTTACTCTCATAGTTTTATTAAGAAAAAAACAGGTTCCCTGCCCCGCCACAGCTCTACTTTGGAAAAACTGATCGAATCTAGACACCAAGATAACCCACAAAGAAACTCCACAGTTACCTACGGAATATGTGGGAATCTTGCTAAAAGAGAAGTACGAATAAAACTTTGTCAAACCACAAAAGCGATGGCGATTAACATGTTGAATCCTGAACTCTGTATACAAAAGAAGTTTGTTCAGTCAATAAATCTACAATGGACCTGATGTCTGTTAACACTGGATACGTAGTTTCTGTTTATTGGATCCTTATTGTACTATATTTTCCCACATCCCTTATTAAATATCTACCGCTTATTACCACTGTTGTCAACTCGACTCTCGATCAATTTTAGGTGAATTCCACTCAATCCTGTCAATTATATCACGTCACTCAACCACTACACAAGTCAGTGGTGATGTGCTCATCACCCATGCAGCAAGTGGTGCGGGGTTCAACCCACGACCGACCGCAGCCTGACGAAGTTTTAAAGGCTACCGCCCCGAGCGAAGTAGTCTCGGTCATAATCACTTCACAGGTTTTCTGAAGGTTAGAATCAAGCTTCCCAGAAGACACAGGGATACGAGACTCTTACCAACACCCTTCCCGATCGGTTTTTATGACCAGGCTACAGATCGCAGTCAATGCTCCAATCATATTCCCCAAAATGCCTTAACACCAAGAGGACACCACGACAGGAATATAGCCGCGTGCGGCAACCCAAAAAGTGTAAGAATAGTTCACTTTCGTCCTGACAGAATTTAGCTAGGGAAGTTACTGGCAAACGCACCCAGCAGGAACCACGAGAAGGTATCTACTAGCATAATCATGACAACAAAGAGTAAGAGTCATAGTAACTATCAGTTTGACTGATTTCTGTAGAGCCAGTCCAATTAAACGTCCACTTAGGCAGATTTGTCACCACTAAATTTCCGAAAATTATTCTGCATAGTTAAGCAAAGGACAAATACAATAAATTCGGAACTCAATTTTAGCACACCTTGTGGATATACTGCACATAAAGTTGATGTTGATAAATTATTTAAAGCTATTCTATTGTTAGCCGAACTATCGCATTAATTCGCCTTATAATTTCATCTTTTATTTATATACAACTTAAGCCATCAAAGAATCCACCTGAAGAAGAAAGAGACTAAACTCGGTCATCCGTACAATTTACTATACACAGTGCAGTTTATAATTACTGATAAAGCCAAAACAAGCATGCTCTACAACAAGCCTCAATATTGCACAGGTGATTATGTCACATCCTACACTACATACTAGTTTACATGTGTAGTCACATACATAGGGAGGAGTAATCGGCACTTTGAAAGTGAGGATGGGAGAACATTTAACCACATGGTCAGATAAAAACAAACTCAGCTGTTGGACATCGATAAACTCAATTGGTAGACTTATAACTTTGTCTATAGCAAAACATTTATTGCACTATTTTATTCTTTTGCATTCCTAGTGGAACATAGGACTTCAGGCTTGAGCTCTGACGATTCACTAGCAGTAGTTTTATTTTTACTGGATGTGAGATTGCTAGCCTCATTCTCAACCTTCCCTCTTTATCTGGCTTATAACCGGTTAAGGGATGTAGAGGTGTGTGCCGGCCGGTCAGGAATCGAACCCCGGACCACTTGCCACATGGTTGGTTGGTGAGAATTCTACCGCAGAACCATCGACGCAATCGATATGAATCACAAGATTGATATCAAAAACAGGTGTTTCAAGATTCTCTTTGAAAACAATCAGCAGCGCACGCTGAAATACTCTGAGACGATAACTATCCGTAAAAACTAAGCGCATCCAACCCCACCCCTAAATCTACTTTGGTAATCCTTACTTGATTATATATTACCAAAAGGTAGTGTGTTAGATTATCCTGCTTCTTAACCCCACTCCCATAGCATTTTGTTTATTTCAATTAACCTTTTGTTTTCCATCTAAACTGGTTTGACAAGTGAATGTGTGTGTGGGGGTGAGGGGGAATCAAATTGTTCGAAATCTACATCAGATGTTGCAGACAAAATTCAACTTCTGATATAATGTTATCAAAATTTACTACTCAAGGGAGCCATTCAATCATGGCGGATTTCCTGGGGTTCGAATACCCCCTCCCGCTCCACCTCTACTTTAGCAACGAAAAGTAGGTAGCATCAATCCTCAATCCGCACACATATATCATAGTGTGGATAATAAAAGCCGCCGAATATACATGAGACATATTCCGGATAAAATTGAGTTCAACGCACTAAACAAATCAGTCGAATCACTGAAGCAATAATTGAAGATCAGATCAGACTGAAAAATGAACAGATTGTTTGCTACAAAATTTTAATATAAATATATATTGTTCCATTATGGATAAGATTTTATTTTGATAAGTCACACAGTGTTGTACAGTAATATTAACTGATGACGTTTCGAGCATAAACTATTGCTCATAATCATAATATTACTGTACAACACTGTGTGATTTATCAAAATAAAATCTTATCCATAATGGAGTTATGCTCTACCACAGTGCCCAAGTTTAATACTTATATAAATATATATAGACAAAGCAATAAGACGTAATTTATCTAAATCGTGTAGTGTGTATTTGCGTGCAACAAATTTCGAACAATCTGATCACACACGGACGCATAAACTCCGGTTGATAACAATTATCCAGACAAGTTCATCAGGAGATATAAAGTAGTCAGAATATCAAGACTCACTCTCCAACTCGCCGCTAAGGAAGACGTGTAAATCAAATTACCCGATGCATGGGGGATCATAGGAGCTTGACAACTAGACAGAGATTGAACGCTACTGTTAAAAAGACTTTCTATGTAGCTAAGATCATAACAATGGAGTATGTGAAGCCAATATATCCATCTAAGCCCTTAGAACCTGTGAAAAATGATGTCACATCCCCATGTATTTACCAATTTGAATGTACGTGTGGCCACACATGCATAGGGAGGAGACTCATCGATCTCTGCAGGTAAGGGCTGGCTTCAGAGCATATTCTTAAATGGCTTCAGAAGCAAATAGAATCACCAGAACCCATTAATGGTGAGAACAGACATCGACCTAGCTCCTCTTTTGCGAAACATATTATAGAGACACGACATAAAATTGATATTTACAAGTCTTTTAAACCTATCTATAGAAAATGTTTGGAGTAGGGTATCCTAAAGTTTGTGGAAGCCCTAGTCGCAGTTAGGAAGTTTAAACCACCTTTATGCATTCAAAGCAACAATTCATCACCACACTAAACCTTCCTTGATAAACTTTGCTTTGATGCCAGCTAGAGTAGATGTTCTATTACCCTTCTTATTTGGTTTAATGATCTTCACTGTTATTTTGACCTTCAATATGTCCTTATAACTTGACCTAAATTTATTTTTCTCACCTTTTAACTCTTTAATAATTTCATACATATGTTCCTATGACAAGTTCGTGTGTGATCAGATTGTTCGAAGTATGCTGCACGCAAATACAACATTACATGATTCAGACAAATTACGTCTTCTTATTGCTTTGTCAAGCTAAATTCATAAAAGGAACACACCAATTGTTTTAAATCATATACATATAAACTCACCCTGCAGAGACAACACGAGCTAAATCCTTTAAATTGGCTTGAACACTTGGTGTTAATATATAATTCCCAGCTGTGGTATTATTATTATTCTCTTTGTCACAATATGTGACAGGTTGTTGTGACCCTCTAGGCAACCAATACCCTTCAACATTGATAAAATAATCTTCTGGACATTGTGACTTCGTAGTAGTAGTAGTAGAATTATCAATATGCATTGCAGGTAAACTGTTCAACGGTGGTATCGGTAATGGTGTATTCAACTGGCGTAGTAATGATACTGAGTCTGTATTCCAACCAGAGGAGAGATAACGTTGTATCAATGTGTCTAGAATAGGTCGAGATGTTCGACATATTTGTGAACCAAAACTGAATATCAAACCCTAAAATACGAAGAGAGACAGACAGACAGACAGACAAATAGATAGACAGAAAGTAGCAACACAAAATACTGCAATGCAATGCATAGTAAACAGTGAATCAAAAGATTAATATTAGATACATTTCATTCAAGTATGGACGCTTCGATGAGATATGAGGGGATTAAACACAATGATATTGGGTTGGCACAGTAGCTACCGGTGGAATCTAAGATGCTCGTGACATTCTATTCGGGGAGTCATCGACTGAATGTATATACATCCTAGGTGAGTGAAGCTATAGCCCCACTAGAGGTGACCCATATGACCTGTAACTGACTTCAGCAACTTAAGGATTGATTCTTTACTAGGGAATAGTCTTCTTGACTTGGAATATACTGGTGATACAGTCCTCCCTCCTAGGTGAAGAGGTTGTCCGAAATGCAGAGTCTTCAGAATGTTTGGTATGCGATTAGATCCTACCAAGCGTGCGGTGATGCTACAGGAATGGACTACATTCACTGCTAGCTTAAAGATAGGCAACAGTGAAGTGGTAGAGCGTGTTGACCATTTCACTTATTTGGCGGGAAGTTGCATCAGCTCCAATGGATTGATCGCTGACGAAATCGCAGCAAGGATACAGAAGGCTCGTGTGCCATTTACTTACTTCATATCTGGGCGTATATGTGATATCCGGCAATCGATCAAAGGACGTGTGTACTGTTTAGCAGTTAGCTCCGGTCTCCTTTTTGGTTGTGAGATATGGTCAATGAAAGTGGAAGACATGAAAAGGCTAGTCTAGCTATCGCCTTTCTCAACGGAAAATGTTAGCTGACATAGGATTAATCAGGTTGGAAAAGAACTAGTGGTGGTCAAACCAAAACACGGCTTCATCGGTCAATGAAATCTATAATAGTTTAAGCTAGCCAGCCAGCCAAGTAGGGAGGTGTAGACTTCCTGACTGGCTGGTTGGAGTCCTCGGGATGGTAAGAACCAATGAAGGCTGAGACAATTGGTGGTATGGCTTAAAATCGTTCTCATTGATGGCACAGATGCATTCACTCTCTATGGTCTGCCGTATCCAATAACAACCCTGTGGTCTTTCCATTTTACTACTCTTTCTCCTAAACATTTCTGTTTATTTTCTTTCCTTCGAATCAGTGGATGACGCTTCGGTGTTTGAAACGATGGTTTACACAAGGTTCTAGTGTGAAGACAAATACTTCCGCCGATGACACTGGCTGGTTGGTGAGGTGCTAAAATTCGTCCATTGAAGTAAGTTAGAAGTCATTGGCTACTGGATTTCATCATAGTGGATGTATAGTCATCGGGCTTGATCCCCAGTGGAATTATGCATGCGTATTGTTGAAGAGTCCCGGTCCAGGGCGAAACACCCTTCCAGTACTACCAAGTTTTCAATGGTAACAATCTGCGATTAGACATCAACTTAACCAAATCCCTACTGGCACACTTTAAAAACACTGATTTATCCTACAAACGATTACTCTCTCTCTCTCTCTTAGTAAGTGATTACAGATGCCAGGTAGAATTTATTCATCAACGTAGACCAGTAAGTATCACTGTGACTATATCAGTGTGTCAGTTTGGCATAGAGACGATGCTCATACTCATTATTCAAAATGGAATAACATAGACATAATAATCATACATGATTTGCACATAAAAGTCAACTTACCTCATACAACGAACGTAATACACTGCCATGATAACCTCGACCAGCTTCAATTAAAGCCCGACATAACGTTCGAAGACTGTAGTGATTAGAAAAAGACAATGGATAACTCACATATTTGACAAAACAACGACTATAATGCATTAAAATGGCAACAGTACTCCAGTTTAACAAACCTGTAAACTCGTAATTCCATCGAAAACAAAAGCGTATTATGGCCTTACAGGCTTGATCACAAGCTGACGTCAGTTAGAAAATCAATGGAAAATCACCAGGGAGTACTGTACAACAGTTTCGTCCTATTTTAGGACCCCTCATCAGTATGCACCCACTGGTGTTCCAACCCAAGACTTTCCAATTGCACGACAGACTCGTAGGCCATTCAGCAGCTAGGACCTCAAGCCCATGACCAACGAATTCCAATTCCTGCCAATTCGAGATATACAGCTCTACCACCTTCTGACTGGGAGGTTCTGGGTTCGAAACCCGGAGACTGCGCATAGATGAAGAGTCCCAAACTAGGACGAAAACAGAACACCTGATCGATTCTCGACATCGGAGGAACTCCTAAACCAACATCAGAGTCATCTATGCAGTAAGCAAAAATCTTACCACAGTTGTAGAAATTAAACTGCTTCAAACCGATGAAGCTATGGCAATCCATATGCCAAATCCTGAATTACGCATACACAACAAGTGTGTTCATCCAAGGAATCCGAAAGTGGATCTCAACAGTTTCAATATTTTTGACGCGTAACTTTTCGCTTTCTATTTCCGGCTATTACACTTTTCCTCGACATTAAGACACTGATCTCAACTTGTCTTTTTTTCAATTTTAATTGAACTGCACTCACCTCTTGTCAAATATGTAACATTACTCGGTTAGCATCTCCCTTATTACGTCATTCAGAGGACCTCCTCATTCTTAATTTAAACCTGAAATTTTAATGACACGCTATCGTAAAACATTCCTTTTGTTGTTATGATGAAAATGTATTACTTATGTACGATTGTACAGCTTGAGAAAAAATCGCGAAAAGAGTACTTATTCGTTGAACGCCACTTCTTTTATCAATAAAGAAAGGTCATAAACTATCTCGTGAATTGTTGATATTACATGCTTGGTGGCAGTTGGCAAGAAGCCCTGTCTTACCTAGGTTTCGTGTTAGTTGGTACTCTCACCAGTCATCAACAAGGCATATCTGCAATCGTGAAAGAACAACTCATCTCCCTTCTGAGATTCGGATGAGTGATTCCCAGTACATTTTTGGATATTCATGTCAGTCTTAACTTGACTGAGAGAATTCATGCAATAAGAACAACAGAGTTCAGTGAAGAGTCTCTTTTCGGCAGCGAATTCATTCACTTAGCTGTACAACTGCATTTAATATATGATTACTTTGTGTGTATATGCGTACATTAGGATTGTCAAACAATAATGAAAATTAGTCAAGGTTATTATTTACGTCATCAAAATGTCTCTAAAATGTGACGAATAATCAAATTGTAACCAGAGGGAGGGTGAAGATTGGTAAGTATTGACAGGGGTTGCATAATATGAATTAGGATGTTAATGGAGACACGTCTCCAAAGACAAATTATGTAATAGGTAGAAAGAGTAAATAAAGGGTTGGTTAAGAAGGAGATATTACTAAGATGTCATACAAAAATTCAAAATAAACAAAAACATTATTAACATAGTCGTAGAACTTGGAATTATACTCAAGGTAGAAGGAGGCGATGGAGAAGTTTCTTCTGTGTACATAAATCACGGTTTTCTATCCGCATCGCTAAGGCCTCGCTTAGCAATACAAAGTATACGGAAGCTAACCGTTTCTGGGAGGCTAATTTTGACTTTGTAGATAACTTTAAATGAATTCTCCGTACACATATTGAGTGACCAGTGTTGACTATATTGTTCAATTATAGCACTGTTTATTGATCCATTGTTACCTTTTCATAGCCAAGCGGGATAATTTTCTTTGACTCTTTTCGATTAAATGTACATCCAATGACCTATATATCTCACTGCACATGAGCAAGTAAACTGGTAGATACACATAGAAGTGGTCAAATGCGATTGTTTATCTTTGGAGATTTTGAAGAACAATTGGCGGCTTAAGAATACCAATCGTAGTGTAGCCATCATCATCACATTTTAGAAACCTTTTGATGATGTAAACAGTAACCCTAACTAATTTTTATTTTATTTTTGTTTGACAATTCTTATGTACACATATACACACAAAATAATCATATATAAATACAATTGTACAGCTAAGTGAATGAATTTGCCGCCGAAAAGAGACTCTTCGATGAACTTTGTTGCACCGATATTGTTAGAATTCAGTCTGAACCAAACAAAGGATTACACATATTACACTAGTAACTAACTAGTGTCCAATCAGAGTATCCAATACAGTCCTATAAGAGGTTAATCACGAGCCCGAACAATGTCCTTGACTGCAAGTGGTACTGGGTGATACACAAAGGTTCGAATCTCAGAAGGAACATGAGTTCGTCCAAGGTTGCACATACACTTTGTTGACTGGTGAGTGCCAACTAGCACGAAACGTAGGTCAGGTGAGGCTTCCTGCCGATTCCCTCCAACCATCTTCTTTTTATTCCTGTGCGTTCCCAGTGGAATCTAGGACTTCCAGCTAGCGGCTTAAAGTTTCGGTAGCAGTGGTAGCCCCATGCCCCCGACCTTCCCTCTTTACCAGTCTTATTACTGGCTTAGCGAGGTAAAAGAGTGCGTCTGTGGCCGGGGATCGAACTCCGGACCACATGCGTGACTGGCAAGCTTTCCTACCACTGTGCCATACACACACATCTCCAACCATCTAATATTAACAATTCATAATACACCTTGATGGCGAGCCACCTAGTGGCATGGTGACCGCGTTGCAAACTTGACCCGATAGAATTCAGTCTGAACCAAACAAAAGACTAGACACATTACAATAGTTATTAACTAGTTTTCAGTCAAAGCAGCAAATCATAAGCTATTGCCGATTCATGAAAGCCCTGAAGTCAAGAATGAATGTCTACAAAGTACATTTTCAAAGTAAATGACAGCGCATAAGCCACCAAGCGGCGTCAGTGACCCTGCCAATAGTCATCTTGAAGTCGATCATAAGTATTGTAGACATCAGTTTCAATGAATACTCGAATGTGAATAACATTCGTTGAGAAAAAGAGCAACTCTTCGTTGAACACCACTCCTCTTTTTCGTATGATTAGTATATCATATGAAGACAAATCTGTTAAACAGAGAATATTATACCAACAGATAATGAATATTAGCTTACCTGAAATGAGGTCTTTGACCAACACCATCTACTAAACCTTCTAAAGCAGCTTGTCTCAATGCTGAATACAGACGTACAATTGTAGCCAGCTGTGATGGAGTTGGATTCAACGCCAATAGATATGAACGTGCCAATGTAGCTAAATCTTCACGATTATTTGATCGTAATATCTCAAGATCACGTTTAACATTTGAATCAGTGATATTATTGACAAAATTATCTGATACACTACTATTAGTATTGCTAGTAGTAGTATTAGTAGAGGTATTAGGATTTGCTTCAACTCCAGGATCTAATTCAGGGACATAGAATTCAGTGAAACGATTACGAAGTCCCACTGGTAATTCACGTTTCCCAACATCTGTAGCTGGATTCATAGCAGCGAATAAATGAAAATCTTTATGACGTTGTACTGGTTCACTGTCACTAAATAAATAAGTAAATATGTAAACATGAGAATAGTAAACGATTAAGCTGGTTGGAAATTTTATTCTACCCTGAATATAGTTAACTTAAGATTGTGAACGTTGTGTCGGTGGTTCAGGGTTCGATTCCCGAACAACAGAGAAAGTTAGGCGTCAGGTTTTGGTGAGAGCTGTCTGCTAGCCAAAATTGGTCGACACCAATTTAAATCAATGTTTACGTCCCATATCTTGGTCATGACAAAAAAAACAAAAATAAAGACTAACTGAACAACCAATCACAGCAGACTTTGCGTGGGTGGATACGATTAGCAGATATATCACCGGACTGTCCAAGAAACGGCAACATAGAGATGACAGAATAACCTTCAGCAGGAAAACAACCAATCAGAAGAGGTTGCTTCTCTGCTAACAATAACGCTAAAAATACGGTACATAAAAATCTATAAATATCTGTTGATTTTCGCAATAAACGATCTGTTGCCTGACCCTTGTCTTCTGTCGTTACAAGGTTAGCAGTTTCACCCGGTAAAAAAAACCAGTGTTGCTGCAACTAGAGAATACTTACCCTCGTTCTGTTAGCACAAGACTTCCTCTCTCTGAATCCAATAAACCACTTAGTGAATCAAGCATTTCAGCTGGAGCTAAATTGATTTCATCCAATAATATCCAATCACCGTCTTGTACAGCACGAACTAATGCACCTTCGATAAAGGCGAATCCAAGTCCAGGTTTATTTGACTTGGTTATATTTTCAAAACGTTTCTCTAACATATTCAACTCATTTAAAAGTTTAACCCATGCTGAAGAATCTGAAGAATCCCGTTGAACAGCGACACGTGCTGGATGACGCATTAAGGTGATTAAATCAAGCCAACGTTCTGATGTGAAACAAGTCTATTAGTGAAAAAAAACGACAACAACAACAGTAGCATAAACATCTAAACATAATTGTGAGTACAACTCAAAAAAGACAGAGTATTACATTACTAATTTTCATGAGTTAGTTTGTAGGGATTTATGTTTTTCAAGTTTGACCACAGATTGATATCAGTTAGGGAACCATTGAAAGCCAGCTGATGGGAGTAATGGACATGGGTCACTGAATCGGGTCCCCGTCGCATCATAATGATCTATAAGTGCTTGACTTTTAACCAGAAGGTCTTGCATTCGAACCCTAGGGGTGAGTACTGCCGATGAGCTCCAAACTGGTGGGACGAAACAGCTGTCCAGTACTCCCAGTTGATGTTTAATGGTTCTTTAACTGATATCAATCCTTGGTCAAACTTGAAACAAATCAAAACCTACAAAGCATACTCTTGAAAATTAATCTCATGTTCTCTGGTGAAAACTACCTACAGAACGAAATCGCCCGGAGTTCTAGTGAGAAATTGAAACCAGTGTGGTCCATCCGGTCGGGAGTGAAGACAAATACTCGCCAAGGATGAAAATGGTAGGTGCTATCAATCCGTCGTCAAAACTGAAACATTACTAAAGCAAATTTCGCACTATATGGCACTCATCAGTAGTAAGCATATATACACGATGCCTCAAAGATTTCACTATGTATGTTGAATTAATGCTGAAATCTGAAACGTTAAATCTGTGCTAAAACTGATTAGTACAGGTATCGTTAGATTGAATAAAGTGGTTAATCTCAGCGTAGAAGAATAGAATGTTATAACTGTTGACTGAACACTATTCACCAAGGTGTCATCTGGTTTCACTTGTTGTTAGTTTGATAAACTGTTAGTTTGAATTAAAACTAATTATTTGTACAAAGGGTGATGCCGGGGCAACGGATAGCGGCACACACTGCTTTGTGGAGTCCCTGAGCACTTGAAATTCGCTTATACGCATTGTGATCGGTGGATTTTCGTGTGCGTAAACATTGCGGCTAACATGCAGTAAGCGTTAACTGAGATGAGCTTTGAAATCGTATATGGACATTATATACATATATTTCTGATGCACTTACGACATATGCCAATTCGATGATAATTAGGTGTTCGGTGAAAATGCTTAAAACGATTGTTTTTCACTAATTTTACAAGTTTTCCAGTTAAAATATAGCACTTATAATGCATTTCAGTCGGAAAATGTGCATGAAAAGAACGTAAAAAACAATCCAAATACAATATCATAATAACAGCTGACTTCTGCACCAATCAGTTGATGTGAGCCGCTATCCTTTGATGTGATACAGCTGATTGGTCTAAGCACTCAAATTCTAGTCTAACCAGTAGGTCAAGGTTTTGAATCCCTCTTCGTCCACCAAGATTTCGGCTGACAAGTAACATAACAAACCCTCAGACAATAGGTGGATCATTGCCGAATGGGCATAGAATTCCAAAAGGTTTTTGAGTAACGAAACTATCCGGAATAGACTAACCAGCTGAATTTCAACATAAAACTTTGCACAGAAATGAAACAGTTTCGGTTGACGCGAACAGATCTTTGGGATATCAAGCTATGAAGCCCGAGAAGCCTGAAGTCTTACCCTTCCACTCGGAACGAAAAAGGATGAAAAAGCACATCTCCACATGGATATCGACTAGTGACATCAATCTCCTTTCAAAAAAAGAGGGGGGGGGTCAACCCAAAACTACTACTCCACCATAAGAAGGCAAGTGAGACAGAGATCACAAATAACAACACCAAATCAACAAAGACAGCAAAAGTGAAACATTGGATAAACTTACATTTATATGATTCAAAAAAGTTGCATTACTATCCAACTTAAATGTACAACTAAAAAGAGATTCAAATTTTTCACGTATTGGTCGAACAAACACTTGAAAGTCGACAGGTTTAAACCTGAAAAGAAAAGAAAAGAAAAAAAGAGGGAAAATACAAATCCACGAGGAAAAATAATGTTAAGTAGGATAAATATAAATGTGTCATTATTTGTGTTTGTTGGGGAAAGATATGCAGCGTCGGTGGCACAGTGGTAGAATGCTCGCCAACCACGCTGGTTCAATTCCCGGCCACTGGACGTACTCCTTTACCTCACTAAGTCAGTGATAAGACTGGTAAAGAGGGAAGGTTGGGGGGAGGGACATGAGGCAAGCAACCCCATCCCGTAAAAATAAAATCAGCCCATTGCTTTCGAAACTTCAAAGCTCTGGCTTGAAGCCCTACGCTCGACCGAGAACGTAAAGGAGTTGGAAACGAGGAGAAAGATATAACACATAGAGAGAGGGACAGAGAAAGAGAGAGGTAAGACAAAAGTATGGAATATACACCATACAGACATGCATACATACTACAGCTGTCTTCGTTCCTTACTGAAGATCAGATCGACGATAGAAAAGGATTGACAGCAAGGAAGTCTAGCAACGAATCAACCAACCAATCAACAAACAAACAAACAAACAACTGCTACTTAACAAATTTGGCCAAAGAAATGGTGATGGATTGAAGACACACTGAAGAGACTATGTGAAGGATACCACGTGCGCCAGACACATCATCGAATGGGATCCGGAATGGGAAACGACAAGGTGTACGTGAATCCGAGGATGACATGAAGGAAACTGTGTGAGGACGAAATGAAAGCTGATGGGCAGTCGAGGAGCCAACCAAAAAAGACTATCGAGAACAGAATGAAAGTGGGATGTAGTGCTGAAGCCGTATGTTTATTATTATTATTATTCCCTTGGGTTTCGAGTGTTACGTATGCCTAGCCATCGTCTTCCTCGACCGACGGGCAATGTTAGCTGACATAGGGTCAGGTTGGAAAAGACCCAGTGGTGGTCACACCAAAACATGGCTTCATCAGTCAATCAAATCCACAACAGTTAGTTTAAACCATGTAGGAAGGTGTAGAGTTCCTGACTGGTTGTGGTCCTCGGGACGGTTAACACCAATGAATACTGGAGACAATTGGTGATATGACTGGCTCAAAATCGTTCTCAATGGTGGGCGCAGATGCATCCACTCCTTGTGACTTATAATTTCCAATAAAACTATATTATTCTTCGATATTATTATTCTATTTGCCTCATATTTCTGTTTACTGTCACTATTTTGCATTTCTTTTCTTGCTTTGTGTGCTACATGGAGTGTGGTGACTTGAACTGCAAAGTTCTCTGTTGAAAACAAACAGAAGACAGTTTCGAGTGGAAAATAGGGCTTCAACAGTGTTACTGTTGTTGTTGATGATGTCGGTCGGTCGGTTGGTTTTCGACATAGAACTTTGCACATATGTGCGGCAGTACAAGTCGCCACACTCCATGTAGCACACAAAGCAAGAGAAGAAAGTAGGAGAAATGCATAATATAGACAGTAAACAGAGGTGTGAGACAAAGGAATAGTAATAACGAAGAACAGAACAGTTTCATTGGAAATATTTGTTGAGTTGTTGACGTGCGATTAGGAGAGATTAGCCAGCGCATTAAGTTAGTATTCATTCACAGTCTACTAGTTCGTAGTTCCGGTCATAACAAACAGTACATATCCAATTTGGCCTATTCTCTGAGGTCCTCTCCAACTGGTGCCATGACAACCCATAGTCTATCATTTTTCCTTCTTTCCACAGGATCTCATCTATGCCCGCCTCCGACTAATGGCCAACTTGTGTGGTTTCCCAGTCGGGTTCCACTCAAGCGACAGCCTAGTGCGCAATATCAACCGACAGCCTTCCCAGCGTTCGTTCGATCCATCTCAACTTTCTTCTACACATTTGATGAGCTTTAGGATTTTGGTTGGTTTATTCCCATAGTTTCTCGTTGGTCGGTCATGTGATCTTCAGTACACAGACGGAGAAGGCTGTTGTTGACAAAAGTCTGCAGTAGCATGTTGGAAATGTTGGAAGTCCCATACCCATATAGAAGAAGTGACTGACTTAACATTGGTGTTGAAAATCCCAATTTTGTTATTTACGCTGCGCAGCGTAGAATATTTCGAAACTGATTTCGGAGTACTGAAGATTTGTCTTGCCTTTCCGATTCTAACCGGCTTTGACATCTTCATCCGTCCGGCCAGTCGTTGAAATGATTCTTCCCAGATAAGTGAACGAAGTAACCTCTTTCAAATTTCTCCCGTTGATAGTGATTGGTGCTTCTTGTTGTCACTGTTGTTTGGTTATCTTCATCATCTCCGTCTTCCCTACGTTCACTTAAAGGCCCATCCTCGATGCCTACTTCTTCTTCCAGTTTGTTGTCCTTCGCCTGCCGGCAAGTCTTTCAGTTTGTGTGACACTAAACGACATAAATCATCCACGCACGAAATCCAGATCTTCTAGAGTCTTCTTATCAGTCCAACAAATTCCTGTCTTCTCGTTCCACACACACACACCGTGTACCGCATAATCCAGTCCACCACAATTAAGAATATCACCGGTGATAATAGACAGCCTATTCTCACTCCTGTAAACACTTCACAGGCTTCACTGAGTTTCCCGTTGTGGATCACCACATTTACTAGGTATTATTATATTCATATTAATAGTACAGAAAAATATTAAAGAGGAAAACGTACCCTCCCATTAGATCTACACTATCCGACTGTTGATTCAAATTAATCACCTTTAAACGATGACCAGTAAGATAGGCTAATCGTTGGACAGTGGATGTTTTACCAGTTCCTGTTTCACCAACAAGTAGAACAGGTTCTTTGTGTTTTACAGCAACTGCTATTCTCTCTAACAATGAGCATGATAGACGTGTTGAAGCAAACGGCCAAATTAGATCATTAGAACTTTGAAGCATTGAATTCCCTCTGTAAAGAAAATAAAATTTTTTTAAATTTTAAACAAAAAGACTCAAAACAATTTAAACAAACTAACAAAATGATGACAACTCCAAATTACTAAATAGATAGCCAACCAATCAGTCAACAATCTTCTCTACTGCCCAACATATATGCAAAAGGTAAGGGAGATGATAGATTACACATACACACTGAAGAGACTTTTACACGTCAGACTCTCGAGTAGAATCCAAATGAGCAGCGATGAGTTGGGCGTCCGAAAAACCTGATTGATTGGTTTCCCTCCCTTACCTAGCCACCATTTTGTACGTCTAACCTCAACACTGTTCACCATATTAAACCATATACCACTTGATACGGGAGATAGAATTCAAACACCTATTGACAAATTAGAAGTTAACTGGTGAATGGTGACTAGCAGTGGAATCTAGGATGCTCATTTCGTCCTAATTGGGACTCGTCATCGGGATGTACCTGAATTCTGTATGTAAATCTAAAATTGAACTAAATAATTAATATGACCCGTTGCACAAGAGGTGCCTCTCATGGCCCAAGTGGTCTAGTGGATAACGCTTCGGTGTTTGAAACTGTAGGCACTGGGTTCTAGCCTCGGTGGGAACATCATCACTCACTGAAGAATGCAGGTACATCTAGCCAGTTAACGAGTCCTAAATGGGACGAAATGCTCATCCTGCATTCCACTGCTAGTCACAATCCACCAATTAACTTCCCTATTTCTAAGCTAGAAGTCAATGTAGTCCAGTCCTATAGCATCACCATCATCATTGTCATCAATAAATACACCTTTCAGACATCAGTGTCATATTCTCCCTTCGTTCGTTGGGTCCAGTTTAAATGGGTCAGGCTAAAGAAAGAGTCACCTGCTAGGTGAAGTGGTCAGAGCCAGGATAGATGGCTACACATTAATTGTGAGGGTTATTTCTAGTCAAAACCAACTGGAAGCGAGATCGAAACCGTACATTCAAGCAGTCGAACCTAATTTGGTTTCCTAGTAAGTAACCGCCAACGTTGTAACGAACAACAGAAATTTCAACAATAAAAAAAAGAAAACAGCAAAAGTTTTATAACAACAACAACAACTCTTACCCAGCTATTTGAATCTCCCATTCCGGACTTCTTCGACATTGTAGAATAATTCGACCAATTTGTAAAATACTCTTCTGAGTGTGTAAATTAATACCGATTGATCGACAGCATAGAATATTTCTTGCCTGAAAAAATTTTTTTGATTGGGAATATTGATAGAATATATAAATACTGGTAGAATTAAATGTGTCTACACACACAAACAAAGAAATTTGACCATTATACAAATTTGTGTGTGTGTGTGTCGGTGGTTCAGTGGTAGAGCGTTGGCCGACCATGCACGTGGTTCCGGGCTCAAGTCCCGGCAGGCGCACACCTTTACTTCCCGCTTAGCTGGACAACGAGGGAAAGTTGGGGGGTATGAGGTTAGCAACCCCACCCCGTAAAAATAAATACCACTGCTACTGAAACTTCAAAGCTCTAGCGTGAAACCCTATTTTCCATCGGGAACGTAAAGGAATAAAAATTGAAAATCAAATCTGTGTACTGTACTAGGGGTATGAACTACCATGAGATGTTATTGATGAAACAATCCAAGTACATTAATTGTCATCCTATATACTATGCCAGTTGTAGACATAGGAAAGAATCACCAAACAAAAATACAGTTTTATTGGGAGCATTTAATCTCAATGAATATTGTATTTCCCGTTGATCGATTCTCACTACGACACTGTACAACAATGTCTCAAGGTTAATTCATGAAGTTATTTAGATAGATAATGGTGGCTGACAACAGCAGTGGATTCCATCACATGCATTTCATCGTATTTTGGACTTGTCAGCTGGATGCATCTGCAATACAAGTCCAAAGCCTTATCCACTGGACGACATGAGCCACAAGAACCACCTCTCTTATGAGGACAGTATCATTCACTAAGGGGATGCAGGGCATATCTCTAGCTGATGATTTTCAACTAAACAGCATTACGCATGTTACCCTGAGGTTTATTTTACACCGTTAAACTGTTCACCAATTATAAATTACAAAAAGAAAGTGTTTGAGTTAATTCTAAACGGCCATTTGCATTTTCCATACAGTTAGCCAGTAATGATTCATGCCCACGTGACTGTTGAAACACCAATGCGACGAGGGAGTTGAATTTGAACCCATGGTCGGAAGTTGAATGAATAGACCAGTTCAAGTTACAGCTATACAATAATTACTAGTAGATTTGGTCATGAACTGACATCGCTTAGAGAACTACAGAAAAACTAGCACTAGAGTGCTTGACAGCTGTTTCGTCAGCCTAGTTCCGAACTCTTCACCAGTACGCACCAAGCGTGGTTCGAACCCATGGGCCTTCCAGTTACAAGAGGAGTTCGCAAACCATTAAGCCACTGGGACCCGATCCAATGGCCAGTCTATGAATTCCAACTTTTGCCAATTCCTGATATGGTACGACCACTAAAGAATGTCATCCGCGACTAGTATTTGTCCTCACACCCGACCAGCTGAACCCCACTGGTCACGACTTCCCACTAGAACCCAGGTAACTAAGTACATGAATACGGTCTACCATGACCGTTGTAAAATTGGAGATAGTGGTTTAGAAAAACAAGTCTGATGTTAAGTATCTTGGGCTAATTCTTTCTTCCCAGTCTTCTTACATGATTTCTAGTAAAATATTCCATCTGACATTTTAAATTAAGAAGTTAAGACACTTAGGTATAACTCAACCCCTCCTCCTCTAACAGTTTATCAACTCTTGCATCATACCTGTTCTTCTTTATTGTTCACCCTTATTCGTTCCTGCATTGCTTAAAAGAAAGACTATGTCATACTTCGTAGGACTCTGAAGACTGTCAGTAGGGCAAGTGGTATCCCAGTGGGCCATATTGTTGACATCGTCATTGACAGGCGCTTAATTTCATGCAAAAATTTGCTCAAGGGATTTTGTCAGACTCTGAACGTTCACTTTACCCGCAGCTTTCACCTTGTGTCTCCTCAGGTAAAACAAAAGGTCATTTCAAAAGACTTTATGTAGGCACGTCTGAGCATAAAAATTCCACGATACCATATTTGGAACGTATTTTATGTTATGACAATAGTGTAAGGCACGAACTTAACTAACTAACCTTCTTTCCACTAGTAAATAAACCATTTGCTCCATCCTTATACTATCAAGTTTTACTGTTATTATTATTCTTATATTTATAGTCCTCTCATTTTTTTGTTTACTTTTTTTCATAAGTGTAAACATCATTTAAACTCTGTAATAATTGTCAAATGTTGCTTTTCCCAACCATGCTATGTCAAGAGAATATTAGATTCAATATAATATAACACGCTAAGATTCCCATACTGTAAAGACAATACCGTTTGAAACAAACCTACTGTTATTATGAGCACTATCACTATTTATTATTATGGTTACTATTCTCATTTTATACTCTCCACATTTTTGACACTATTCCCAGTGCAAATGTGGAAAGGTGCCTGCGGTTAATTTTATTTACATTTTGAGTAAATTAGATGCAATATTGTGACAAATGTGTGCGCCGGTGTCACGGCGGTAAAATGCTCGCCGACCAAGCAGGTGGTTTGGTGTTCGATCCCCGGCCACTGACGCACTCCCTTACCTCGCTAAGCCGGTAATAAGACTGGTAAAGAGGGAAGTTTGAGCATGAGGCTAGCAACTCCATCCCTTAAAAATAAAACACCACTGCTACCAAAAATTCAAGCCTCTAGCCTGGAGCCCTATGTTCCCCCAGGATCGTGAAGGATATAATAATAATAATAATAATAATAATAATAATAATAATAATAATTGTGACAAATGCTGAAAATTCTATGCTGTACTATAAGCACTGCTGTTTTTGGAATCAAGCAGGTCACTATTATCATCATTGTTATTATTATTATTATTGTGTCCATAGACTCGGAGATCAATCATACTGCTTAATTAGACTATTCACTAGCAATAAACGATCACTCAAACCTTCATAAGATGCAGTATGATGGAGCAGTAATCCTGTCACCATCCATGAGTTGAATCACAGCTTGCGCATATGACAATTAACATCTGGTGTACAACGCCCTTTATGCATCCTGGGATTTCAGTGTCTATACAACGAAAAACAACATAACTACACAATAATATTAAAACTGTGCAATACACTTACATTTTCTACAGTGAAATTTAATTCTCCAGCTAACCGACAAGCTAATTCCAATTGTTTAACAGAATTACACATTGAGCATAAGAAACAATCCACTGCATTCAGCAGTAATAATTCACCGAAATTCTCTTTCTCTGTTAACATTGATATACGTGAACAGAATTTCAATAAATCTCTCACAGAAATTCCACGTATTCGTGAAGCATTATTATGACTATTATTTACATTGGTGTTAGCATTTTGAAAAGCATCCACAATGAACAAGTAGATCTTCATGATACGATCAATGAAAGGTGTAAGCGTAGGATACTGCTGATTAATTAACTATACAAAAGGAAGTAAGGAAAGAAGGATAGATTAATAAATTTTCTGTTAGAACTCATAACAATGATGATGAAAAAGGCAATGTTACTCAACAGCCCTTTGGAATTCCATACCCAGTTGACACCTGACTGACTGCGCAAACTTTGGTAAGTGGAGTGGCGTTCGGACCCACAACCCCGTCGGTGGCTGGAAGTACCTTGACTCATGAGCAACAGCTTCATTTATGGAAGGAAACAATTTACCGGGAGCAGGTTTGTCATGTGCTAGGCTTTAGGCGCTAAGGATACTACCTGATGATAGCACAGGCTGAAGTAGATGGAGCAGAATTCAAACCTTAAAACTCATTAGCTAACAATCACGCATTTCAACTAGTAAATAATTCAAACTACACTAGTTAGTAACTAGTGTGGTGTTCAGTCTTTTTTCTTGGTACAGACTGAATTCTATCAGTCAAGTTTGCAATGCGGTTACCATACCACTAGGTGGTTTGCTATCACGGTGCACCTTGAACTGTTAATATTAGATGGGTGGAGTCAATCGGCAGGAAGCCTTGCCTGACCTAGGTTTCGTGCTAGTTGGCACTCACCAGTCAGTCAGCAAGGCGTATCTGCAACCTTGAACGAAGTCATGTCCCTACTGAGATTGGAACCCGTGTGTGTCATCCAGTATCACCTGCAGCCAGAGACCTTACCACTGAGCTATTCGGGCTCGCAACTGTATTGGATACTTTGGTTGGACACTGGTTAATAACGTCTCTGACTGTATCACTGGGTGACGCGTGTTCGAATCTCAAAAGGGACATGAGTTGTTCCTACACGTTTGCATATACGCCTTGCTGAACAGTTCCGGCAAACAAGCACGAAACCTAGGTCAAGCAAGGCTTCCTGATGATTGCCTCCAACCATCTGATTCAAACTATTTTATATTACTGACTACGCCTAATACAATGAACATGTTGTATGGACACGCATACGTGTTCAGAAAGTCAAACAATTAACTAACTTATTCTCTTTCTAAAAAATTAACACAGAGGTTGCAATTAAAATTAAGCATTGATAAACACCACTAAACACATACAGTAGTTTACACTTCGTGTCTACACATCAAACAAATGGTAGTAAAGGATTAATTGACTAAGTTTCAACATTAACTTTCGCACAGAAGTGAAGCAGTTCAACTTGTCACACTACATGCACTGCACAAAGATAGAGAAAAGAGAGGCAGCAAGAAAATGAAAAGAACTATAATCACCAGAAATGTATGGGATAAGACAAAGATTTAATGAGTCTTAGAAGTGACACGAAATCAATAGTTCCAAGCCATATAACAAACAGTCACCAACTATTGGTTCTTAGTAACTCGAAGATCTCGACGAGGCAGTCTACATCTCTCTCTTCATGGCTTAAACCAACTGCCAGAGACTTCATAGACTGGTGTCAGGTTTTGACTCAAAGACTACTGCCTTGAGTCCCACTCCCGTGAACAATCAGATTGAAAGTCTGATGCTATACCGAACTGAGCTAACCAAGCCAAGAGCTGCCAGATAGTTGTAAATAACAAGTAGATACATCTAGACAAACATAAAACAGTCGTCTACCGAACACCTAAACACACATTAACAATGAAAAGTAATAAGATACCAAGTCACCCATACATAAATTTCACGTCATACCCAAACTAGAAGGACAAGTTGACGAGAGTAACTTGGGGGAAAAAAGAGGGAACCATAATGCACCCATATCAATCCAACTAACTTTGAAATAGTCAAGTGTCAGTGAACCCATTATGAACAAATAATTTAATACAAAGAAATGCTATAATGTGTATAATGAATCCCAATAAACTAAAATGAAGGTTGACATCATGGCCTATAAAATAATATATGTGTATACACGTTAACTTACAAGATATATCTCATCCTTAGAAAAATTTGGTAATGTTATTACAAAACAATAACGATCTAGTAGATCAATCAAAGGATTTACATATTCTTGACGAAAATCTCCTCCCTGACATGTAACAAAACGTCGAGTCATAAGAAGACGGAAATTTTTATGCTGATTAATAGGATTCCCATTGACAGGATCAACTAATACACCGTTATTCAGACTACTTGAACAATCTTTCAACTTTCTTAAAACAGAAGTAATTAATAACTGTAGTTCAGCAGAGCCACGATCAATATCTTCAAGTATCAATGCATAACCTTGTTTCATCGCTGAAATCAATGGACCTGGACGCCATATAAATTGTCCAGGTACTTCAGTGCAACAATATGCCCCTAAGAGTGTCTAGAAAAGTAAAATAAAAAAGCATGGTAATTCATAAATTTGTAAAAATAAAGAACAGAATATTTATATACGTATCCTGAATACACATCTTTTTGTGCTACTGATATTCTTAAAAACACTGAATAGATTTGTCGTTAATTGAACAAAAAAACCCAACTATTAACTAGAGATTTATGGCTAATGACTTAGTGATTTTTGAACAGCTCCATAATAACTAAGTTTCGTCAGGCTGTAAGTGTACGTTTACTTAAAAATATTAAATATCTAGTATGATAACACATAAAGGTGATCTTGTCCACGGAGGTGAAACATTTTACAACCGATTCTTTTACTAACCATATTTGTCAACATCTTAAAACATCTTCGAAAAATTACAAATCACATAGATATGGTTAATACTGAGGAAAACTTTTCAAAGGATACAATGAAACACGTTTGAATACATTATATTGTATGACATTAGCAGTACTACTCGACTTGAACTTCTACTTAATCTCAGGTTGGGACAAGTGCAATATGCGAGTCAATGATTATGTATACGCCAATACTTTCACTTTATATAATGTCTGACAGTTGTATTGCTTAATCAGTCTTTTCAGCTTTTGGTCATAACCGTCTGAGTAGAATTTGGGCACTACGGTTGGATAAAACTTCATATCAGACACAACACAGTTATGCTATTAATAACTCTACGAAGTCTGGAGAATAATAAATCGATGTTACTATTCTTTTTGTCTCTGTTTACGGTCTCTATTTTGCGTTTCTTTTACTTTCTTCTCTGGCTATGTGTGCTGAGCCAAGTATGGCGACTCGAACTGCTGAACATCAGTGCAAAGTTCTATGTTGAAACCAGTCAGTCCGTCATATCGCCTACAATCATATCACCTAGGTTCATGGGCTTATAAGCATCAACACAGCTAGAAATTTAATGTACTTTCAATTTCATCCTACTCAAAAGGATAATAGTATTAATTACTTATCAATAACTTAGAGAACAAAGGGACTCAAAACAATCGAGATTCAGAAATAATCACATAAGACACACAAAATGCACGTCCATTTATTCTTTAATCGGATTTCATCTTACTTTGGCATCAGTTTGTTCACTTATTTGAATGCTATGTACTTTGCAACAAAATTCTTTCGCCAAATTATTCACGAAAGTTGATTTTCCACAACCAACAGGACCTCCGATAAGGACAGCTTCATATCTGTCTAACGAATTCTTGGCAGCATTAAGAGTATTCTCCAAACGTGTAAGCATTACAGGAGAATATTCTGCATTCCTAATTCACAAAATGAATTCGAGGCATTACACAAAAGACAAACTACCTTTCAACTAGTGTTATAGTGGTATCTTCAGAGTCTTGCTCTGCAGTATGCTCACCTTGTTCATTTGAAGCTTTTAATTTACGCTTATTTCTACAACCGAAAACAATAAATTAATGAGAGAGACCGACCTTCTAACCATGCTGCTTCTCAAATTACACACCAACCTACAGCTGGTATTTCTATTGGTCGGCTGAAGATGAAGGATTTGCAGGCTTGAAGGTCACAGTAATTTCCAACATCCGAAAACGTTTTACCCTATTAAACGTGAATATTCTTATTCATACTTTGCCTACTTCAAACTTTTAACTCTTCATTCGTCTTCACTTAGTTCCTTCAACTAATATTTACCATTTACCATAGTGTTGGTTTGAAGGAAGTCAATTAACACATAATCTGTTAACACTAACAGAAAACTATGAAGGAAAGAGACATTAATAGACCCACTTACTTCATTACAAAACAAAGGGCAATCTACATATAACAGTGTGTAAGGGTTCGGGGGAAACTGAATTTAATCCACCAATAAGGAACGCACCACGGCATCCTGAGTCGGTCACTGGAAAATGTCAAAACACATCATTTAGATAATTAAGTGTTTTTTTAGAGGCAAAATATGTAAAATATGCAAACCACATATGTCCAGTGATTTCAAATTTTAACTGTGCTGAAGAACTCAAGAGTTTTCTGGAGTCTAGTGAGATAATCGGCTCTTCAGTACCTTACGCCAGCATTAATGACCATGCCACACAGAAGTGCTAGACATTTAAAGGGCTATCATGGCATCCGCTGATGACGTTTCATACAGTACGTCATCTAATGATATGCCTGATGACCAGGCACACCAGGCATCTTCGCTTGAGTAAACAAATATTTGTGAAGTAACCGGCGGCCTGCTTAAAATTTTGGCTACCAACAATCAGTTCCATCATTTTGTATAGAATTTCTTTGGCTGCATCTCGTTTTAGTCTTTTAAAATATGATAGATAATGGAATTATTTACTGTCGTGCATTCAAAATTTTTGCAACCCGCTTGCTCATAGGTTTCTACGAAACTTGGAAAAAAGCATAGTCGTGGCTGTCAACGTATCCCAGTACTTGAGTTAACTGTTCCTGAGTTATCTTCTTGTGCCTCAGAATGTTATCCTGAAAGTTTTGCGGCTGTCTTCAAAGCAAACGTCGTGCATTTATTGAGGGAGACAAAGAAGGATTATCATAAGAGATTGGCCTTCTATTTTGGTCATATAGCACAGAACCACAAGATCCGCTGTGATTAGTATTTGATCTGAAGATCCTGTATGAAGAGAAAATACAACTCAGTCAACTCTGCTGAAAATCTTTAACATTACATGAACACTGTACAAAACGAAACTTCATATCATTATAATTAGGGTTACCTTTGTGGATACTGAAACCGTAGACGTAGATATATCAACAGGAAATAATTTTGAAATGCTTCTTTTGTTTACTGAAACGAATTCAGAGAGCTTAAAAAAATCGGTCCCCACCTGCAGACATCAGCTTTAAAGCTGCCTTTCAAAATACTGCATGGTCTATTCGATCAGGAACATATAGTTGCTCGTTCACTTTTTAATGAACTTACTAGAGATTCTCAAACCATTATCATGACTGGAGGTGATCTCACCAGCTTTGCGGTAAGACCTCGCAATGCTCAAATCATGCTGAGTAACACCAGATACGCCTCTGGTTTGAACCCTCCCATAAGTTTTGGACGAGTTATTAGACGTCTCCCTACTTAAAAACGAGCGAAATGGGCTGACGTGGCTAACGAAATTCAGTTGATGGTAGGGAGCGTGAATTCGAGAATTTGGAAGAAAGAGCACAAGTTACTCGGACACGCTATGAAATATTGCTGCAGAGAAACCATATTCTGTGTCTCACTACAGTTTGGTTGAAAGGTCCGCTAAAAGACAACCCAAGAGTGTTTTAGATGGATCTAAAATTCGCATTTTCTGCAGTTTCTCACAGCCTAGTAGATCGTCTCAAACTAAAGGATATGAGCTTTGAGGAGAGGTGAAAAACCATGAGGAGGTCATTGGTTTGCTACGATTTTTCACAAAATAATAATATTTTATTCACATAAATGAAGCATTTACGTGATTGACATACTGTTTGTACAGGCATGATCATATTTGACAAGTGCAATTTGAAATGGAACACTGTTATATTATATTATATACATATTAAAAATGTAAGGAAATAAGAGATTTGAAGTCTGCCTCCCAGATTTTAGGTATAAACATATGGGAACGAAGGGACAGTATGAAATGGTGCGAAAAACACCACATGAAGATATATAATTACATATATATATGCACAAAAAGAGACGGCAGTTAATTATAATAGACGGTTCATAGGAATTTGACTACACAGTATTATAGTAACAGAACAGTAAAATAAAATCATTTAATATCTAAAACTCACAGTGTAGTTAAGCTGATTTTTTAGACGATCCCGCGTTGGGCCGGAATTTACGTAGACGTAGATGGTATTCACTCACAATATTAGTTAGTCTCCAGAAAAGATTTTAATCCTGGTCATATTCAGGCTGTTTACTACTCGATTTTGAGATAGAACTCTTACCACACTGGAATGCCCAAAAAACAGCATCGCCAGGGATTTTCGCTATAGTATTTGATTAATTTGGTAACAAGCAGCTGGGGTTAAATGAAGTTGAGTGACTGTAAAGGTATGGCAGATGAGGCTGGCAAATTTTTTCAGGCGATGGAGATGTGTTTGCATAGAGGGTAATTCATGTAGATTCGGTGCAACTTTCGTGGTGAGTTTGTTGGAATGTGTATTCCACTCCAGGTGTGTATGAAAGGATTGCGGCTATTTTGAGATGAGGTTTGCTAAACAAATAACTGAATCAACTAAAAAAGGAACTAAGAACAGTATTAGTGCAGTGTTGATTATATTAAATAAGTATGATAACACTGGCCATTTCTGTTGATACGTTGAGTAAACAGAGATGTTTAGGCAGGTAAGTCGAAGGGGAAAGAAACAATAACACGAATTTTCAGCACGTGGCAAACTGTATCAAGACTATTTTTGGGGAAATACTTATTTAATAGATGACTGAATCGTTTTATTGTGGTGCTGGTTTTGATTTCACTTGGCGAGAAGTTCCGTATTTGCCTATATTTCACTCTAAAGAAGCTAAAACGAGACTTCGTTCGAAAAAGAATATGACTTAGAGAAGACCCGTTGCTTCATAGTTCAGACGTCGAAGAAGTAAAGTGAAGGTTATTATTAAGAAAGTGTACTATTCCTTTGAGAATTTTGAATAGGAGAATGAGGTTAAGTCGGTGGCGCCTCAACCGAAGGAGTTCGATCTTAAGAGTTGTGCAACGATAGTTGTAGGGAACTTTCAGAATTGTCCCTACGATTCTACTTGTAAATCTCCTTTTGACACTTTCAATCTTTAGTTTGTCTTTAACGGAGGTGCTGTCTGGGATATATGGACAGTACTCAAGCAGGGGCCGCACGTGCGTTTTATAAAGTAGCATTTTAGATTCTTGGGTTTGAAAGTTATGAAATATAAATCCAAGTAATCTTCTGGCTTTAGAAACTTGGTTGGTGACACACAGAGAGAATTTAAAATCAGCAGAGTAACGGAGCCTGAGGTCAAGTACAGAAGGAAAGATAGTGATTAGCTTGTCGTATATAATAATAAAAATAACTTATATTTCGTATAAACGGGTAAGTTTACATGAAATGCATGTTGCGATACGAAGGCTAGCTGAGCATAACAGACCGCACTTCTCCACGTTGATCTGCATCATCCACGATTTACACCAAGTCTTAATATTACCAAAATCCAACTGGATTTTATGAAACAGATTTTTCACTTCTTGGCTGGTACTGTATTAGACCACCTTCAAGTCTTTGGAATGTAAGAAGGGTCATTTAGGTATATAAGAAATAATAGAGGCCCTAGTACACTGCCTTGAATTACGCCACTTTATATAGGAGTGGTACTAGAAAAAGTGTCGTTAATCTTAACAGATTTGGACCAACCACATATAAATGAATTACACCACCGTAAGAGATTGCCTTGAGTTTTTCAGGAGTAAACTATGACATACTTTATCGACTGCCTTCTTGAGACCAATATACATAATGAGCACAGCGAATTTTTTGTCAGTCAGTCCAGTTATAAAACCAAATAGTTCCAAGTGGTAAGCCATACATGACCGGGACTTTATAAAACCATACTGAGAAGGTGTTATGAGGTTTTCAGTCAATAAAAAGTCAGTGATTGTGGCACTGAATATCTTCTCAGGTATCCTTGACAAGACAGATGTTATATTTATTGGCCCGTAATTCTTCACATCATATTTTGAGCCGGATATAAATCTAGGGATAATATATGTCTGCTTCCATTTGGGAGGATAAACTCCATTTATAAGGGATGCTGAGAGTATTCTAAGCAGAAGGAGAGAGGGATCGGAGCCACCGCTTTTTAGGAAGAATGAGGAAATTGAGTCAGGTCCAGGAGTATTGCAGAATCTCAATGAACGTACTGCACTTTTTGTAACATCAACAGTCGAGCATATATTTGACAGTGTATTGCCTGTTACAGAGTCCAAGTCGATGCATGTAGAAATATCGTGTGTGTGTTATGAGTCAGGAAGGTGCTTGTTAAAGAGTTCAACTATGGCTGCTTCATCCTTAACAGCAACACTATCATGAAGAATGTAAGGAATGTTGCTCTGTTTTTGTTGCAGTCTTTTTTGGAAGAGTGCAAAGAGAAATAATTTTGCAGTTGCTTTTAAGGGCAACAAGTAATAATAATAATGTATTTCATATAAATTTACAAATTTACATGAAAATGCATGCCATTTTTACAGGCACGATCAAGTATGATATAATATCAAATCGTAGATTGTCTACAAGTTAATCGTATTTCAACTGTTAAATATTCGATACATATAATACACTCATTTTCTGAATTAGGCCGTATAGTTATTGAATTGTACAGTTGTCCTCCAGGTTGAGCGGGAAAATCGACTTCGTTCCGTTTTCATCCCGTGGTTGTAGGCATACGATAACCAACCAATATTGAGGTAAGTACACCTTTTACAAGGGATTGGAATCTGTTTTAGAAAAATTAAAGTG